CACATACAACACACATGCATTCAGCACCCACAGACATACACAGCACCCACAGACATACACAGCACCCACAGACATTCAGCACCCACACACATTCAGCACCCACACACATTCAGCACCCACACACATACAGCACCCACAGACATACACAGCACCCACACACATTCAGCACCCACACACATTCAGCACCCACAGACATATACAGCACCCACAGACATACACAGCACCCACAGACATACAGCACCCACAGACATACAGCACCCACAGACATCCAGCACCCACAGACATACACAGCACCCACACACATACAGCACCCACAGACATACACAGCACCAACACACATACAGCACCCACACACACATACAGCACCCTCACACACAGCACACAAACAGCACCCTCACACACACACACAGCACACTAACAGTACCCTCACAAACACAAACAGGACCCTAACAAACACACACACAGCACACTACCCGTACCCTCACACACAAACAGCACCCTCACACACAGTACATTAACAGCACCCTCACAAGCGCACACACAAACAGCACCCTCACACACAGTACATTAACAGCATCCTCACAAGCACGCACACACAAACACCCTCACCCACATAGCACACTACCAGCATCGTCACACACACATTACACTAACAGCACCCTCACACAGCACACACACACACACACACACACACAGCAGTGTGTGTATGTGTGTATATATGTGTATGTGTGTGTGTGTGTATATATATATATATATATATATATATATATATATACATACATATATATATGCGGCGTGTGCTTGTGCTTTAGGGTGCACACCCTAATGCAATAGGCTGTGCACGCCTATGAGTAAATAAGAAGTTCACAGGAGCCAAGATATGGTGTGTTTCAGGCAGATCAACAACTTCAATGCAAAGACGATGAGGTGAGTTGGGTGTTACCTTTTGTAGGAACCCAATTAGTCCAGGCAGGTGAGGATGATAATGTGAGTTTCCAGAACTAGAGGCAAGGGAGGCCCCTTGTGGTAAAACATTATCCGTGCAGGAACTTAGTTTTTAAAGAAACAGTATCAATGGAAAAAAGTCTTGCTTGTCAGGATAGGATCCTGACAGACTGTAACTTTGCCTGTGTGTGTGATTGGAAGTGAGTGTGTGTGTGTGTGTGTGTGTGTGTTACTGTGTCACGAAAAGGAGTGACCCAACACACAGAATAATAACCCTCCAAAAAAATAAAAATAAATAAAAAGGTAAAAATAAAAATACCTAAACCAGTCCTTAGAATGGCCGGACTGAAAGTAATATAAAGAGAATAGTCAAAAACAGGCATAAGTCAAAGGGAACCAGAGAACAACCAAAACGAAATACCAGAGCCGAGTCAAGGGAAGCAGAAATCAGGGTAGTCAGGAAAAAGCCAAGTCAATATCAAAACCAGAAATAAATACACTCTTGGGACACTAGCAAGCTAGGAACCACAACAGGGCACTAAAACATTGCCTAAATGTGCTTTTATATGCTTGGAGGCGTGATTGATGTAGTCATGCCCCAAAACATAAGAGGGTGTCTGTAAATCCTGCCCATAGTACTGCCCATCGCATGACATCGGCACGCGTGCGCCACGTCATAAAAAGTGGCATGCTCACAGTGGCCGGCGTCAAGGAGACTAGCCGATCAGGCAGAAAGATTGAAGGAGGCTACTCGCTCGATCGGGAACAGCTGATCGGCAGACTGATAAGGTAAGTATAGGATTCCTTACATTACCCCCCCCCCTTCAGAACCACCTACAATGCGAGAACCACCCGGCCAATTAGGAAAACGGCATGGAAAGCCTGGAGCAAACTCGGACCATGGATATCATGAACAGCAACCCACGAGCGTTCCTCAGGACCATAACTTTTCCAATGCACCAGATGTTGCAGAGTACCCCTGGAGATTCGACAATCGACAATGGAGTGAACCACCTATTCCTCATGATCCTCCACAAGAACAGGCGGAGGAGATCGGGCATGCCTGGTGTATTTGTTACAAACAAGAGGTTATAACATAGAAACATGAAAGGAATTATAGATACATAATGCAGGAGGCAACTGTAACTTGTAAGATACAGGGTTCAAACGACGTAAAACTTTATTAGGACCAATGAACCGGGGAGCAAATTTCATAGATGGTACTTTCAAATGAATATGCTTGGTACTCAAATAAGTAGGAGCTGCTTGTCTACGTTTATCAGCGTAGTTCTTCTGTACAGAAGATTGACCTGTCAGGATGTGCTGGATTTGTTCCTATTTCTCTTGTAGGTTCTCCAAATAATTCTCTACAGCAGGCATTTTCAATGAAGGAAATTAAGCTGGAAGAATAGTAGGATGAAACCCATAATTGAGATAAAATGGACTGTGTTTAGTGGATTCTCTCTGATTGCAGTTATGAGCATATTCAGCCCAGGGAATCAAAGCCGCCCAATTGTCCTGATTTTGTGAAATAAAACATCTTAAATATTGTTCCAATGACTGATTAGTTCTTTCAGCAGTCCCATTAGTCTGTGGGTGATTATCAGACGTGAGACATAGTTTAATACCAAGATGAGTAGTGAATTCTTTCCAAAATCAAGATATGAATTGTGGACCTCTGTCCGATACTATTTTTTGTGGTAAGCCGTGTAATTTAAACAACTCTCTAACAAATATATCTGCTAATTCAACCAAATAAGGTAGTTTATGCAAAGGCAAAAATCTGTCAAATATGGTAAGAATGACAGTGTGACTATTACATATAGGTAGATCTACTATAAAATCAATAGACATACTAGACCATGATTTCTTGGGCATTTATAATAGTTAAAGTAAACCAATTGGGATAGCGTGAGGTGTCTTAGATTGGACACATACGTTACAAGCCTGTACGTATTCTTAGATGTCAAGGGAAAAAGAATGCCACCAGAACAGAGAAGAAATAAGAGAGAAGGTCTTCTTTATTCCAGGGTGTCCGGTGGTTTCTTTATCATGACATAATCACACTTCTTCTTTGACCAAGGGGAACATATAAAGTATTTTGAGGGGTTTGATTAGGTGCCTCATTTTATTTCTCTCTCAAAATATTTATTAACTCAGAAGTGACTCGGTACTGGGTGGCTGCTATTATTTTATCCTTGGGAATGAGACTCTTCAACTTCGGTGGGTAGCACAGGCTCAAATTGACGTGACAAAGCATGTGCTTGGTATTTTTTGTACCTGGTCTATAGGTTAGTATGAAGTTGAAACGAGAAAAGAATAAAGACCAACAGCCCTGACTAGCAGTCAATCTCTTACTCTCCCCTATATACAACAGATTCTTATGATCAGTAAGAATAGTAATAGGTGTGATTGAACCCTCAAGCAGATGATGCTATTCCTTTAACCCTTTAAGGACCAAACTTCTGGAATAAAAGGGAATCATGACATGTCACACATGTCATGTGTCCTTAAGGGGTTAAGGCTAGCACAATGGCTAACAACTAGTGATGTTGCGAACCGTTCGTGAACTTGCCGCAAACGGTTCGCCGCGGTTCGCCGCAAACCGTTCACGGCGAACTCCGGTCAGCTGACACATCCCTGCCAATCTCCGGCAGACCCTCCCTCCCAGACCCTCCTACTTCCTGGACAGCATCCATGTTGAAGGCAGCTTCAACATGGTTGCTGTCCAGGAGGTGGGAAGGTCTGGGAGGGAGGGTCTGCCGGAGATTGGCAGGGATGTGTCAGCTGACCGGAGTTCACCGTGAACGGTTCGTGGCGAACCGCGGCAAACCGTTCGCGGCAAGTTCGCGAACGGTTCGCGACATCACTACTAACAACTCTCTATCCCCGATCTCGTAATTTCTTTCCGTATTAGACAACTTTTTAGAAAAGAAACCACAAGGATGAAGAGGTTGGTCTGGAGCTTTTCTTTGTGACAGTATCGCCCCTATACCTGAGTCAGAAGCATATACTTCCAAAAGAAATGGAAGAGAAGGATCTGCATGAATCAGGATAGGACTAGAAGCAAATGCTTTTTTAATGGAATCAAAGGCGGCTGCTATCCCAATTGGTTTATCACCTCACGCTATCCCAATTGGTTTACTTCAACTATTAGAAATGCCCAAGAAATCATGGTCTAGTATGTCTATTGATTTTATAGTAGATCTACCTTTATGTAATAGTCACACTGTCATTCTTACCATATTTGACAGATTTTCTAAAATGGCACATTTTGTGCCTTTGCATAAACTACCTTATTTGCTTGAATTAGCGGATATATTTGTTAGAGAGGTGTTTAAATTACACGGCTTACCACAAGAAATAGTATCGGACAGAGGTCCACAATTCATATCTTGATTTTGGAAAGAATTCACTACTCATCTTGGTATTAAACTATGTCTCACGTCTGATAATCACCCACAGACTAATGGGGCTTCTGGGGTCTATACTTGATTTGTCTTTCCTTTTTTAGTCATGTTGCTAATAGGAAAAAGGATAGAGGAAAACCCCTTAATGAATCTCCTATAATAATTGGAGAATCCTATAAATCTCTGACTAGCCAGTAGGAGTAGGCCAATCTCTAATGGCTTTTGACTTCTGTGAATCCATTTGGAACCCAGATTCAGAAATAACATAACCTAGGAAATTCACATTTTCTTGATCAAAGAGACATTTCTCTAGTTTGCAATATCATCCATTCTTTAACAATGTTTGGAGTACCAATCTTACATATTTATGATGTTCTTCGATACAAGAGTAATATATCAATATGTAATCTAGAGAAACCATGACAAACTCATGTAGATATTCTCTTAAAACGTCGTTTATGAGATATTGGAAGATGGCCGGAGCATTGCAGAAGCCGAATGGCATTACAGTGTATTCATAATGGCCATATCTAGTGTTGAAAGCCGTCTTCCATTCATCTCCTTGTTTGATTCTTACTAAATTATATGCATTTCGTAAGTCTAATTTAGTAGAAACCCTGGAACCTTTGAGTCTGTCAAAAAGTTCTGTCATAAGAGGTATAGGATATACGTTACGAACTGTTACCTTATTTAGTCCACGATAATCGATGCATCGCCTAAGATCCCCCTCCTTTTTTGAAACGAAAAAGAATACTGCTCCAGCAGGTGAAGAAGACCTGCAAATAAAACCTTTGGTGAGATTCTCCTTCTGAGAAAGAGGATATACAGAACCCCCTAGGTAGCATAGTTTCAGGAAGTAACTCAATGGCACAATCATAAGAACGATGTGGAGGCAACTTATCGGCTTCCCTCTTATCAAATACTTCCACTATATCCCAATATATCTCTGGTGTCTTTGTGGATAAAGGGGGCAAAGTAGGTACATTGATGATGCCAAGAGGTTTAATTTTTAGAAACACCCCATTTGATACAAGAAGAACCCCACTTCACTAGTTCACCCTTCTCCCAATCTATAACTGGGTTATGCTTAGTTAGCCATGGATAACCTAGAACGATAGGAAATAAAGGTGACGAAATGGACTGTAGGACTATTACTTCTTTATGAAGAACACCAACCGTCATAAAAATAGGAATGGTTTCTTTAGTGATAGTGGGTTCTACCAAAGGTCTACCATTTATGGCCTGAACATCCAAGGGTGTAGTTTTTTTTCTCTGAGAGGAAGAGAATATTTATGAGCAAAATTTTATCAATAAAACTTTCTGCAGCCCCAGAATCGAATAGAGCAGAAGTATGTATCTCTTTTCCCTCATATTTCAAGGTGATAGGTATAAGAAGCAGTTTTTCTGATTTTCTTGACGTGGAAGACTCAATTAAAACACCCAAGGTCGGTCCTCAGTTAGAGGCTCTGGAGTTTTCCAGCCTTTCAGGACAAAATAAGTGGAGATGTCCTCCCACAATACAAACAGAGACCCTCTCTCCTTCTATGTATTCTTTCTGCCTCAGACAGTTTAGTTACACCTAACTGCATGGATTCAGGAATAGCTAAAGCCATAGAATCTGTAGGAAAAGTAGGAGCTAATCTTACAGCAAGTCTTAGTCTCTCATCTATAACGGATAGGTAAAAGATGAGTTCCTCTAGATTCTCAGGTAATTCTCGAGCAGCCACCTCATCCAAAATAGAATCGCATAAGCCATTCAGGAATGCGTCTACAAAGGCTGGATTATTCCATTTAATTTCTGCTGCTAAAGTGCGAAATTCCAAGGCATAATCTACTAAGGAACGATTCCCTTGTTTCAATCTTAACAGAGATCTTGCTGCATTGGCTTGTCTCCCTGGTGGATCAAAAGTACGATTAAATGCAACGACAAACTCCTTATAGTCATAAACCAATACACTGTCTTTTTCCCAAAGTTGATTAGCCCAGGCAAGAGCCTTATCAGTAAGAAGGGTAATCATAAATCCAATTTTGGCTCTATCAGTAGGGTAGGATCTAGGTGAAAGCTCAAAGTGGATGCTTACTTGATTCAAAAACCCTCTACAGGCTACTGGATCCCCTCCATAGTGCAAAGGAAAATGCCTGTTATTATTGCTGCGGGCATATGAGTCTAATGTAGCAGCAATAGGAGTTAAGGATTGGGCTTGACCTTCGGGCTGCATGTTCGCTGAACGGTTAAACAACGTTTGTAAAGCCTGAGCAAACTGATCCATCCTGTAGTCAAGCCCATCCAAATGCATATCACGAGAGACTGCCGGGGGGTTAATACCTGCAGGATCCATATTGGTCCTGTTGTAATGTCACAAAAAGGAGTGGCCCAACACACAGAATAATAACCCTCCAATAGGTAAAAATAAAAATACCTAAACCGGTCCTTAGAAAGTAATATAAAGAGAATAGTCAAAAACAGGCATAAGTCAAAGGGAACCAGAGAACAATCAAAACAAAATACCAGAGCTGAGTCAAGGGAAGCAGAAATCAGCGTGGTCAGGAAATAGCTGAGTCAATATCAAAATAGCACCAAACCAGATATAAAGGCACTCATGGGCAGGGGCGTACCAAGGGGTTGGCGCAGGCCGAGGGGGGTGGTGCAAAAATCAAGTGTCAGTGTGACAGGTGACTTTTGCGCTCCCCGCTCGGCCGACGCCCAAGGGACCCCAGGGAAGCGTGCGGCTCCGTAAGAGAACCGCACACACGGTACTCACTAGGAGGGGAAAGCTCCTCCCCCTCCTTCCGTTCTGCGTAGGAGCGCCGGGTGTCATGTGACTACCATGCGCTCAGTGTGAGAGTGCAGAGTCAGCGAAAGGCTGCCCCCCTTTCCTGTTCCAACAGGTAAAATGGCAGGGAGGGCAGCCATCAGAGAGACAGGGGAGGGGGGCATGGGCAGAGACAGGAGACAGGGGAGGTTGGCATGGGGGACAGAAAGACAGAGATGGGGGCATGGGGGTCAGAGAGACAGGGGATGGTGGCATAGGAGACAGAAAGACAGGGGATGGTGGCATGGGGGACAGAGAGAGGGGGCATGGGGAAAGAAAGACAGGGGAGGGTGGCATGGGGACAGAGAAACAGGGCAGAGGGCATGTGGGACAGAAAGACAGGGGAGGATGGCATGGGGACAGAGAGACTGGGGAGAGTGGCATAGGGGGACAGAAAGACAGGGGAGGGTGGCATGAGAGAGAAAGGCATGGGGGCAGAAAGACAGGGGAGGGTGGCATGGGGGAAAGAAAGACAGAGGAGGGTGGCATGGGGGACAGAAAAGCAGGGCAGGGGACATGGGGAGAGAGAGTGACATGGGAGGGGTCATGGGAAGAGAGTGACATGGGAGGGGGACATGGGGAGAAAGAGTGACATGGGATGGGGACAAGGGGAGAGAGAGTGACATGGGATGAGGACAAGGGGAGAGAGAGTGACATGGGATGGGGACAAGGGGGGTAGAGAGAGAGACATGGGAGGGGCATGGCGGAGAGATAGACACGTTTGGGTGGGGGACGTGAGGCGGGAGAAAGACACGGATGTGTGGGGGACATGAGGCGGGAGAGAGACACGGATGGGTGTGGGATATGGGAGAGGGACATGGATAGGAGGTAAGGGACATGGGAGGGGACATGGATAGGAGCCAAGGGACATGGGAGGGAGACTTGGATGAGAGGAGGACATGGGAGCGAGATATGAATGAAATGGGGAAGGACATGGAAGAGGAACAGAGAGATGGAATTTGGGGAGAGACATGGATGAATGAGGGAACGAGATATGGATGAAGGGAAGGAAGAGACATGGAAGGAAGGGGGATAGAAGCGAGTGAAGCTGAGAGTGCAGCAACACCTTACCCTGCCTGGAGATTGCAGAGGGACTAGGATGCTAGTGGAGGAGATAGTGCGGCTATAACTAAGGTGTGACACCTTACCTACCTGGCTGAGACTGCCGTTTGCAGAGGGACTGAGGGAGCGAGCGGACACTCTGGACAGTGGCATTACTACTGAGACATTAAGTAACTTGAAGTGAAGCTTTTAAATTGATTAAATGCATGTCCCCAGAGTACATATTGTATGAGAATGAAAGATATAACTTTAGTTTGTTTTGTTCTAGGATTCACCAGCTTTCATACAGGTCACAGGCAGCACAGATAACCATATATTAAAGAGTATTATAACACACATGCTCCCCAGTGGGTAGAATAAAATTATATAAAATAAATTTACCCTTGTGAGATTGTAAGAAGATCCCTTAACTCTTCTTAAAATAGTACATAAGAAATACAATCTATAAGAACAAAACAAACAAAAAAACAAATGGTGTAGTAAATTAAAACACCACTAATACACTAATAAAAAAATTGCACTCACAAGATAGAAGTGCAAAGCAGACATGTAGAACTCTTTAGAATTCGAAGAAAATTCAGGTATTCTTCTTTCCAACCTTAAATCAGAGGGAAAAACACAGGAACCCTAGTGCACCAATAGGATAAATAACACAAATTTATTAAAGTTGCACTCACAAGATCAAAGATAAAATACAGCGTATCATATACTCAGGAGTTCCCAATAGTGAAGTCACTTCTCGTAGGGACCGGTATACAAAACAGCCATCACAGGATAAAAATAATAAATGCAAAAAAACAAGAAAAACATTAAACTCAAAATAAAAGTCTAATAAAAATAATAATAAGTGCTGTCCTGGTTTTTCCCACCCTACGCATTTCATCCGCTGCAGGACTTCTTCAGGAGTGAATCAGGGTATATGTTAAAGTCTTCTATTTCTGCTTATAAATAGTGAAGTATGTAGTTACCGCCACCAGAACGCCAATCGCGGGATTTTCTCGTAATGCAGATCACCTGTAGTTGTATTTTTCCAACAATTTAAGGATATTCTGCTAGTCCATCTAAAAGATTTGTTTAATAACATAGTAAAGGAAAAAGATATTCCAAAAGAAATGCTATATGCAAACATCATTCCAATACATAAACCAGACAGAATATATAAAGAATTATCGTCCTATTTCGTTGTTTAATATAGACATCAAAATATGCTCAAGCATTTTAGCAAACAGTTTGCAAACCATTTTACCGAACCATGCTTTTGGCAAAAAATCTATCTAAAGATGTGCAAGCAAGGATTAAAGCAAATTATGACTTTGAATGGGTAGAAGGCATCCAATATTTGGGAATAAAAATCTCTAGGGATCCAAATAAAATTGTAGAGAATAATATCTTGCCCTTAATTAAACAAATAAATAAAGAACTAAAAGATTTAAGAAACACAGAGATTTCATGGACAGGCAGGATAAATTTAATAAAATCCTATATAATCCTGAAATGGAGCAACATATTCCGCATGCTTCCTCTAAAGGTCCCAAAACCATGGCTTACAATGATCCAGTCTGCTTTAGATAAATATATCTGGTTAAAAAAAAAAAAAAACCTAGAGTCAATAGAAAGATATTAAATTTAAATTCTAAAAATGGAGGAATGGGTTTGCCTAACATGCTAGAGTTGTATGAGACATGCGCATTGGCTCATATAGTTCCATCTTTGAAAGAGAGTTCTATGGAGGAATCTTGGGCCAAAATAGAAGCGATAAGAATGAATGTCCCAGATTTATTATCCATATTTTGGAAAATGAACAATAAGGATAATCTCTACACAGGTTTAATCACTAATAATCTAATGTCACATTGGAAAAACTGGAAAAAGAGACTCAAGATTGTAGACATAATTATTAAAGACTTGCCATTAAATATTCTGACAGCTAATATTGAAGACTTAAGTATTAGAATTTGGAAGGCTAATGGTATTCATAGAATCGATCAGATTATGCAACAAAATCAGATTGTTCCTTTTGAACAAATTAGACAAACTTTTTCCCTCCCATATAAAGAAAACTTTACATACTTAAGGATAAAACATTTTATAAACAAACACAAAGTAGAAGAAACTTCAGGTTTACAATCTTTCTTAAATATACTAAATATTAAGAGTAATAAAAAATTGGTATCAAGGTGTGCAAACCTGTGCGATCTATTTAAAATCATCCCAGTCTTTCCAGCTCTTAAGTCCTGCCGCAATGGCCAGGGACCCAGGCTGACAGGGGAGATCAGTGTATATGTAGAAAAAACAACGAGGGAACCGGCTGATAATCTCTACAAAAGTAAATAGAGAAAATATAGTGTAATACAGTTTACAGTATAGACATTGCGCAAATTGAAATGCACTCACTGGATTTTGGACAAATTGAAGCTTGTAAGGTGCCTTCCCCGATAGTAGGGGGGGCTAGGGAAATCCCCTGGATATTTTCACTCCAACACAGGACTCCGGGTGAAGTTTGAAAAATTGGCTTTAATTCAATATTAAAATATGTTTAAAAAAGAATAAAATAAATATAAATAAGGTCCTACGCGTTTCGTCCCTTTAACAAAATAGGGACTTCCTCAGGGACCACAATATTAAGAAACAATTTGATACAGTACAATCAAAAAACAGCCTAACAAATCCCCACCCGAAAAGTCCTTTAAATAGGGCTAATCCCTCATCTAAATTCAGTCACATGTTATCCTCAGACTCTCCTCATTGGTCCTCCATTAATAGGGTTCATCTGTTGCCATCGCGGCTCCAGTGTTCACAGCTGATTTCGGAATTGTTCAATAATCCTCCGACAGCTGCCGGCACGGAAGTGCCGTGCGTTCCAACTGCGTTCACTAAACCGGAAGTGGCAACGCTAATATGCCGATCTCGCGAGAGTGAAATCAGTGTATAGTAGACAAACTATCTCCCCACAGGCACTGAGATGCGGCAGGGGAGGCAGGGAGAGAGGACCCGGTGGAGCTCTATCCTGCAGCTCCGCCGGGTTCCTCTCATGAGGTCTGAGCGTTGCCATGGTTACTATGGCAACGCTCCGATCTCGCGAGAGTGAACTCTACCCCAGGAACTACAGGGTAGAGTTCACTCCACACTGGAACACCAGGGATTTCCCCCTGGACCACATGGGGTACAAGCCCCCCTCTCCAAGGCAAAGGTAGGAAGGGAGGGATATAAATATTATAATAATTTTAAATTTAAAAAAAAAAAACAAAACCCACATACAAATTTTTTAGTTTTACCCCACATCAGACCAGTGGCGTCACTAGGGGGCGGCCAGAGGGGGCCATGGCCCCCCCTAGATCAGGCTGTGCCCCCCCAAATGAAAGCTACTGCTCCCTGGTCTTTATTATGTTCCCTCAGACTGTAACAGCCTGTTACAGTCTGAGGGAATTCAGGACAGAGGGGCTCACTGCTGGAGAGAGGTGCTGGGGGACTGTGGATAGCTGCTGAGGGCTGGAGCAGCTGCATTGAGGCTGCTGGGGGCGGGAGGGAGCACTGACAGTCTCCCTTCCGAATTCCCAGCAGCTTCCCCTGCACACAGGCTCCAGCTTTACCTGCTTGTGCAGGCTCCGCCCCCGCGACGATAGCTCCACCCACACATCCGCCTCCAGCCCAAGCTCCGCCCCCCCCCCCAGTAAAGCAGCAGACCTTGCTGCAGTCTGAAGAGGCTATAGTGTAGTGAGTATTACCAAACAATGTGAAGATTAAACATGCGACTATTTTATCATACTTATATAAAATACATAATCAAAATACACTGCACATTAAATGATTTTGTATTTCATTGTGTTAAAATATCACATGGAGCAACATTTCAGTGTAATGTTTGTAATGTAATGAGAATCAGCTCGTTCCTGAATAGTTTTGCAAGAAACCACAGTGTTCTGACTGTTCATTTTATTTTAAACAACTTGGTGGCCCTATCTGGACTGGTTGGCATATGTATCATACAGGAAATGACTGCCATGTTTGATAGCCACTGTAATAATGACAAGTAATGCTTCTGGTGCGGTCTAAAGCAGAAAGGAACTGTGTGCGCAACAATAACTAATATTATTTAATTTGCTCTGTATAAGTCACATTTTATGCCCATTACAAATGTTGAGAATGTTTTTTTTCTGTTTTCTATAAAGGATTAGGAGGCTAATGGAAAGCAGTGACCTCTGTTTATATATAATGATAACCTAATAACCTACTAAGATAATGCTAGTCCTTCATTTGTATCCTCCACCCTGTGAAAGGGAGGATATTCTATAAATTACTAATTTTCCAGTAATTATAATTTCAGCTCTTCTTGGAACCCCTTTTTTATATCTGAGACCGTAGAAGTGCACTCATATTGTAACAACTTTTGTCACATATGCTGAATAACTACTTTTGCTATGAATTTCACCTGCTCAGTAGAAAGAAGGAACGCTCTAGGTCTGTGTGTGTATGGACTCAACAGTCTGTGTGCCTGTGTTTGTGTATGGACTCAACAGTCTGTGTGCCTGTGTGTGTGTATGGACTCAGCACGCTGTGTGTCTGTGTGTGTATGGACTCAGCACTCTGTGTGTCTGTGTGTGTATGGACTCAGCACGCTGTGTGTCTGTGTGTGTATGGACTCAGCACGCTGTGTGTCTGTGTGTGTATGGACTCAGCACGCTCTGTGTCTATGGACTCAGCACGCTGTGCGTCTGTGTGTGTATGGACTCAGCAGTCTCTGTGTGTGTGTATGGACTCAGCAGTCTGTCTGTCTGTGTGTGTGTGTGTGTATGGACTCAGCAGTCTGTGTGTGTGTGTATAGACTCAGCAGTCTGTGTGTGTGTGTATGGACTCAGCAGTCTGTGTGTATGTCTGTGTGTGTATGTACTCAGGAGTCTGTGTGTGTGTGTGTGTGTATGGACTCAGCAGTGTGTGTGTATGGACTCAGCAGTCTGTGTGTATGTGTATAAATCAGCCTGTGTGCACGTGTATACATCAGCCTGTTTGCATTCAGGAGTCTGTGTGCCTTCAGAAATCTGTGTGTGTATTCAGCAGTCTCTCTGTGTTCGTATTCAGTGTACTGTGTGTATGTACTCAGCAGTCTATAAATAATTAAAATTTTAATTCCTGTGAGTTGTTGTGTAGGAAGGGCCCCAGTGCACTGCTTTGCCCGGTGGCACATAACGCTGTTAAGCTGGTACTGCTTGTGTGTGTCAGTGAGCTTCTATTTAGTGAGCTTGTCTTTAGTGAGCTTGTGTGTGTCCCTGAACTTCTTTGTAGTGAGCCTTATGTTTATACAAGTGAGTTTGTCTGTATTAAGCTTGTGTGTGAGTCAGAGTTTTGTATCTGTCAGTGAGCCTATTTGCGCATGTCAGTGAGCTTGTGTGCTCACTGTACAAAATATATATACATTTTTTTCCAGGGCTGCTTTGGATTCTCAGTTTGGCTCTGCCAGCGAGTGCGCTTTACCGCTGAATCATCTGTGTGAGCTGCCACACACTTTAGCCCTGTTACACGCGCCTGGGAGCTGCTATTGACAGGTACTAGTAGTCTAGAGTTTGGGACATGGGGTATATGCTCAGCTATCTGTATAATACTATAGTACTGTTCTCTGGATAATACAGATCTGTGTGTGTATAATATCGCGGGACAGTCAGTGCTCCCTGTATAGTCCTGCTCTCTGTAAATACAGGTCTGTGTGTATAATATCCTGGGACAGCCAGTGCTCCCTGTATAGTGCTGCTCTCTGTATAATACAGGGCTATGTGTATAATATCCCAGGACAGTCAGTGCTCACTGTATGGTGCTGCTCTCTGTATAATACAGGACTGTGTGTATGATATCCTGGGAAAGTCAGTGCTCCCTTTATAGTGCTGCTCTCTGTATAATACAGGTTTGTGTCTGTATAATATCCTGGGACAGTCAATGCTCCCTGTATAGTGCTGCTCTCTGTATATTACAGGTCTGTGTATAATATCCTGGGACAGTCAGTGCTCCTTGTATAGTGCTGCTCTCTGTATAATACATGTATTGAGTTTTGCGGCAGTGGGTGTGGTAAACTTTCAATGTAATAATTGATAGCTGTGCTGCAAAATGTCCTTGGAATTTTTTTTTAAATGTTGGCAACTATGGCACTATATCAAGGTGAAATATGTTTGTTTTTTAATAATCCCTGGTGGAAAATAATTAATCCTCCACCATGGATTATTAAAAAAAAAAAAACACACATTGTGTCGGGGGCGGGGCTTAACATGTGGCGGGGGTGTGGTCCAACTGCGGCGAGGGCGGGGTTAAATGTGCCCCCCTACTTTTGTCCCTGGCCCACCATGTGCCCCCCCTAAAAATGAATCCTAGAGACGCCACTGCATCAGACTACACCCCCAAACACCACACTGCACCCCTCACACACACACATTACACTCCAAACACCACACTGCACCCTCACATACACACACTAAACCCCAAACATCACACAACACCCTTCGCATGCACACACTACACCCCACTGCACCCCACTGCACCCCTCACATGCACACACTAAACCCCAAACAGCACATTACACCCCACACATGCACACAATACACCCCAAACATCACACTACACCCTTCACATGCACACACTACACCCCAAACACCACACAGCACCACACTCACACACACACACACACACACACACACTGGACACCACACAGCACCCCTCACACACCCTGCACCCCAAACACACAGTGCACCCTCACACAAACACACAGTGCATCCTTCACACACACTGCACCCCAAACACACACTGCACCCCTCACACACATAGTGCACCCTTCACACACACACTGCACGCCTCACACACTGCACCCTTTACACACACACATTGCACACCCTGCATCCCCAACACACATTACATTCTAGACACACATACTACATCCCTTATACACACACACTACATCCCTTATACACACACCTTAGATCCCATACATAACTATGGATCCTCTACACACTATAATCCCTATACAAAAGCTGAATCTTACACAAACACACACACACATACACGAACACTGAATCTCTTATGCACACTCAAGGTTCTCCACACACACACTAGGTCCCCTACAGGAACATAATTCACCACATACACACACTAAATTAAAGATGACAAAACACCCCCTCTCTCTGGCCTGCCCCCTTCTCAGTGGGCCTCTGTGATTCAAAAACGCCCGGGCCGAATTTCTTCCCCAGTCCGGCCCTGCCTGGCAGGATGCAGATGCGTCACCAATAGGGATGTCCCGAACAGTTTGCCGAACGGTTCGCCGCGGACAGCGAACATATGCGGTAAACTTTGACCCTGTACCTCACAGTCAGCAGACACATCCAGCCAATCAACAGCAGACCCTCCCTCCCAAACCCTCCCACCTCCTGGACAGCATCCATTTTACATTCATTGTGAAGCTGCATTCTTAGTGAGCTGTCCAGGAGGTGGGAGGGTCTGGGAGGGAGGGTCTGCTGCTGATTGGTTGGAATGTGTCTGCTGACTGTGAGGTACAGGGTCAAAGTTTACCGCATATGTTCGTCGTCCACGGCGAACCGTTCGGGACATCACTAGTCACCAAGTGTGTGAGAGAGCACTCTCGTGGCCAATGTAATGTCTTTGTTGCCACTGGAAATCTCGTCCGGCATCTTTTCCCTATTGCATGGTACATGCAAGAGGCTCTTTGAAGTCCTAGGCAATCTAAATGCCGGAGTAAGTCCTGGGTGCTGGAGCAAGTACCATGAGTGCAATCTCAGTGTTGGGGTAAGTCCTGGGTGCTGGTGTGGGTACTGGGACAAGTCCTGTGAGTGCAATCTCAGTGTTTCGGTAAGTCCTGGTTGCTGTAGCAAGTCCTGGGAGTGCAATCTGTGTGCTCGGGTAAGTTAATATATGCCCCCACTATATAGAAAGGGTTATGTCTCACACACTGCCCTAAAATATATACCCATGCAATTCAAATAACCTTGTGTACATACTGGGGCCTATATATTGCCCTGTGCATGGGGTATATATCAGGGCAATGTGTGGGGTATCACCTTGTATAAACTGGTGATATATATTGCCCTGGGAAGGTGTATATATCAGTCGTATCTATAAATAATAATACACTTTTCAAATGTACTTTTAAAATGCATGGTTACTCTTTGTTGAACAAGAATGTAGTGTTATAAGATGGGGCTGGTATAATAATGCAATGCTATGGGGCTGCTTTTATTTCCATGGCTGGTCTTTATTCCCAGTCTAGCACTAATATGGTAAAAAAGAGAAAATCCAGCGCACTTCCTTATCCACTAAAGAGCAACTTCGGTGCTGACAGATTTTTTTCGTTTTTTAAAAACACCTAATCTAGGCAAAAACAAATAGTTTAAAAAAAATAAAAATCTGTCAGCACCGAAGTTGCTGTTTAGTGGTTAAGGAAGTGCTCTGGATTTTCTCTTTTTTATTGTATAAATTGGCAGCACCCTATTTATGCATGGTCAACTGAGTGCAGCCAACCCCCTGGTTTCGGCACTAATATGGTGTGATGTGCCCTGTGTTACATAGTTACATAGTTTGAAGCACAATTTTGCAATAAGCTAGGAAAAAAATTCCTTCTTGACCCCAGAATGGCAGTCAGATTTATCCTTGGATCAAGCAGTTATTACCCTACATTGAAAGATTATATCCTTGAATATTCTGTTTTTGCAAGTATGCATCTAGTAGCTGTTTGAACATCTGTATGGACTCTGATAAAACCACTTCTTCAGGCAGAGAATTCCACATCCTTGTTGTTCTTACAGTAAAAAAACCTTTCCTTTGCCTTAGACGAAATCTTCTTTCTTCCAGTCTAAACTCATGGCCTCGTGTCCTATGTAAAGTCCGGTTTGTGAATAGATTTCCACACAGTGGTTTGTATTGGCCCCGAATATATTTGTATAATGTTATCATATCCCCTCTCAGGCGACGTTTTTCTAAACTAAATAGGTTTAAATTTGTTAACCTTTCTTCATAGCCGATATGTTCCATTCCTTTTATTAATTTTGTAGCCCGCCTCTGCACTTTTTCTAGTGCCATAATATCCTTCTTTAGAACAGGTGCCCAAAATTGCACAGCATATTCAATATGGGGTCTTACCAGTGATTTATAAAGAGGCAAAATTATATTCTTGTCCCGAGAATGAATGCCCTTTTCATGCATGACAATACCTTACTGGCCTTGGCCACTGCTGATTGACATTGCACATTGTTGCATAGTTTGTTGTCTATAACAATTCCCAAGTCCTTTTCCCTAATTCGCTTCCATTAAGGGTATACGTTTCATGTGTATTCTTTACGCCGCAGTGCATAACTTTGCATTTTTCAACATTAAATTTCATCTGCCATTTGAGTGCCCAGTACCCCAGTCTATCTAAATCCCTCTGCAGCAAAGTAATATCTTGCTCACATTGTATTGTTTCACAAAGTTTTGTGTCATCTGCAAACACTGAAACATGACTTTCAATGTGGTCTTCAAGATGATCATTTATAAACATGTTAAATAGAAGGGGTCCCAGAACAGACCCCTGAGGGACACCACTTGCCACCTCTGTCCAGCTTGAAAATGTACCATTAATGACAACTCTTTGTACTCTGTTTTTAAGCCAATGATCTACCCAAGAACAAGCATTTTCATCTAGACCGATTTCCTTGAGTTTGAACACTAATCTATTGTGTGGAACTGTATCAAATGCCTTGGCAAAATCCAAATAGATCACATCCACTGCAACACCCTGATCTATACTTCTACTTACTTCTTCGTAGAACGCAATCAAGTTAGTTTGACATGACCTGTGCTTCATAAAACCGTGCTGATTTTTTGCTGATAACCATGTTCTTCTCAAGGAATTCTTGAATATTATCCCTTAATAACCTTTCAAATATTTTCCCAGCCACAGAAGTTAAGCTCACAGGTCTATAATTTCCAGGCAAGGATTTTGAACCCTTTTTGAATATAGGAACCACATCTGCCTTCCTCCAATCCTCGGAACACTTCCTGAAAGAAAAGAATCTTGAAAGATTAAAAACAGAGGTTCACTTATTTCTACACTTAGTTCCTTAAGTACTCGTGGATGAATACCGTCAGGCCCTGGAGCTTTGTTTATATTAACTTTCTTTAGTTGCTGCAGCACCTTGTCTTGAGTTAACCAATTACAATTATTCTGCAAGTTTTTAGTTGCAATCATTTGCACATCTATTGCCATGGGTTCTTCCTTAATATATACAGAGGAGAAATAGTTATTTAAAATTCCTGCCTTTTCCTGGTCTTCATTAACTAACACCCCCGTTTCAATTTTTAGTGTACCTACACTTTCATTTTTTATTTTATTTTTGAATTTATGTACTTAAAAAATGCTTTGGGGTTGGTTTTGCTCTCTTTAGCTATCATTATTTTATTTTGAAGTTTAGCAAGTCTAATTGCCTTTTTGCACGCATTATTTGCTTCCTTATATCTTTTATAAGATGCATCTGATTTGTCCGATTTAAATGCTTTAAATGCCCTTTTCTTAGTTGTAATCTCTTGTTTTACTTCTCTACTAAACCACATTGGTTTTAATTTGTTTCTTTTATATTTATTTCCCAACGGTACATACTGAGAAATGTACCTTTTTAATATTTGTTGGAAGATGATCCATTTATCCTCAGTGTTCTTTTCACTAAAGAGTTTATGCCAGTCAATATATTGTAAAGCTTCCCTTAACTTATTGAAATTGGCCTTTTAAAAATTATATGTTTTAGTATTCCCCATGTGCTTTTGTTTTTTTTTAGTTTATTTCAAAGGACACTATATTGTGATCACTATTTCCCAAGTGCTCACCTACTTGAATGTTGGTCAAAAGATCAACGTTGTTTGTTAAAACCAGGTCCAGACAAGCATCCATTCTAGTTGGTGCTTGTACAAGTTGTGACATGAAGGTGTCATTTAACAAGTTTAAAAACCTAATTCCCTTTGCTGAGGTACTAGTCCCTCTGTCCCAATTTATATCCGGGTAATTAAAATCTCCAATAATTAAAGTGTTACCCAGATTTGCAGCCTTCTCAATTTGCTCAAACAGCTGTTGTTTCTCGTCAATATTAACATTAGGTGGTTTATAACATATCCCAACCAATAGTTGGTTTCCCTTCTTTTCCCCCTAGCAGATATTTATCCATAAAACTTCCACATTATCCTCCTCGCATTCCATTATGCTTGTAAAAAGGTGTGATGTGCCTGTGTTAGACTTGCAATATGGTGACAAGCATTCCACTGGCACATCACCACCAAAGTGCAAATATATATTTATGATTTAAAGCTGATAACATATTCATTAGAGCAGAGGTTTCCAAACCAGTGCTCATGGCCCACCCACAGTCCAGAATTTATGTACAGTTGCAAGAAAAAATATGTGAACCCTTTGGAATGATATGGATTTCTGCACAAATTGGTCATAAAATGTGATCTGATCATCATCTAAGTCACAACAATAGACAATCACAGTCTGTTTAAACTAATAACACTCAAATAATGAAATGTTGCCATGTTTTTATTGAACACACCATGTAAACATTCACAGTGCAGGTGGAAAAAGTATGTGAACCCCTAGACTAATGACATCTCCAAGAGCTAATTGGAGTGAGATGTCAGCCAACTGGAGTCCAATCAATGAGATGAGATGTTGTTCCCAGCTGATCGACGGACTGGTAAGGTAAGTATAGGATTCCTTACAGTCTGCCTATAACTGAGTGTGTATGTGTGTGACTGTCTGTCTGTAACTGTGTGTGACTGTCTGCCTGTAACTCTATGTGAATCTTTGTGACAGTATGCCTGTAACTAAGTGTGTGTGACCGTCTGCCTGTAATTGAGCGTGTGTGACTTTCTGCCTGTAACTGTGTGTGTGTGATTGTCTGCCTTTGTGCGTGAGTATAAAACACTAAAAAGCACAACCTAAAAAGTACAAAGGGAGACCAATAGTGCAGACTGAAAAAAAATAAAAAACATACCATAAAAAGACTAAAATGCACTCACAAACAAAGATGTTAATAGGCAGGATATAAACAGTCTTCTTAAAATGCTTTGTCTCTTCTTAGTGTGGAGATAAATGCTTAAAACAAAGCACAAAGACAGACCATAGTGTATAACTGTATAGTATTAAAAATGTAACTTTATTGGATACACTTACAAAGTAACAGTAGTAATCAGGCTCTTCAAATCAAATTCAATGTCTTCCACCAAAAGTATAACCCTCAGGATATAGAGAAGAATGGAGACAGGGGAGATGAAGAGATCCTCAATAAAATATTAATACAAACAAAGCTTGCCACCCTACGCGTTTCGTCTTATTGACGTCATCAGGGGCTTGTAGCAACACAAAATACAAACATATACACACTTAAATATCCTACCTTAAAAGTCTTTAACCAATCCTGAAAGTGCCTTCGATCGGACACATCTGTAGTTGATCTCCTCCATCGGGTTTCATTATCCTTTCGCGCTTTTAGAGGCGCGTGCGCTCCAAGCCTCGTTTTCACAAAACCAGAAGTCCTAGTTCATCTGTATCTGAAACGCAAATGCGTTCCACTTCGGTCCGGAAACCGGAAAGAAGGTCTGGATTGGAGCGCACGTACATGTCAGTCCCTCCGAAACCGGAAACGAAGTCCGAAGTGGAAATCAGAATATGTTCCACTCCTTATTCTATAGATATGGAACACTCATATATTCCGAAGAAAAAGTTATATCAAAAACAATAAAAAGATATAAAAACAAAAAATAACATTAAAATGGATAAATCAAATATATTTGTATCATCTTCCATAAAAATACTGATAATAATAAATATCATAAAATACAAAAGCCAATTACAAAAAACATGCCATATCAAAATCTACATTCATACCTTCTGGTTGCATTGTTTTTAAAGTATGAATCCAAAAACCTTCTCTTTGTCTTAATTTAAGTACCAGATCTCCACCTCTCGCATCTAAAGACACCTTTTCAATCCCAATACACGAAAAAGTACTTGGATTAAAATTCTGACACCTATTGCAGTGAACGGGAACTGAATGGGTTAATAATTTATTTTTAATATTATTAAAATGTTCTAAAAATCTTTTTTTCACTGGTCTAATAGTCCGTCCGACATATTGAATTCCACAACCACATGTAAGGAGATAAACTACATGTGTGGAATTACATGTAATATGTTCTTTAATTTTAAAATTCTTTTTAGTTCTTAAGCTAAATTTTTTTTGAAACTTTTGGTTCTTATAATGACAGCTTTTACATGAACCACAAGTATAAAACCCCACAGGTTTTTGTGCTTCTTCTTTATTACCGTTTCTAAAGGTGCTTGGTGCCAAAACATTTTTAAAACTTTTCCCTTTTCTAAAAATAATTTGTGGGACAGGAGGGAGTTCAGTTTTTAAAAAATCATCTTCTAGTAAAAGAGGCCAATGTTTCGTTAATATTTTCTTAAAATCTTTAGCATGAGTATTGTACTGAGTATTAAAAGAGAAGGCAAATTTATTATTAACCAATGGGACTTGTTTTTCCTTGTTTCGTAGTAAATCTCCTCTCTCTTTATTATAAGAATGCATAATCTCCTTATTTATAAAATTATTAGCATATCCCTTTTCTATAAACTTATTTTTAAGGAAAGAGGCCTGGTCTAAAAAGGTTTTTTCATCTGTACAATTCCGCCTAATTCTTGTGAATTGACTTCGTGGAACACCACGAAGCCAATTGGGATGATGATTGCTCTCTGTATTGATATAACTATTTGCATCCGTAGGTTTAAAAAATGTTTTTGTCTTTATCTTTTCATCTTCAATAAAAATTGTCAAATCTAAAAAATTAATCTCATTATGACAAAAAAATTGGAGAAAAAGTTAAATTAACTTGGTTAGAGTTAATATAATCAATAAAATCTAATAAACTACTTTCGGAGCCATCCCATATAAAAAGAATATCGTCTATATACCTTCTCCAGAATACCAAGTTCGCGCCGAATGGGTTGTTCATCCATATAAAATTATTTTCCCAAAAATCAAAAAAAATATTGGCATAACTCGGCGCGAACTTGGTACCCATGGCTGTTCCTTGTAATTGTAAATAAAAATCTTCATTAAAAGAGAAAAAATTATGAGTAAGAATAAAATTAATACTATCTAATAAAAAACTATTAAAATCATGCGTAATTTCAACATCTAAATCTAATGCTGCCTTTATTGCTGAAAGCCCTAGGTCATGTCTAATAATAGTGTATAATGAGGTAACATCGACTGTTACCCCAAAAAAAACTTTTTTCCATTCAAGACACTCTAATTCTTGCAAAAGACTTTTTGTATCTTTTAAATAAGATTTGGCCCCCTGAGCATATTTTTGAAGATGAAAATCTATAAATTCTGATAATTTGGATGTTAAAGAATCTATTCCACTAATGATTGGTCTACCTGGAGGACTGGTTGTCGATTTATGCACTTTAGGCAAAAAATTAAAAGTCGGAATTCTAGGAGTATCTGAATATAGGAATGAGAAATTCTTTTCGTCAATAATACCTTCTTCCTTATATTTAGTAAGTAGCAACTTTAACTCACCATTAAAAGTCGCATTCGGGTTAGAGGATAATTTTTTATAAGTGGTAGTGTCACCCAAAAGTCTATTAGATTCTTTGAGATAATATTCTGTGGACATGACCACAGTACCTCCTCCCTTATCTGCACTCTTAATAGTGATATCTCTACGATCTTTCAAACATTCTAATGTTTTGTTTTCTTCTCTGGTTAAATTAAAATTTCTCATTTTAAAATCCAATTTATTTATATCTTTATTAACCATTTTTGAAAAGGCCTCTATCTGGTGTCCTCTTTCATTAGGGAAAAAAGTAGATTTCGGTTTAAAAGTGGATTTTGGGGAACTATTTAATTTATAATTTCTGTTGTAAAAACCTTCTAACTCTTTCTTTTTAAAAAAGCGTTTAATAGACATTTTCAGTACAAATTTATTAAGATCAATAAATAAATCAAAAGGTTTAGCAGCAATATTTGAAGAAAATTTTAAACCTTTTTCTAAAATCATAATTTCTCTTTGTGTCAAAATTACATTACCAACAATAAAAATTCCTTTTGATAAAGCTAATGACTTTATTTCGAGCGGGTCGTCCCTTCGCTTGTTCGCCTCCTTTTCCCTGGGGCATTCCATTCCCCCAGGGGGGAAAATCTGTTCGTAAGATCTATTTTGGATAGTTTGTGGGGGAAAAACTAATTTATTTGTCCCTTTTTCTTTAGATTTTGACCCTTGTCTAAAAAATGATCAATCTCCTCAAAAATCTTTTGTGAATCCGAATGGATCCTGGAGAGATCTTTCTTTTGTTCGGAATTTTTTATTGAGAATTTTTTCTTATTAGTCATACCTTGAGGTTTCACTAATTTCCACGGACTCTCAACAGGTTTATCTTTTCTTGTTTTTAAAGGGGATTTATTCCTAAAGGGAACTCTGGACCCGCCCATTTTTTTATAATTTGGAGTATGGATCCCTTTTTCTCCTTTTTTATCTATCCTGAAATTATTTTACAATTATTATTATAGCCACCATTCTGATTAAACCTATTTGGCTTATTAGTAATAGAATGGAAATTCAAATCTCTATCATTCTTATCCCTGACATACTTTCTATTTTTTGTTTCTGCTATTTTCTCATCAATTTTATTAACTTTTTCAAGTAAAAATCTTTCTTTGTTTTTAAAAACTTCATTATCTTTATCTAAGAAAAACTCTTGTTCTAATTTCTCCATGCCAGTGGACAATTTATTCAAATTATCTTTCTCAAAATCAATAATAATTTCCATTAATATTTTAGGGCATTTTTCAAAAGCTGTGTCCCATCTTAAGGCATGTGGTGAAAATTCTAAACCATTAGCAGGGTCTTTCCTCAACCTTAGGCCTCTTGGGATTAGGTTTTCTTTAATATACGCTTCTAGAAACGAAATTTCCCACCATTTTTTTGTTTCTTTAATCGCAATTTTTTCCATTTAAAAAAAATACTCGTCAGAATTTACATTTTGGGTAATTGGAATACCTTCTATTTGACTTGAAAACAGAGAATTAAATCTAGCTTCTCTGCTGGACTTAAGCTCTGAAAACATGCTCTTTCTTTGTGCCATAGTCACCACCAGGGTTAATGTGAGGAATATACAAACAAAATATAGTGATTTGCAAACAATGCAAAGCAACCCTTGTGGCTATCAAACGGGGGAAAAATATAAAATATACATACCCCAAATTAGGAGGTGCAAAAAGACTCCTCAATGTCTTCAATATCATAAATATAAAACACTAAAAAGCACAACCTAAAAAGTACAAAGGGAGACCAATAGTGCAGACTGAAAAAAAATAAAAAAACATACCATAAAAAGACTAAAATGCACTCACAAACAAAGATGTTAATAGGCAGGATATAAACAGTCTTCTTAAAATGCTTTGTCTCTTCTTAGTGTGGAGATAAATGCTTAAAACAAAGCACAAAGACAGACCATAGAGTATAACTGTATAGTATTAAAAATGTAACTTTGTGCGTGAGTGTTTGCCCGTAATTGAGCATGTGTGACTGTCTACCTGTAACTTTGTGTGAATGTCCGCCTGTAACTGTGTGTGTGTGCGTGTGTGTGTCTGCATGTAAATGTGTGTGTGTGACTGTCTGCCTGTAACTGTGTGTGTGTGTGTGTGTGACTGTGACTGTCTGCCTGTAACTGTGTGTGTGTGTGTGTGACTGTCTGCCTGTAACTGTGTGTGACTGTCTGCCTGTAACTGAGCATGTGTGATGTGTGACTGCTTGTAACTGTGTGTGTGGTTGAGACTGTCTGCCTATACCTGTGTGTGAATGTCCACCTGTAACTGTGTGTGTGTGCGTGTGTGTGTCTGCATGTAAATGTGTGTGTGTGACTGTCTGCCTGTAACTGTGTGTGTGTGTGTGTGTGACTGTGACTGTCTGCTGTAACTGTGTGTGTGTGTGTGTGACTGTCTGCCTGTAACTGTGTGTGACTGTCTGCCTGTAACTGAGCATGTGTGATGTGTGACTGCTTGTAACTGTGTGTGTGGTTGAGACTGTCTGCCTGTAACTGTGTGTGTGTGTGTGTCTGTCTGTCTGCCTGTAAATGTGTGTGTGTGACTGTCTGCCTGTAACTGTGTGTGTGTATGTGTGACTGTCTGCCTGTAACTGTGCATGTATGACTGTCTGCTTGTAACTGAGCGTGTGTCACTGTCTGTTGTAACTGTGTGTGACTGTCTGCCTTTAACTGTGTGTGTCTGTGTGACTGTCTGCCTGTAACTGAATGTATGTGTGTATTTGTGTGACTGTTTGCCTGTGTGTGACATACTTAGCCTGCCCCTCTGTAATGCAGGGAGGCAGTCTGGCACCTCTGGACTGCACTTATGATCATAAGTAGCTGTCTGTGTGTGTGACTGTTTGCGTGTGTGTGTGTGTGTCAGAGAGAGACTGTCAAGTGTGTGTGTGTGACTATCTGCCTGTGTGTGACTGTCTGCCTGTGTGTGTGTGTGTGACTGTCTACCTGTGACTGAGCAGTCTGTCACGTTTGGCCTGCATTTCTGCTGGCTGCATAAGTAGCTGTCTTCCAAGCTCCGGCCAATCAGTGCGTTGCTGTAGATTACCACAGGAAAGCTCTGACACTGTAAATGCCTAAGCTAACCAGGCAGTTACTCATAGTCTGCACCCAGTAAAGGGGCAGACCAGATTCCCAGCACACTGGAACACCAGACATCAGCATTCCCCCTCTCACTGCAAGGTAACAACCGGGAAGGGAGAATGAATATTTGTTTTTAAATTGTTATTAATCTATAAAATCCCCTATACAAACACACATACATGGATGAAAGTGTATAACTGGGGAAGCGAGCTGTGAAGATTTTTTGCACAGGATGCATAATGGTCTAAGGCCGGCCCTGCGTGTAGAAATGAATATTTAAATTAATCCCATATTGGAGAACAATCCTGATTAAAGTTAGTAAATAGTAGATACACTCATTGATTTAACACACACTCACAGACACAGACACTTTCACTGATTTGACCCTCTCTGACAAACACACACTCCCTGAGAGACAAATACACATCCTCTCACACATACTCACAATTTTGAAAAAATTTTTTTATTTAAATTCACCCAGCCTCCCTATTTTTGGTGGAGCTGGAGTGGATCCTTTCCATGGGGTCCAGTGTGGGGCCTGTGTAATCGTCATGCTCTTCCAGCCCTGCTCCCTTGCACTCTGTTTAGTGGTGCCGGAGCTAGAGTGACATTATAATCTGGCTCTCGGCATCAGAGCACAGACATTACAGCTCCATCGTTGCCTCCGCCTTCATTCTCACCCAGCCAGCTGCCTCTTGGGAAATGCTGTGGTGGTGAGCTTGCCAGATCTTAGTGTACCACGGATTGAAAAACTAGGCTCTAGAGTGAAATTTAGTTGATATTTCCTTTTCTTCATCCCATATCTGTAACTTACTATTTTGATCTTTTTTTTGTAATTTCATTTTTTATTGGATGATAGCATATACCAAGTAAATATCGTTGCCAGCAAGAAACCTCTCAACAATAAGGAGTTATATATCATAGTTAACATAAGCCAAACTGACACATTGAGAACATTTTGTTTTATAAGTGGAACAGGGAAATGCCAGAAGCGTAAGTAGTGATAGGTAAATACTCATAAAGATATATCATCGATAGAAACACTAGTTGCAAAAAAGGCCGGATTAACATAGGCGCTGATGGAGCTGCAGCTCCAGGCCCAGGCCCAGGCCCATGGAATAGGCCCACTGATTTCCTCTAACCCTCCCCCACCCCCTCCCAAAAAATAATTTTTTTACACACTACTCTTAGGGTTGCCACCTGGCCAGTATTTATTTGAGACTGCCTGGCCATTGCCGATATTGCAGTATTATCGGCAATACAAATGCCGGTATTTTTTTCAGTATAAACAGAGATTACTCTGCAATACCAGCACCAGCCAGTAGTAGTCACTGTGTGTGTGGAGAGAGGCAGGGATAGGAAGTTACAGCATCTCTCTACTCACTGATCCGCGGGGAGCAGCTACACAGCACAGAGAGTCCAGACAGGAGCTCCCAGCCTGCAGAGACAGCCTTCAGCTCAGGGAAGTGAGGGATGGGGTAAAGGTTGCAGGGAGACATGGAATACTGAGACACTAGGGGACACTGTGAGCCATGGGGACACAAGGAGACCTCGGGGAACGCTGAGACACTTGGAGACACAGGGACACAGGTGCACATGGGGACACTGAGACATGGGGACACAGACACACATGGGGACACTGAAACACTAGGGGACACTGAGATCTGGGAACACTGAGATACTAGGGGACGCTGGGAGACATGTGGAAACAGACACACATGGGGACATTGAGACATGGGGACACTGAGACACTTGGGGACACTGGGAGACATGAAGACACTGAGACACTAGGGACACAATGTCCCCAAGTGTCTCAGTGTCCCCATGTGTCCCAGCCAGTGTATCTGGTGTCTCAGTGCCCCCATGTCTCCCAGTGTCTCAGAGTCCCCATATCTCCCAGTGTCCACATGTCTCCCAGTGTATCCATGACGCCCAGTGTTCCCAAGTGTCTCGGTGTCCCCTAGTGACACTGGACATCTGAGTACTAGGGAGCAGTCCTTAGAAAACATGGAGCGAGCGCATCATTAGACGCATTTATACCAAGCTCAGGATGCTGTCAGGATTCATGCCAGACTAGCCCTCCAATTCTTTGGGCAGACATGCCTCCTTTTTGGGCATGTTCATCCCTTTCGGCAGTTCTCGTTACATGATCTGCGTCAGTGGCCCACCCTTTTACAACACCCAATGACTTCCTGTTTCACTGGACACTGCTGTTAGGGGCTATGGATTTACTTGAAGGATGAAAGCATGAATTAGAGAGAGATTAGCATATTTTAAAAGAATCTGAGATTTCTTATAGCTGCATCCTTTGAGTTTCCCTCCGGCAATATCTCCACCAGATACATAACGCTTGAGAGGTATGAATGTTTTAATGTTTTTGGTCGATAAGATTCTGTACTTAGACCCCGCATAATTGTCAGCACCAGGCCCACTGGGCTCCTTATCTGGCCCTGGTTGCAAGAACAGACATGAAGAGTAATAGAAATTAAGATAATATTAATACTTGATGCACAGAATGAAAAATAAAACAGCATGATTTATAAACATATCTGAGCTACAGATTGTTTGACCACCAGCAAAGACCAAAATAGAATGGGACATAATATCCTCTATAGAAAACATTCAACTTTACCTCCGCCAAAGGGCTGTCACCACTTGTAGCGGAGCTCCCTGTACTCCCTCCACCAAAGGGCTGCTTCCTGGCTGAAACCAGGAAATGGATAGGGGAACTAGCTCTCTTAGTCCTTACAAGGACTTTCCCCGCTGCATCCCCTGCAAGCTAGAACAGCAGGGGTTAATCTCCCTACCCTCCAGTAACTGGAAGAGACACAGTTCTGGAGGTACAACTCTGACAATCTTTATTTGGAACACACAGATTTTATGCACAGACCCCCACAGGAGGTCTCCATTCAAAGTAACCCAAAACATAAACCCGCCCCGGCGTCACTGTGTCTGGGAGATAATAACGTTCCCTCTCAGGTCCAAAGGGCCATCCCTCCCATGATCCTCTGTGCCTGAGAGATAATCAAGTTCCCTCTCAGGTCCAGTAAATTTTACAATCGTTCCAAACTCACACACACACATTTTAACATTACAAACCTGAGTTACTCTTTGAAGCTGGGGACTCCAACAGAGCTATTCGGTAAGGTGTAAGAAGTCACACCTAAGTGCCCCGGAAGCCTGGTTTGCCTCTTAGATAGGAAGTCGTTTGACATGTTAATGCTCATCAGCTTTTAATATTTCAATATTTCATAATATTTCAGCTCATCAGCTCATCATTTTTTAATATTTCATTCATATTAAATGTTTTATACCTAAATATTTGATGTTAAATGAAAGCTCTGTTTCCCCTGAATAAAATGATATATAATAAGTGTCTGTGCACATAATGTGAAAGAGGTGAATTACGCCTGAACAGACATATAGCGCAAATTCAAGTTTTTGTTTACGTTTTGTTTTGATCACAACGCGTACATTTGGCTCAGTCCTTAAGGGGTTAAGTGTCAGCCAAGCAGACATTTCTTAATTGAGTTATAAAAGTGCTAATTTCACGTAGAAATATGCACTTTTATAAAGTGCACTTTAGATGGGAAGCTGCAGTTCTCTATGTGTATGAAGCAGTACTTCAAAGCAAATCTGTCCCTTTCACTGAACTTCCAACGCAATCCAAAGAAAGGAATGGAATACTTTGTCTTATGGACACAACTGTTGTCAAAATTTGTGAAAAGGTGGATCTCCAACGTCAACATTTGTCCAAACATGGAGAGGAGGACAGCTTGAGGTAAGTAAAACTTATCTCCCCTTGCACCCCACGGCCATCAGACCTAGACCTACACCAGACATTTCACTTTTGTGCTTCTTTTAAAAAAAAAATGCCCAAGCATTTAGGGCCACCCAATGGGCCCTATTATCTTCAGGGGCCCGGTCAGCGCTGTAATAGTGACCGGGCCCCTTTAAAAAAAAAAAAAAAAATGCAGCCGGAAAGCAAGTTTACTCCAGGCGGGAAGGAGGAGAGAAAGCATGAAGGCCGCGAGGAGAGGCAGCCGACTCACATCATCCCCAGCCACCCTCCTGCGACAAAATGGTAAGGCTGAAAATGAGGTGTGTGTATATGTATGTGAGTATGTGTATGCCAGTGTATGTATGCATGCCAGTGTATGTATGTATGCATGCCAGTGTATGTATGCCAGTGTATGTATGCCAGTGTATGTATGCATGCCAGTGTATGTATGTATGCATGCCAGTGTATGTATGCATGCCAGTGTATGTATGTATGTATGCCAGTGTGTGTGTGTGTGTATGTATGCCAGTGTGTGTGTATGTATGTATGCCAGTGTGTATGTATGCCAGTGTGTGTGTATGTATGCCAGTGTGTGTGTATGTATGTATGTATATATCAGTATGCAGTATGTGTATGTACGTATGTTTGTCAGTATCTCCCTATGCATGTGTGTATGTCTGTTTCAGTATTTGTATCTGTTAGTGTGTGTGTATTCCTGTGGGTGGGATTTGGAGGTGGGCCCTGTGGGCAGGCTTGAAGGGAGGCCCAGACCTTGAGCTGTGTTAGGGGCCCCAAAATTTCTGATGGCGGCCCTGGCACTGTGGAATATGTTGCCAAGTAATTGCAATTAAGTAACATGAACACATTTTTAGAAGAGATATCATCTTGTTAATTGCAAACTGTAGACCAAAAAATATTTAACTTTAAAAGACAAACATTGGGAATAGTGTATTTTGTCAACACCAATCCTAGTTCTTAATTTAACAGTATTAATCAAGGTATTAATCAACATTTACCACTTTTGGTATGTTTGGTAATTATATGTATTTAGAGCACTCTGAAGTGCTAATACTGCCCAGAGTATAAGACTGCCTTTGTCCCATAGTACATCCTGCTGCTATCTTTTCCCCAGATAAACAATGCACACACATCGCCATCCACCTGATCTTAAAATCATGAAAATGTGATTCATCAGACCAGGCAAGTTTCTTCCATGTTTGCTCCATGGTTTAGTTCTGACACTCACATCACCATTAAAGGACCACTCTAGGCACCCAGACCACTTCAGCTTAATGAAGTGGTCTGGGTGCCAGGTACCTCTAGGATTAACCCTTTTTTTTTTAAAAACATAGCAGTTTCAGAGAAACTGCTATGTTTATACTGAGGGTTAATCCAGCCTCCAGAGCCTCTAGTGGCTGTCTCATTGACAGCCGCTAGAGGCGCTTGCGTGCTTCTCACTGTGAAAATCACAGTGAGAGCACGCAAGCGTCCATAGGAAAGCATTGTAAATGCTTTCCTATGCGACGGCTGAATGCGCGCGCGGCTCCTGCCGCGCATGCGCATTCAGCCGATGACGTCGCGAGCAAGGAGGAGAGGAGGAGTACAGCTCCCCGCCTGGCGCTGGAGAAACGCAAGTGTTTAACCCCATCCTCTCCCCAGAGCCCGGCGGGAGGGGGACCCTGAGGGTGGGGGCACCCTCAGGACACTATAGTGCCAGGAAAACGAGTATGTTTTCCTGGCACTATAGTGGTCCTTTAAAAGTACTTTTGGAGACAGACAGTGGTCATCATGGCAATTTGGTCACTCATGGCACTCTGCACCACTTTTGGAAGGTACTAACCACTGTATACTGGAAACACCCCACAAGACTTTCCATTTTGGGCATGCTCTGACACAGTCATCACTATTTGACCGTTTTCAAAGTCACTTAGATCTTTTCGCTTGCCCATTTTTCATATATATACAAAAAAATGAATAGCAGTCAGGACCAGATAAAGGTTTTAAATGGAAAACTTAAATATCGATAAAAGTGATGTTTTATTTTTATAACAAAGTCATAGAGTGCTTTCCATTTTTATGTTTTTCTCTATTTACATAACTGCTGGATCTGAGCACCGGATAAAAGCTTTTATTTTTTTCAGTCCACGAACATGCAGCCATGTTGATACATGGCATGTATTTAAATACATGCAAACATACATGCACAAACATATACATACTGATGAACAGAGACACACAGACATACACACATTGACAGATACAGACAAACTCACAGTGTGTAGCTAGTGGTGTATATTTGTGATAGAGTGTGTCTGGCTGTGTGTATCGGTACCTATATATGCATCTCTGGCGTCTCATTGGGTGTGTGTGCGTCTGACTTTATTTCTGTGTGTATCTGTGACTGTGTCAATGTGTGTCTGTGGTTTTGATGTGTGTGTTGTGGTTGATGGGTAGGCTGTGTTGTAAGTGTGTGAGGGTGACTGTCTGTGGGGGGTGTGCCTGTGTATGATAGTGAATGTGGCTGTGCCAGGGTGACTGTGGATATGTGGCAGGGTGTGTATGACTGGGTGGCTGTGGCAGGTTGAGTGTAACAGGATGACAGTGAGAGGGGTTTCTGTAAGGGGGCGAGTGTGTAGAGCTCACCAGGTGTGGGGAGAGGCTGTGTTTCTCTGTCCAGTCTCCCTACACACTTTGTCTATATATGTTTATTTAGTTACTTTTCTGCAGTCCCCCTACTTCTTACCTGAGAGAGGCGATCAAACCTTGCTCCTAGTGGGCAGTGGGCAGAGCTGCAGGTCTGCACATTCTGTGCATGAAGACCACTGGCAATGCTCCCTTCTGGTCTTTGACAGCAAAAGAGCATTGGCACTAATCTGCACTCACTAAAGTTGCAGACTTTCCGCTCCCTTACTGGAGCTACCAGCACAGGGGGCCCTGCAGACACAGCACAATGCTTGCAGTACTCATTTATCTGTCAATCTAAGAACTCTGGGATAGTTGTGGAAACATGATTTGTCGAGTTTCTGTACCCAAGGAGGACTATCCAAAGTCCAACATGATGTATGCAGGTGATGCACAACAGTGATTTCCCAAAATGTAAAACTAAAAGAACATAACTGGAACTTTGAATTCACAACAAATGTCACTTTAGAGAATAACCGAGTGTGTGTATAACGCTTCTACCTCTGCTAACACAAAAACATATGATCAATTCCTAGATTGATAAATGTTGCGTGGCAAGCTAGTAAAACTTAAAATGAGGACTTGAAGTTGAGTTCACCATATGTGGAGTGTGCAATAATTTTAGAAGTAATTATAGAATTTTTATGAAAAATGCTGTAAAGAAAAAGTGAAAATTACATTCAGAAAGACAAACTGTACAAATGCTCTTTTTTTTCCAGAAATAACAAAATTTTATGAGCCCTATAAAAAAAGACATTTGAAAAAAATATACAACTAACTTTAAACCATGTGTTATACAATAGGCAAAAGAAATGTTTTTTACAAAATCACTTAAGCATCTTCAAAACGTGTGCAAAATGCATTTGGTCAATAGAAACATTTAACATTTGAAGGCAAATTTCAGGCACCAAAGGTGGAAAATAAGCATCTGTCAAAGCCTGATTTGTGTAGGTATCCACATTTTTGTATGATGTCCTAGTCTAATCCCTGTCTTCTAACAGGCAGTGATGAGGCAACTAGTATAGCTTTACCACCTTTTAAACACTCTACCGCTATGAGCAGTTTCCCATTTATTTATTTAAAAACTAAAAGAAGCCTCTTGCCTAAGTGAATGCAAGCTGTCCTGGCATTAGCTATTGGCTGTACTAAATATTGGAGAGTATATTCTATTAATTTGTGGATTGCTGACATATATGAGTGTGATCTTATACACACGCACACATGCCCAGTATGCAGGAGTTGTATGATCAATGAGGGGTTATGCTAATAATGTAACTGGTACTTACTGTGGCTCTGTCACTGGGCTACCCTTTTTTTAAAATCATGTTTATTTTTAAAGTTATGCATAAGGAAAAGTAGGGACAACTGTTCCTTAGGTATAACCTGCAGGTTGTCAGAAGTTGAGAACGGGTGGCACTCTACTCAAGTTCTACATCCTCTGTTAACTTGGTCATTGGCAGTCTAGTTCTTTACCCACGTCCCACCTGCCTCATGGATCCTCTGTGTTGACTTTCGTTTAATTGTACTATAAGGTCTATAAGTGTACTGAATATGCACGTGGTTTCACACACATGCCCTATAAAGGACAGAAGAGAAGAATTTTGACGGCCACAATCTTAGATTTCTTAGAAAGAAGACCCAACAGAACCACGCTTTGCATGAGGACACCCAGTGTCAGCTAAAACCCCTTAGGAAGTCACTGAATTAATGTTTCCTATCAGGGAAGTCCTAATGCGATTGCAGCACTCACAGCGCTTGCGCTTTAGGTCACCCCCGTCGGCTGACGGCTGAGGAGGAGAGGAGGCGCAGACTCACCCAGCGCCAATGGACATCAGTGCTGGAATCATGTAAGTGACAAATGGGTTTTTAACTCATTCAGAGCTGCGGGGAGTGCAAGATAGAGGGGGCACTATAATGCTAGGAATACAACTTTGTATTTCCAGCACTATAGTTTCCCTTTAAAAGTGTGGGTGTTTATTGTAAGCAGCTTTTCCAGCCTGCCAACTAAGACTGAACATGAACAGTGTGCTGCAGAAGCATTGTCTTATAAACAGAAACATCCAGTCACCTGCACAAAAAATCATGCCGTCTGGGTTATTTGGGGACTTTCTTTGGTGTTCCCAAAAGCAGGACACCAGGAAAAACACCCAGAGCAGAAAAGAGGTGCCAAATTGAGACTGCACTCCTATATTCAGTTCTACTGCAAGATATGTTCTCATATACAAAGCAACTAGAGGCCAGGAGTATGGCAGCCAGTTCCTGGTCCATGGATGACTATACAGGGGTAGAAGTTTCTTAATTTTTTTATTATTGGTATTACTTAATGCATTCATGTTGGTGGTAATTCATCCTACTTTATATATGTATATATGTAAATATCATGTTGACAAAACAAACTTTTTCAGATTTAACACATGATCATCCCGCTCTATCCCACCAAAACAGCATATAATGATTATCTGTTCCCATCACCCTAATGCAGTAAACATATGAAAAAATATAAATTTCTCTAAATAAAGTAAATAACTACAATAAAGTGTATTTTACAAAGTGGTCGTTAGACAAAAATATACTTACTTTAAATTATGTAGTTAAACCTTTAAGTGCTTTATATATGGGCAAATCATTCACACTTCTCTGATACACAAATATCCTACACGGGGCATAACATTAATGCAAACATTTGCAAGATGAATCAAACACTTCTCACATAGCCATTTACATTACAATTAAAGTGTCATACCATACATGACTAGTAGGGTTAATCACTAAAGTGAGAATTTAAAGTGAATTTCAAATTTAAAGGGACACGGTAGGCACCCAGACCAGTTCATCTCATTAAAGTGGTCTGGGTGCAGTGACCCTGTAATCTGAACCCTGCAAAGTAAAACATTGCAGTTTTAGAGAAACTGCGATGTTTACATTGCAGTGTTAAGACTGCCACAAGTGGCAGTCTATCAGACAGTCACTAGAAGCACTTTATGCAGTTTCATGCAGTTTGACTAAGTAAAACGACGCTGGATGTACTCACGCTTTGTATGAAGACATCCAGTATTTTAAAAACCCCTGCAGGAAAGCATGGAGTCATTGCTTTCCTATGGGGAGGACTCTGGTCTTAAAGGGACACTATAGGCACCCAGACCACTTCAGCTCATTGAAGTGATTTGGATACAAATGTCCCTATTGCCCTTAGTGATGCAATGTTAAACATTGCAGTTCCAGAGAACTGCACACAGTGGCTGTCTGACAGCCACTGGAGGCGCTTCCGACATCCAAACAGACCTTTGGTCTGGTAACTGACATTGGATGTCCTCACGCTCTGCATAAGGACATCCAGCATCTTTTTTTTTCCCCATAGGAAAGATTTGATTCAATGCCAGCTCATCCCGGGAATTCGGAGGAGGTGGAGCCGCGACCCAGCACCGAGGGAAATCGGCTCTGGGGTAAGGTAAGTAAATAAAGAGTTTTACAGCGGTGGGGAGGCACGAGGGTGGGGGGAAGCGGAGGGATCTAGAGTGCCTGGAATTTTAAATTCTCTTTGAATTTACATGAATTCTCTCTTTAGTAAATAACCCTGTAAGTGTCACTTTATGGGAAATACAATATTACCCATGAATTAGCAAAATTGATACCACATGCTATTCATTTTTTTCTGTAGCCTTAGTCACAGTCTATGGGTAGTAATTGACTGGAAATATATATTATTAATGCTTCAAGATTAGGAAAAAAGAAAAAAAAGTTGAACAATACTTTGTTAAGGCACAGGCATGTAGGGTTTAGCTGAACATTTCTGATATATTTGGAGAAATTTGCTGTGTCACCCTGAAACGCATTTTGGTGGCTACCTTACATTATAAAGCACCAGCACACCTTTTTGTTTCAGAGCAATAGATAAAAAAAAAAAAATCTTAATCTAGGGTTTATATCACTATTTTTCCATGCATTTAATATTTAATTAATATTTGTATTTTCTGTTTTTAATTGACATTGTCCAAGATTAGTTTTTATATAAAATATTAAAAGAAAATGTAATAATAAATGTATAATATTGAACATTGAAAACGTAGAAGTACCATGTAAAAGAAAAAATAAACTTTTTTTTTAATGATTTATCTTATCTCTAGGTTAAAAAAAGTCTAAAAAAATATATTCAGATATCTCTTTATTAACAGAAACTATGTGCAGAGCAGTTTCTCAACATTTGTTATCTGTTAAAGTGTATTATTTATACACAAAATGTGTGGAGGAAAAGCCCTTCATATACACCTATAGGAAGGTATATATGAAGGATTACCAGAACCACTACATTTACTTGCCTCATATAATTTCTACCTGCTAATTGGCATTACATGAAAAGAGCACCCTTGTGTGTATGTTTGGCATGTACAAGAGGGAATTCAGTTAAAGGGACACTCCACTGACCAAATAAAAAAATATACAAAAATCACTGTTTCGTAGGTAAACCCCAAATGTCATGTATGCATTTAATTATGCATGTATTCATTGGGGTATAATCTAAAAACAGCTTGCAAAACCTGCAGATTTCTTGTCTGCTGCTTTTGCCAGCCCTCACCTTCTAATCCCAGCCAGACTTTTGTGGCTGTCCAATCACAGACTTCCCACTACAGCTCAATGAGAAGCCTTTGCAAGGCTGGTGTTCTAAGCAATTGCCGCCTCTTGGTTTTAATTCCACTGAGCTAACCAAACCAGGAAGTTACAGGACCGGTTGTCTGCTTGACAGTTAAGAAGGTGTAACCAGATAACTTATAAAAGTGTCAATTTCTACTGAAATATGCACTTTTTGCAACAACAAAAAAAAGAGAACACACTCTTTACACATAAAGTTTTTTAGCAAGTGCTTTAGGTGTCTGGGGTGTCCCTTTAACTAGGTAAGGCAAGTACTTGGGAATTTCACTATGACTGATAAACTGATTTCCTTCCCACCCCATATGAATTCTGGCACTGCAGGGCATCATTTTACATGTACCTCTGGCAACTGTATGCACATGTAATCAAAGGCAAATAGCAAGATCTTCTTAGCCATCTAATCTGTCCAAAATTCTTTCTACTATAAAACTGCAAATCGTATTTGACCTTTTACCTTCTCTGATGACTTGAATATCCCTATGTCTATCCAACACATGTTTATATTTCATTACTATATCACTTTTGTTGGAAAAGAAACCGGAAGTCTGGGAGTAAAATGAAACTCTAGCACTGGGGAGGTTATAAGTAGAATGGGCTATAGATCTATTTAAGCTGCATGACTTCACCTATTAATATATATCAATATGCAATTTCTCAAAAAAACAACAACAACAAAAAAACAATTATTCAATAAAGGTCTTTACATCAAAAAGTGAGCATCTTGTTGAAATTAAAAATGTTTTAAATCTTAGTGGAGATGATAACCAACTACTTTAACCACTTAATGACTACATGATGGTTTATGCTGTCATGTAGGGCAGGGCCTTGTGCATTGTGATGGCATAGACTATCATGCAGTGGAAGTACCAGCAGGAGTTAAAGCCATGCTGGTACAAAAGAACCCCAGACTCATAGCCCTTTTAAATACTGGATCATCTGTAATGTGTGCGCTAGGAATTCCCTCTGCTGATGTCATGACTGACATCAGCAGAGGGAATTCCTTAAGAGGTGGGATTAGAGAGTGGGATTGTGACTGGGATAATAGGTAGGATTATGGGTTGAATTAGGGTAGGATGACAGGTAAAATTAGTGTTGGATTCAGGATAGATTATGGGTTGGAACGGGGTAGGAAAAGCAATTAGATTATGGGTTGGATTAGTGGTTGGATTTAGGGTTCCATTAAGGGTTGGATCAAGGACAATATAAGGGATAGAATTAGGGACAGGATTAGGGTAAACGATATAGATATAGGGTATCGTATTCAAAAACAGTAGCAGAATACGAATATCTGTGAATTTCCTCAAAATACATGTATGGAAAAACCCCACAAACAAAAACTACATTGATCTAGGTTTGTGATAAAATGATTAAATGAAATGTGTAAAAATGCCCTTAGTTACGTAGCCTGGGGTGTACTTTCTATAAATATATACTTTGGTATAGCGGTTTTGGATTGTGAGACTACAATTATAATTGTAATCTCATGATGCCAAATTTTGCAAAGATTTAGAACCATAATTCAGTCCTTGCAGTATTAGTTTTATAACTTCTAAAAATTTATTGAAATCCTAGACATATTGGGCGTTTTAACAATCAGGACTAACTAGTGAATCTATTTTGAGTTAGTTTTCTTTATTTGCACTTGGTGCGTAGAAATTATTAAATGTAAAACTGAGAAAAGAAAATGTTTTTTAAACTTGTTTCCCATTGTTAATATTTTATTCCTATTTAAGATTGTGTTATGTGTACATATAGGGTATCAAAAGAAAGCCCTATTTCTCTTTTTAAAAAATGATATATAATATGTATAGGTTAACTTAAATAGAAAGAAAAGAATTGTGGTAGAAGGAATGCATGTAAAAGTGACAAAAAGACCTTGGTTACAAATTTGTTGCATCACAAAAAAGCCTTGGTCCTTGAAGGGCTAAAATGTGTTTTGTCTGTTGTTTTTTCTTAAACATTTGATTTTAAAAGTTACACCATGGTGATCTTACTCCTCTCATCCTCCCCCACTTGATTATCTGGGGGATTCCTTACTCTTGCATCCTAAGCTCATGATTTAAAAAATATATATATGCTTTTGCAGGTTGCAGGTGTATATTTATATATATATATATATATATATATATGTGTGTGTGCCTTTATAGGCTATGGCCTCTTGTCATTGGAGTTCTCTTTTTCTGACATATATTTCCAGATTTTGTTGAAACAATTTATCTACAGAGTACTCTCATAACCATTTCCAAATCTCTGTAGTCGTTCCTCCAATTATTGTTTTTTTTTAGTGGTGTAAACCTTGCACCATTCTATTTTTTACTTTCCCTGACTCAATGCAACAAATAGAGCAAAGTGAAGAATTAGAAGAAAATATTATTATAAAAATAACCGCTTATCTGGTTTTTAAAAATGTTAATGCAGCATAAAGACAGTTCTCTATGCTCTGCTGTTCAACTTTCTGTTTAAAATTCATCATGTATTTTTGCTGTTTGGAGACGTGCCTGATTTTTATTGTCTATGCAGAAGCCAAAACTATCTCTTGAAAAAATACTGCGATTCTGCTCTAGTAAATAAGCCATCATGAATAAAATAATAAGCTGGTATGGATTTATGATTATTAGACTTGATTTCAGCTGAAGGTAGAATGTTTTTTTTTTTTGTTTGTTTTTTTTTGGCAATTGTAGATATGTCCATTGCAATATCTGAAACAGGTATTTGATCCATTACTGAGGAAACATTTTCATAGTGGCATATAATATACCTTCCATTCAGGCGTTTCATTCATGATTGCAAAGTATCATTCATCTTTCAAAGGTTCAGAATTTACAATAAAACACTTGATTCATTGTTTTAATACCTACACCTCAGATCATGTTAATTCCAAGCTATCGAGTTGAAATAGGTTATGACTGGTTGGCGTGGTAAAGTACAGCTGGTTGGCTGGAGATCGGATCTCACAAGGACTTTTTAATCCAAGACTTCTTTCAAAATCTAACAGTTGTCCCATGAAGTTAAAATTAGGAGAAATATTTGACTTTTTCCTTTTCACAAAATCATAGGCATCATTGAGGGACAGGTTGAGCTTCTGCATAAGATAAGCAACAGTGACCGTTACAGATCTACTGATGCCTGCTAAACAATGAACCAAAATCCCACATTTATTTGAACGAGCCTCGTCTGTAAGAGAAAAACAAAACAAAAGTGTTAACACAGAAAGCTTAATTTAGAGTATCAACTTTACCATGCAATTCATTTCCACACCGAACATCCCAAGGGTATATTGCTAATTTATTGTGCCGATGACACTATAATAATAGTAATTAGCTTGATCCTGCTGGGAATCGCCTTGTTTAAGGATCTCCAACTGTTTGACAACAACTAAGTAAAAACTTAGCATAAAATATGCGAAACACCAATTAGCGACCACAGTAACAGACGTATTCACTAAAGTGAGAGTTGTCAGGAATTCAAAGTGAATTTCACACTTTTAACCAACTTAGCTGAACTGGCAACATAGCTGACCTGGAGATCTTGTTCCAGTTTGTTTATTTTGCCATACATTTTAAATCCACTAACATGTTCATCTGAAAACGAATGCCCAAGTCAAGTTGGTATGTCTGTATGTATGTCTGTATTTGCACAAGGCTGGCAGTCTTCTTTTTTGTTACATGCTACCAGCAACATGCATATCATCATTGACATTTCCTTATTCTAACTCAAATTTTATACCTCCCAGGTATGTAAAAGCCACAGATAAGTATTAGATGGAGGATGTATAGTATGGCAACTGTTAAAGGGACACTTACGTTGGCATAATGTAACAACAAAAACAAAAAAACTATCAGGTAAAATAGGTAGCAAATGGGTAAAAATAAAGAACCACTAAACCTTTTTTTTTTAATGAAGCAAAAATGTAACATTGCTTTTAATAAAAATTTTCTTAGGGGAAGTGGGTTCAGCACCATGGATTGCTATGAGTAGGTCCCCAAATAATAATGTAGATAAATAATATGCAAATCCATAAATTGAGACAGGTGGTTATTAAACCATCTTTCCATGGCCATTTTTAGACCCATAATGGGTTCTGGTCACCCATCTTTTGACAATGAGCATCCACATGACCCTACTACGGAAATGGACCATCATATACTAATTCCGAGGTATATATAAGTCTGTTTAGGGATTGAGGGGCTATAATATTGTGACATTACTTACCTCCGCAGACCCACTCCTTCCGCGCAGCACACTGAGGGAGACTCACCTCCCTCGATCCTTGTAGACCTCCTCCTGCCGCACGGTCTGACCGAACTACGCGGCCACGCGGCAGGACGTCTATATATAGATGTGGATGTGATGTCACACCAACTCTTTAAGTGACCACATCATCATTGCCCTCCTAATCTGTTTTGAATCGAAGTGAGGACGTGGACCTCTCAGAACATAGGTAAGCCTATTTAAGGTTTATTTTAGCCCCCATTCACTGCCCTATCGTGGATTCTGTAAGATGCATGTTTAGTGCACCTAGAGATTCCCTTGTGATTTCCTGTGCTTGACCTTGGCTTCATATTGGACACGTGATTTCTGGTATCCTGACCTCTGCTTCGTATTTGTCTCGTGATTTCTGGTATATTGACACGGCTTTGTCTTGACTCTGAGTATTCCTGTTATTCCTGTCCTTGATTTATTCTTGACCCTGTTTGTTGTTGTATATTTACGTTAAGTCCGGCCATTCTAAGGGTCGGGAATATGTCTTTCGGATCCACCTTTTGTGGTTTCATCTTTCCTGCGTGTTGGGGTACGACTCTGGTGACAAATCTAAATATTAAATTGTTGTGTTTTGTAGAGTCTGCATTATCATAGCCAAAATAACTTTGTCTTTTTAAAATAGAACACTATTAGATCCTCAAGACAGAGAGAAATGGTTTCCGGTACGGTATTAGCCTATGGTGTCACAGAAACCAAATTCTGGGATTTTTATGGTAATAACAGTGTCTTAGGTCTCTGTTCTTTAGATGGCAAGTACTTTAAGCTTGAAGTAGATTTTGGTTATATTTTGCTGGTTATGTGATATTAAAAATGTTAATAAAGCCGTGGCCAAACACATTACCATATAATTGAAATATTGGTTTCATGTCATTATTGGGATTGGGTTTTCAGTCCAGAAATTCTGGAGTTAATTTACGGACATAAAAGTCGGCAACAAGTCTGGTTCATAACACCGCAAGCAGACAGCTCGAGGTGCACCATTAAAGATGCAAAGGTTCTTTTTAAAATGTAGAAGGCTCTTTAATTCTGATTCCCTTACAATCAGCTTCAGTCTGTTTGCAATTAAAATAATCACTAGATGTTATCTGAAGTAAACTCAAGGGACAAAATGGTGACCAATCAACAATTCAAACTACAACTACTGCACACATCGCATGCAAGATAACTTCCGTTAAAAAGCTTACATAATATTGATTGAGAAAACTCTGTTGTCATCTTAAGAGGAAGGACAAAAGCACAAAATGTCTGATTTGATCACAATAATCTATTCAAACAATTTCACTGCCTTTCACGTGTCAAGTAGTATTTTCTATGTACACATAAAAAGCATGTATTGCGACATAACTACACCCTGCATTTGTAATAGCTTTAGAAATTCCACACGGCAGTAAAGTTTAAAGTGACAGATAAACTAGTTATTTTGCTGTTCCATGGGAAACTTTGCCATCTGTGAACACACTTTGCAATATGTTAATCCCTTACAAAACATTACTGCTCAGTCTATATTTACTTCGTAATAGATGTTTTTTGTTTTTTTCCGAAGGTCACATTAAAGGAACAACTTTACGAAAAAAAGAAGTGTTATTTTTTATAAAGTTATGAGAACCATCTTTATTTATCATAATAAATTCAGACATGTCAATAAAAACCTAGGTAGGAAACGTAATGAATTATTCTTGGAAGCCAGAAACCATATGTGCTTTTCCTGCTTCTACTCACAGACAAAATCCTTTCTGATTGTAACTCTATTTCCAGTGACTGTTTATTCCTAGTGACTGGAAACATATTCACAGTGGCAAATTCCGGCACCAAACAGCAAAACATGTCAAGGAGGCATCGCTGTGGGTTCATTGTTTTAAGGCAGTGGGTCCAGATATAATTCTGCAAGTTGGAGGTAAATACAGTAGGCGCAGCGCAGCATGGGATTAATCCAGCATGGCATGAGTTAATGTAGCAGGTATATGTCTTAACTATTTAGGACAAAATGACTGGCCATTAGCTAGTTTTGTTATAGGGAATGTTGTAGGCAAGAGACACACACAAAAGCCAAAGAAGGGGAGAAAGAAATACAGAGGCTGGGGGAGAGACATACATAGGGGAAAGGGGAGAAAGAGACATGCACAGCAGCTGGTGGGGAAAGAGACAGAAACAGGGGCTGTGGGGGAAGACACACACGTACACACACACTGGGGCTGAGGAAGGGGAGAAAGATACACACACAGGGCCTGGAGAAGAAGAAAGAGGCACACAGAGGGGCTTGGGGGGAAGACACACATACATGAAAAGTGAGAAATAGACACACAAAAGCGGCTGGGGAAAGAGACATACAAAAAGGGCTGTGGGGAAGAAAGACACACAGAGGGGTTGGGGGGAGAAAGAGACACAGGGGCTGCGAAAAAGGGAAAATAGAGACACAAAGGGCCGTTTTGGTGTTAGGATCAGACAGATTATATTGGTATTACGGTTATATAGGGTATACTATAGTTCTATGGGTATTAGGGTCAAATGACTGGCATCTCCTGGTCTCGTTATTATTGGGCTAATGGACTAGGGAAGTTTGAGAAACCCATCATTATTATTTGCATTTGTAACACCCCTCTTGAATTTCTTACCCCCTATTATGTTTTTTATCCCCTCTTTCGTGTCTTACACCCCCATTAGTGTATCGCATCCCCCATTTTTCAACGTAAATGTCTAACATCCCCTTTTGTGTCTCTTACAAACCCCAATCTTGTATGTCTGTTACTTTCCCTGAGCCCCTATGTGTGTCTCTCTCTTCTCCCCAGCATCTTTGTGCGTCTCGTTCTCTCCCAGTCCTGTGTGCCACTTCCCCTCCAGCCCCTCTGTGTGTCTATTTCTCCTTCACCAGCCCCTGTGTGTTTATTTTCTCCCCTTCTCCTGTATGTGTCACATCCCCCATCCCCTCTGTATGTCTCCTCTCCCCAGCCGCTCTGTGTGCCTCTTTCCCTCCAGCTCCTTTTGTGTGTATCTTTCTCCCCTTTCCTATCCCCTGTGGGTTGTAAGAGAAAAAAACTAAAAACTGAATAAAAAAGTTATGTCAGTCTCAATAAAAATGACCTTTACATTTTATCTTATAGTATTTAAAGACACAGCATTAAACCACTTGGCAAACTATATACAGGCTATTTTACATCTATACAGATATATTCACCATGGCAATTAATAAGTTAAAAGTCAAGGAAACCAAACTCTTGCCTTTACTGTTGCTTTATTCTGATGACTCATATAGATTGCAAAACTCGCCTCAGGGCCCTTACTCTTAGATGCTTTCTGTATTTAACAATTACTATTGACACTTCTCTACTTCATGAAAAAAATATGCCACGCCATTCAAAAAAAAAAAAACACACCCTCTTGGAATATTTCAGTTTTTCTTGCGCCAAAAAAGCTTAACCTTGTGTGTGCCAAAAGGCTGTGTATAATACAGTAGTTGCAAGCAAACTGAAGGAAATAGAATTATAAAAACATTTCACATGGGAATTATGTGTGTAGTATTTATTAAAGGAATACTATAGTGCCAGGAATACAAAGCTGATTCTACCTGGGGGACCTGGAGATTGCTCTGGAGACAGTCGAGAATCGTTTAACCTCTTAAGAAAAGAGAGTGTCGGAGGCCTCTGGTACCATAGCAACTTAATTTAAAGAGTCCACTGGAAATTTCCCTTTTAAGTAATGATTAGCAGCTGTTTTTGTCTCACACAAAAAAAAAAACTGGATGGTCTGCCGCTTTAGTTTCCTAGAACTTTAACAACTTATATAAGATTCACAGGGTTACTTACAAAAATAAGAACTCAAAGTGAATTTCGAACTTGAGGTCCAAATAGCCAAAGTGAAAGCATGACTTTTTCTACTTCAGTAATTTTGACCTTAATTTTGAAATCCACTTTGAATTCACACTTTAGTAAAACACCTGACAATGTTTGTTTATCATTGACAATATATATATATATATATACATAGTGTATGTCACACTGCACATTGTCCTTGTACAAAGGTAAGCAGGAATCAACAAAAGCATGGAAATTTCCATTACTTCACTCAACTATGACAAATAGCATCTCGCAGATAAGCAGACCATTCTCTTTTTCATATACATAACACTGGTTGGGCTACTAACATTTCCACATCTGACTTGTATGTGATTATGGAAAGAAATACTTTCTAGCTAGAAAGGAGTTATTCTATGGTACATACGTACCAACAGACCTAAATATGGAGGGACAGTCACAATTTTCAAACTGCTGATGTTCTGCTTCTGAGTCCACAAATTTTATGGCAATTGAGTGCATTTGGTTTTTGCCAGGACTGTGCAAATGAGCACCATTATAACCTATGCTTCTAGAGATCTGAGTCTGAGAAGCCTGGCTCATAAAGCAGTGGTACGAATGGCTAAAATGTGTACTAGTAAAAACCTGTTTTACCAGCATTCACAAAAGAAACTTTAGGCAACCTAAGGCAACCTTCAACTTTTAAAGAATGCCAGTGCGACAAACAATAACTTTCAAAGAATTCCACTGGTCTATCTTCTCATGCGGTCAAATAATCAAACAAGGGGGGTGGGAAGGTAAAGAAAACATATTTTGTGTATCTTCACCCAAGCTGCTGACTTACCCTCTTAATTACAAACATTTTAGGTGTGGAGTTACCCTGGTGTCTTTAAGTCAAACTTTCAAAGTCTAGTAAGATCTGTCCCACCAAAAGCACAGATCTCTCTTCCGAGTTATATAATACTATATACTTTACCTAGATATGTTCTAACTCTGAAACTCATGCAAATAAAATACACCTGGGGCACAACGTTCATGGATAGGCCACCGAGGAAAAAATGGAGTGACAATAGAAAGGATGTGCAGGTCATGGGCCTATAGTACTGGTCACTCTACATCTCGACTCCAGCTGGTAATCAATTCTCATGGTTGCATTTTTTTTTTGAGTGGGGAGTTTATCAGCCCAGATATCTCTTCTCAGCTTTTTACTGTTATAGAGTACACTGGAATATGTAATAAAGGAACACTCCAACCACCAAAACCACTACATCCAGCTCGAGTGGTCATACCAGGTATGGTCTGGAGCAGTCCCAAGGTAAGTAGTCAAAAAGGCTTTATTCTATGGAGACATCCATTTTCTCCACAAGAAGAAGGCCACATGTGGCGTGGACATAAAGACTGCCCAGGTAGTCTGTCAAACCATACGAAAACAGTTTGACTATTCACCATGGGATGACACCAGGACAATCCTGACACCATAACCATTACAGTGGGCTGAAGTGGCTAAGGTGCTTGGAGTGTTCTCCTGGTGGCACAAACCTCATGTTTAGAAGCCAACGAGGAAGAAAAGGAAGTGACAAGGAACAAAGATTGTAGGAGCTCACGGACGCATGATTCTAGTCACACTACACCACAAGTACTCATATTATTGTGCCATTTCATGATTTAGCCTCAAACAATCTCCCACTGATGTATTTTCCTGCATTTCTAGGAATATTAAGTTGTTTTGTTTGAACAAGACTGTTGCATAACATGGGGAATTGAGCAACATATTTTGCTAGAGACATTTATATAGGTTTCATCCTGCAGGGCAGGAATTATATCCATTCAGTATCTATGTATATGGAAAAGAAAAAAAAAAGAAAACTTTATTTTTATCTTCCTATTCCTTATTCCCCTGTTGCACCCTGCCCCAACCACTACTAGATAAAAATTGGTCTTTATCATACAAAAGCTGCCATTTACACAAACTGCTAATTTGTTGAATTGTAATACCTACCAATAAATGAAATTGCCTCGGGAAAAAATTGTGAAAGATTTTGACTCCAGTGATCAGAGATGGGGATCTGTTTGTATTTGAATTCTCCGTTATGTTCAAACATGTTTGGCAAGTTAGGAGTCACATTGAGGATGTATTTGATATTATATTTAGCCAATGTATCCAAGTTGGAGGAATCTTTTGCGCAGCCAAGGTACAAATAAGGCAGTATCTGGACTGGGAAAGTTGAATGGTTCATGAGGATGGGACTCTCTTCCGGTTCAGTAGCACTGCTTGGTTCTCTGTCTGATTCGCCATCAGAACAATCAGAACTAATCCTTAGCCCTCCTAATCCAAGAACTGGTGCTGGTAACGTTTCACTGGGGCTAGCATTGTCAATGCCGGGCTCACAATGTTCTGGATATTCCAACTGAAATTTATTATAACCACCTACAAAATGGAAAAGAAAAAAATAAATGTAAATAAAAGCGAAGAGAAAAAAAACCATGATAAATAAATTACATACACAAAAATTTTGAAACAAAAAAATATAGAATTTTTAAAGAGTTTAATTTGTGGAAATATGCACCAGAAAAGCATAAAATGTTTTTCTCTTATTTATTTACTATTCTATGTAAAAGAGTTGTCAATTTATAGTTATAACAGTAAAGCGGCGCTCTATACACAATAACAACTACAGCCCACTGTGGTGGTTATGATGCCAAGAGTTCCCTGGCCCATGTCCATTGTAAGGAGTCAAACTGGTTTAAAATGGTTTGAAGCATATCTGGATCCATTGGACATCTGCAGTCTTTTCAGTCTTCTAGATATCAGTAAAGAGGAAGTTCTCATTCAGCCTTAGCAATATTATGGCTGAAAGCTTCAGCTGACACTCTGTAACTTATGTCCTGATAGAGCAAACTAATATTGCTAATGCGGAACAAGAACCTTTGCTAATATTGTTAATGCGGAACTGGATGCCTTGTTAGCCTCGTGTCATAAGGGGCCCAACAGCTGGCCAGCTGGCAACCTTAGGGCCCTCCCCGAAGTGGGCAGCCATTTGTATTAGAGGCAGGCGTTGAGGGAGCACTGATGTCTGTGCCCTTCTTACTCTGCTCCCTCCTGTGATGCTGGGAGCCAGAATATGATGTTATTCCGGCCCCGGTATTACTAAACAATGTGCGAGGGAGCAGAGCAAGTAGAATGCAGCTCCTTCACCACCTCCATTGCGTGCGTCCCTGCCCAGCACACCAGTAGCCTGCCCAGCAGCCACACTGGACCCCAAGGAAAGAAGCCACTCCAGTTCTACCAAAGGTCGGGAAGCTGGGTGCACTTAAAGTAAAATTTTAAAATAAAATATTTTGTGAGTGTTTGTCAGTAAATGGGTGTGTCTGTCAGTAAATGTGTGTGTCAGTCAGAGCGGATCAAATCAGTGAGGGTGTGTGTGTATGTCAGTATGGGTCTGTCACTGAGTGTATCAATGAGTATGTGCGTGCCTGTCAGTGAGTAAGTGTGTCACTGCGTCTGTCAGTGAAAGTGTGTGTTGGTTAAGCAGTGTGTGTGCCAGCCACTGTTTATCTTTCAGTGAGTGTAAGTCAGTGCATGTATCAGTGAGTGTGTGTGTCTATCAGTCAAAGTTAGTGTTGGTTTTAAACAGGAAGAGGTGCAGCCCTGATAGGAATGGATGGGGAAAATTTAAATTAGGGTGGGGGTGCCCGAGTTTAGTCATGCCTAGGGTAGCACAAAACCAAAATACACCACTGGTGCAGGTATATGTCAAACCGTTTATTCACAGTTTGACTGCTGTCCATGGGACATCACTAGGTAACTCTGGCACCATAACCACTATAGAGGGCTCATAGGCGTGCACACGAGGTGTGCCGGGTATGCCTGGGGACACCCTAATCCCCGCGGCACGCTTATGGATTGAGTCCTGCAGGAAGGCGTGGGAATGGTGTTCCTGCACTTTTTTTGTGTTGTGCTGTTCCTGCAGGCACTCACGGGACGGCAAAAAATGCTGCCGCCAAATGCCCCCCACATGTACCCCCTGTCATGGGGGGGCCAAGAGGTGATCGACCCCCCTGTCGGGCACCTGTCTCCATATCAGACGCGGCGAGGGAGCTGTGTCCTCTCTGCTCCCTCTCGCCGTGCACCGTTTCCTGATGCCGGGAGCCAAAATATGACGTCATATTCCAGCTCCCAGCTACAGTACACAGCCCGCGTGGCGAGAGGTCTCAGAGAGGACACAGCTCCCTCGCCGCGTCTGATATGGAGACAGGCGCCCGACCCACTGGACCCCAGGGGCAGGTCCATGCCAACTCTACAGGTAAGGGAGGCTGGGTGGACATTTTTTAATTAAAAAATAATAATTTGTGAGTGTGTGTGTGTGTCTGAGTATGTGTGTGTCTATGAGTGTATGTGTGTCAGTGTATGTGTGTGTGTCTGTGAATGTGTGTGTCTGAGTATGTGTGTGTCTGTGAATGTGTGTGTCTGTGAATGTGTGTGTCTGTGAATGTGTGTGTGTGTCTCAATGTGTGCGTGTGTATGTATATATATATATATGTGTGTGTGTCTGTGTATGTGTGTCAGTGTGTGTGCGCATGCGTATATATATATATATATATATATATATATATACACACACACACACACACGAGTGTATATTATTTTTTTTGGGGGGGTGGGAATCTTGGGAGAGTTCCCACACTTTATTCCCCAGGACTTGACCCCTGCCGGCAGGGGAGATCTCCCCTGTCGGCTCATGCAGAGCCAGCGCTATCTGAGTGCCAGCTCTGCTCTAAGCCTCCATGGGCCGGCGGGGAGATCAAAGATCGACCTCACCGGCCCACAGCAGCATGGAGGGAGGCAGGAGAGGACCCGAGGAGCTCTAGACAGCAGCTCCGCCAGGTTCCTCTCACGGCAACGCTCAGATCTCGCGAGAGTGAACTCTAGCCCCGCACACACAGCACACTAACAGCACCTTCACAAACACACACACACAGCACCCTCACACAAACAGCACACTCACACACAGCACACTAACAGCACCCTCACAAATACACGACACCCACACACAGCACACAAACAGCACCCTGACACACACATCACACAAACAGCACCCTCACACAGCACACTACCACCACCCTCACACACAGCACAAAAACAGCACCCTCACACACAGCACACTAACAGCACCCTCACAAACACACACACACACAAACACCCTCACCCACATAGCACACTACCAGCACCCTCACACACACACACATCACACTAACTGCACCCTCACCCACATAGCACGCTACCAGCACTCTCACACACACACATCACATTAACAGCACCCTTACACACACAGCACCCTCACACAGCACACTAACAACACACACACACACAGCAGTGTATGTATGTATGTATGTATGTATGTGTGTGTGTGTGTGTGTGTATGTATATATATATTTATATATTTACACATACATACATATACATGCGGCGTGTGTTTGTGCTTTAGGGTACATGAGAGGGCTTGTGTTATCTAGCAATGAGTAGATATCTTTGAACAAGGTTATTGTGGTTTTTGGCAAGATAGGCTATTTTGTAATAGTCTCTGCTAGGTTTGACATGTCAACTTAGTGATGTTTTCCTGGACTACAAAGGTCTCCACAGTTTATTGGGTGGTACACGATTAGTGCTGCTCGTGCATGCGTAGAACTGATATCAATAAATAGAAACATAAATGCGACAGAATGCTTAGGCTGGGAGTTGGCTGTCCCAGTACACATGCGCGTCCATTTATACGAGGTACAACGTATTAAAGGATGTGACGACACCTGTGCTTAATTCAGCATAAGAAAAACAATGAGGCAAGGAAGGATATCCTGCAGTGCTGTAAGTACTCACATCAAATGAAGTGAAAGGAGGTGTAAGATTTCTTCCTACTAGGGTACAGGTGAGGTTTTATTGACCCATACACTTGAGCAAACATGAGTCAACTAAAGTAAAATCCACTGATTGACTCACCTGCACTCAATAAAAGATTTCTTAACATTTACACTGCTTTGAGTTCAATACCTAGCAGGTATAGCAGGTAACTAATTTTATATTGCCAAGCTAAGGCGAGAGTGGGTGGAATCAGCCTGATATTGAAATAGTTCAGGTTCTCTCTCTTTAAGAAGTTAAGCTAAACTAGCTTAAAAATAACTAGGGACTCACTGAATGGGCAAGTTAGGTGAGTTGTTGTCCTTTCGCAGGATTCTGTTAACTCTGTTTTGCTATTTGCAAACTGCCTATGATCTCTGTCAAGTAAAGGGGCCTCAGTCACATCTCAGATTGCAAACAAAGTCTGCACTCTCATCACTTGTTCACCTCGGTGCACTGTACCTTGGGCTGGCAAATATCTATTCCATATAGTGCAGACAATATAGTCCATGCACTCAGCGTCTTTTTCAAACAGCAGTTTTATTGGAAAAGCGCGGCAAACACAGAAACGTTTCGATCGAATTGTGTATTGAAACGTTGCTGGGTTTGCCGTGCTTCGCCAATAAAACTGCTGTTTGAAAAAGACCCTGAGTGCCTGGACTACATTGTCTTCAGTCACATCTCAGTGACAAGTCCCAACTAGGTTGCAACAATCATCTGGGGTTGCTGTATTACTAACACAGATATAGCCTGCGAGGATTTTGGATCTGGCCTGCCCTTCAGGGGGAGGTCAATCTGATGTAAATGGTGTAAATACTCTTGGCAATGACATAAAGGTGACATAAAACTAATTTGAGAACTGAGCGAAGGCCTACCAAACACCCTTGTGTTGTCACCTACTTCCATATGCAGAGATTTATGAGATATTAGAACTTTCCCATCGATTTCCATGAGACAGTTAGCCATGCGCATCAATGGCAGACTTGAGTTCTATTTATGAATAACGTGGCTCACACAATTAATAAAGCAATGTTAAAAGAAAAGCCTAATTCATGCCTTTTTTATGAAGCAATCTACTCTCAGACAGGTCTACCATAATGTAGGCTCTTAAAAGAAAGAAGTGCTACATATCCCATAAACCATTAGTGTGAGGCTTATTGAATATGCACACTACTGGTAAGAAGGCTGGATTGGCAAAATGATCCAAACTATAGGGTGGGCAAACTTTTACCTTTAGTATCCGAATAACTAGAATGACAAAATGTCCGCAAAGAAATTATATAATCTACACTATAGTCACCAGAACAACTAATGTGAGGAGACTTACCCTTTAATAAATTCACCATCAAGAACCTTGGAGTGTTGCCTGTGTTTTACACTAATTTGTTCTGGTGAGTATAGTCAGTCCCTGCAGACTTTTTTCTGTAAACACTGTGTTTACTCTGAGAGAAAAGGCAGTGTTTACATTACTGCCTAGGGACACCTCCCATGGCCACTCCTCAGATGGCTACTAGAGGTGGTTCCTGGGGTAGCAGCACTAGCATTCAATGTCTCCACCTTCTGCATGGAGACACTGACCTTTCCTCATAGAGATCCATTAGGTCAATGTCTCTCTATGAGGAGATGCTGACTGGCCAGGGCAGCGTTTTGCTCTGAGCCTGGACCGCCTCTTTCACTGAGATTATCAGAATTGACAATCTCAGCCAATCTAATGCTTTCCTATGGGAAAGGTTTGTGATTGGCTGAGATCATCACTTCTGATGATGTCAGCCAAGGAAGCCGTTTTTGGCAGAGCCAACACCAGCAGACTGGAATAAATGTAAGATTGTGCTATATTTTGGGGGGAATTGGGGGCCAGATAGTGTTTTTAACACTATAGGGTCAGAATTAAGTTTCTGTTCCTGACCCTACAGTGTTCCTTTAACCCTTTAAGGACCAAACTTCTGGAATAAAAGGGAATCATGACATGTCACACATGTCATGTGTCCTTAAGGGGTTAATAAACAAGAAACTGGCCTTTGAAATCAATAGTTTATTCAGCTGAGGTTCACTTAATGGTACACACCGCGTAATATGCTATATCTGCTTGATTTGTTAAATAATGCCTTGAGTCCTGGAAACTTGCATTTACTCATTGTTACCCATAAAAAGTTCTAACCTTTGCCTATAATCAGGGCCGGTGCAAGGATTTTTGCCGCCCTAGGCAAAAACAAATTTGCTGCCCCTCTATATGTCCTGCCCACCATGTGACATCACAATGCCCCGCCCATATGCTCTGCCATATGGGCCAATGCCAGTTCTGCACAAAGTGTCTTTTATCTGAAAAGGCAGTGTGTTTACATTTAAAAGCCTACAGGCACAGGCTATAGACACCAGAACCACTATATTAAGCTGTAGTGCTTCTGGTAACTATAGTGTCCCTTTAAAGTGAGGTAAATTAGAGATTAGTGCCTAATATAATAATATATTGGATTGCCTACTTACCACCAGATGAGAACAAGAGGATGATGATGGGCTCAGTCTGGCACCACAGGTCTGGTGTAGAAGAGACTCTCTGGAGATTGTTTGTAACAGTGCTCACAACAATTAACGAACAGAATGCAGCTCCATTTTTTGGGGCCCATGACACAGCTCAAGGTCTGGGCACCCCAGTGCCTGACCGTGAGTATGCCTACAAGGCCCACCCATGAATCCACCTACATGGCCCACCCATGAGTTCTCTCACAGGGAGTGAAGTGTATGTGTGTAGGGGATGTGTTATGTGTTACTGTAGAGGATGTAATATGTGTGTGTTCTTATGAAATGTAGTGTATAGGGATACCAATTTGTGTAAGGGATGTAGTGTGTGTTTGTGTGTAAGGAATGCATTGTATGTTTCTGGGTGGGTGTGTGTAAGGGATGCAAGATGTGTTTCTGTGTATGTAATTTGATGCAGTGTGTCTCTGTAAGGGGTGCATTGAGTGTGTGTAAGAGATGCATTTTGTTTCTGTGTGTGTAAGAGAATCAGTGTGTGTGTGTGTGTGTGTGTGCATAAGGGATGCATTGTGTGTTTTGGTTTGTCTGTGTGTGAGTAGGGTTTGTGGGGTAGGATAGGGACTGAGAGGGGAGCAGCTCTTTATTTTTTAATAGAGCTCTCCCCTTCTGTTCCTTAGTGCTCTCCCTTGGCCCCCTGTCCCTCTGCAGTACCCCCTTGGTGGTCTTCTCACTACCCCCTCTTACCCCCCCACTTAGTGGTCCTCACTCTCCCCCCCTGCCACTCCCCCTTAGTGGTCATCCTCTCCCCCACTCTCCCAAACCCCTTAGTGGTCCTTCTCCTCCTCCTCCCTCTCCCCTTAGTGGTCCTTCCCTCTTCCCAGTGGTCCTTCCCTCTCCCAGTGGTCCTTCCCTCTTCCCCCTTAGTGGTACTTTCAACCCCACTCCTTTAGTGGTACTTTCTCCCTCCTCCCCACTTCCTTAGTGGTCCTTTGCCCCTCCTCCCACCCACCTCCTTAGTGGTCCTTTCCCCTTCTCCCGCACCCACCTCCTAGTGGTCCTTTCCCCTCCTCCCACCTACATGGTCCTTCATCTCCGCACTCTCCTAAACCCCTTAGTGGTCCTTTCCCTCCTCCTCCCTTTCCCTTAGTGGTCCTTCCCCTCCTCCCCAGTCCCTTGTGTTCCTTTTCCCCACCCCTTTAGTGGTCTTCTCCCCTTCTCCCCAGCCCTTAGTGGTCCTTTCCCCTCCACCTACTTGGTGGTCCTTTTCCCTTCCTCCCCATCTCATTAGTGGTCCTTTCCCCTCCCCCACCTCATTAGTGGTCCTTTCCCCTTCTCCCCCACCCCTTAGTGGTCCTTTCCCCCCCCCCACCTCATTAGTGGTCCTTTCCCCTTCCCCCCTCCTTAGTGGTCCTTTTCCCCTTCTCCCCCCACCCCCTCAGTGGTCCTTTCCCCCTTTTGTCCTACCCATATAGCGTGGCCAGGCAGCATGGATCGCAGTACAGGAACTTCTGTTTCCTGTACCCGACCGCCGGCGGACTGAAGGGAAGCGCTCACTGAGTGAGCACGTCCTGTCAGTCCACCGGCGCCCGGCTACAGGAAACAGAAGTTCGTGTCCCACGGTCTGCGCTGCCTGGCCACACTACATTGAATGATCTACAGGAGAGAACGCTGTGCGCTTCCCTCCTGCCGGTCACCTAAATCTAGCCCCCCCCCCCGGGCCGGTGCGCCCTAGGCGACTGCCTAAGTCGCCTATAGGACGCACCGGTCCTGCCTAACATTTAAAGGACCACTATAGGCACCCAGACCACTTCAGCTCAATAAAGTGGTCTGGGTGCCAGGTCCCTCTCGTGTTAACCCTGCAGCTATAAACATAGCAGTTTCAAAGAAACGGCTATGTTTACACTAGGGTTAATCCAGCCTCTAGTGGCTGTCTCATTGACAGCCGCTAGAGGCGGTTCCGCGCTTCTCACTGTGAAAATCACAGTGAGAAGACACTGGACATCCATAGCAAAGCATTGAGAATGTCGGCAGGAGGAGGAGAGTTCCCCAGCACCGAGGGAGCCCGGCGCTGGAGAAAGGTAAGTGTTTAACCCCTTCAGCCCCCTTCAGCCCAGTAGGAGTGGGACCCCGAGGGTGTGGGGGACCTAAAGACCCTATAGTGCCAGGAAAACGAGTTTGTTTTCCTGGCACTATAGTGGTCCTTTAAGAATTATTAACCACAAAAATGCATCTATTCTACCAGTTAACACCCTTTAACTCTACTATTTAGATTATGTACTTATAAATATTTGTTAGCTCAATTTCCTGTTTACTCCAACAATTCCTATACTTAGTATTACTATCTGTTTTCAGCTTGAGGCATTAAAAACACACTACATGTATCTACATCATATGGAAATCACGACTGTACAAACCAGAGTCTGAGAGAAGGCCTGTTCAATGCCCATCCACATACAAAGTTTAAGTGACACTGGGGAAAAGGCCTTTGCTTTTCGATACAAAATACATTTGGCTGGAAATAGTCCAAATTTGTTGCTCTGGACATAGCTTAATCCGGAACAGTGTTTCCTCTCGAGAACAGAACAGGAATTTCAAGAGGAGGGTTTAAATTATTGCAACAAACATATGAAACCATATGTGAAAAACATGTCCTTTTGTGTTTGAGATAGATAGATAGATAGATAGATAGATAGATAGATAGATAGATAGAATGTAAATAAATTGTAAATCATGATGGTTTGAGAAGTATTAATCAGTTTTGATCCACTGAATGTTTATGATAACAATTTATCGTTTCGTCTACGTTGGACCAAATAAACATGCATTTAATAGGAGCTCTCAGTGAGAGTTTTACTCCAGAAGAACATGATCTGACAAGTTAAGAGGCAGATGAGCTGTGGACAAAAATGTAAGCCATCAACTCCACCTTCTTATTAGTGTATGCCCCGAATTTCCATATGAAATGAGTCTCCCACGCAAAGTGTGTGGGCAGTAGCTATTAACTCTTAAACTACAAAAGCATTGGAAACTATTGAAAAAAAAGAACTTAAATATATATTTTTTAAATCATTTTTGCATTCACGGTGTTGATGGATAATGTAGCAGTAGTCAGGCAGGTTGCCAATTCTTTGTATGTTATGTATTACACAGGAGAGATGCAGAAATTCCTTGATGTCTGACTTACACTGTAAGTTATTTATAGAGAGCAATTCTGGGGCAAGGTACGAAAACTAGAGCAAAAAGCACGAATATTGCATTGGTTTCCATGGTAATTTTTTTTAACGCTTTTAGAACATTGCCCACTAATTGTTCTTTATATAGTTTCATATTTTTTACCTAACGTTATTGATCATTTCTTTAGGAGATATTGTTGGGGGATTGAGCCTAAGTAGAGGATCGAACACCCATGCATAGTTACTTTGGTTTTGTGTTTTTGTTTCTTAGTAATTTTAGTACACCACAATATAGATTATTTGAAGCCTCCTCAACACATTAAGTACAGCAACACACTGCAAACAAAAATATTTGTATCTATCATCAGTATAAGAAATAGTTTATTCGTATATATTTCAATGGGTGACAGCCTGGGGATTTAAATTTTACTGTAGTTACTGAAAACAAGATAATCATACCCAAACAACGGTCATTAGTCGTCCATTCATGTCACGGTCACCAAAGTAACCGTTTTAACCCTCTTAGTGCCAGGGACAGAAAATATTAACCCTTCAGGTGCCAGAGGCACTTATAAAAGTGTTAAATTGTAATATAAGTTGCAAACATTCTATATTAGGCAACAGGTACCATATCTCTCTATACCAGACAGACCAACGCTAGTGATGGTAGCTAGTTGTGCTGTTGAGCCTCATAGACATCTCTGTCTGGCTAAGCCTGATGAGGAGCATAGTCTACAATAGCTGACATGCCAAACATAGTCCATCAATGCTCTGTACAATGCCTTGACAGCCTCTTTTTTCAACAGATAACTCTGAAGTCATCTCAATGTCTGTCCGTGACATTCCTTATCCTAAAATCACACTCCTTTTTTTTTTTTTTTTAAGATAAAATAATAGCTGTGTCGAATGCAATGTGAAAGAGGGAGAGAAAGTGGTGATAATGGGTTATTCGATTCAGTTACCGAGTGCCTTAGCGCTCCCCCCTTTACCTCTCAGATAGTAGGCTTGGCAGCCATCCTCTCGTAGCTTGTGAAGGAGTAAGCCCAGTACCGAGCCGGACACGTGCTTCTCCTGCCAATCCAGCGTGGCCTCATCGTAGAGCAGCACCGTATCGGCTGGGCAGCGCCGGGCAAATCGCTCCTTGTCCCGGTCATTAGGGATGACTGAACGGATGGACAAGTTGCCCTTTTTCAGTCTTCTCAGCATGAGGCTCGGGATTGTCACACTGATGGCCATCTCAATATGGGACACTTGGTACCGCTCCTGGGGGCGACAGTCCAGCAGCAGCAAAGATCTACCTCCGGACAGCAGCTCCTCCTGCAACCACCTTGCGCTTTTACTCGGCATAGCCATGCTGCCACAGGCATGGGTGACAGTGATGACAGACCCAGCACCCTGCTTGACACTGCCAGCAAAACTCACAGACTAAGGGAGGGAGAGTGGGAACAAAGTCCAGTCTTTCACCCCAGATGAAGCTGTATTGTAAAGAGTTGGGGTTGCAGATGTTATACCCTAATTATTGAGGGTCCCCAGGACATTCCCCTACACTTTATAGACTCTCATAGAGACTATTTCCCCTCTCTTTTTCTGGTGCCTCCTTCTGCTCCAGTTCCTGGAGGCGGTGCAGACAAGGAGTGGAAGTGATTATAACCAGAGAGAGTGCACAGTGAGCCTCGGGAGCGCGCCTGGAAGGCAGGACAGCCAGGAGAAGATCACATGCCATTCTTTGACTTTAATAAACACACTTGTACTTCCTGGTCTAGAGGACACATTATCCAAAGCTTGGTTATTCATGAGTTGCTAGAAGCAGCAATATCTTGTTTTAGTGTAGTTTATTAACATCAGCTGGCAAATGGGGTATTTTAGTACGTTTTACGCAGCTGCTCTCTATTTACAGTTACAATGTTGCAACATACATACAATGTAATCAGGCAGCACAGGGCATTACCAAAGCACAGAGCACAGTTCTGCTCATATAACCACATTTCCTGCTTGCTATCGGCTCCAGCCATGGGCTGTTAACCTTTTCTCTGCCTTAAAGTCTGCTAAAATGTCAAACTGGCCCCTGATTAACTCCCACTAGCTCATACTCTGTACTGTACAGTTCCCCTGCGTCCAGCTCTGGGGAAATGACAAATTACCTCCTATAAATTTGTGTGTGCCCTATGCTGTTAACCCTTTCCAGCTATCCTCTTCTACAGCAGTGTTGCAATACCTCCTATTACTCCATTATCTGTGCAGTTAACCATTTCCTTCCTTTAACTCTGCAAAAAAAAAAAAATATGGCAAATTACTTCATATAAGCCCATGACCTACTGTTAACTATTTCCTTACCTATAGCTCTGCTGAAACATGAAATTACCCCAGATATAAATAAGTGTGTGTACTGTGGTTTTAACTCTTTCCCTGCCTTCAGTTTTTCTAAAATACCAAATTACATGTGGTACTGGCAACTCTTGCCCTGGTTACTTTAATCAGTCATGTCTCTCCTAGTGAAACTGCATTATTTAAACCAGGGGGTTCAAAGAGGGTTTTTTCCACTAAACTCTGAATTGAAACCCATTTGACAAAATATAGGCTAATATAGCAAAACGTTGACTATAGCTGAATTTGAGAATTTGTCCAGAATCAGCTATTTTACGCTAAAAATTGCTAGGTTTTCATGCACTACAACTTTGACTTTAGTGAATAAACCCACAACAAAAGGCCACAGTGGAGAAGTTGGAATGGGAGTGCCAGATTTACCATGTTATTATCTCTAACATATAGAACTTCCCCCTGCTGAAGGGTGGTTCATGAGCAGAGTTCGGCAATATGTAGCATTCACTTCCTGATTAAAGCAACAGTATAGTGTCAGGAATACAAAGATGCACATATTGTTTTACTGTATTACACTATGTGTTTTTTCTGTTCCTGTTCTAGATTGTACACAGTCGTATCTCATTTTTCTTTGTATTCAAGTGCATATTGTAAAAGGTCAGGAACTGGGCCACGACCTTGAGAGGCTGTTTTGATTGATCATTTCAGATAAGTATATTTGGATTCCTGACACTATAGTCTTAACTAGCTCTTTAGCTTCGCAGCCCCCGTATGATCGCACAGGAGAGGTTTTTTTCACAAACCTTTTCTCTCTCTTGGGACCAGTCTGGATCTTGATGATCACAGACAATCCAATGCTTTCCCATAAGAAAGCATTAGGAGTCTATTGCGCATCAAAACGTTGTGCTGCACCAATTAGCATCTCTATGGGGAATGTTGAGCATCTCCATGCAGAGCGTGGGTGCTGTACACTGTTAGCATTGACATAGGAAGCACTTCTAGTGGATGTATGAGTGCTGCCACTAGAGGTATTACCAGCCAGCAATGTAAACCATGCCTTTTTTTGGAAAACGCAGTGTTTACATTTAAAATCCAGCAGGGACAGGCTATAGACACCAGAACCACTACACTATAGTGACCCTTTAATATGAATTACAGACTCATACACACTTTCATATACACACACTGACTCATAGACAGACATTCATGTTCATAGACACAAATTCACATACAAACACAAAGACTAATGTACACACATATTGACATCATACATACTCCCCCTTTTTTATTTTATTGTCATTATTAATAGTATTTAACAGTGAGGTCCACCCAACCTCCTTAAAGGAACACTATAGGTTCAGAAACACAAACATGTATTCCTGACCTTATAATGTTAAAACCACTATCTAACTTGCCTGGCCCCCTAAATATAGTAATATCTTTCCTTATTTCCAGCGCCGTGGAGATCCGCCTCCTTGGCTGACGTCATGAGAATTGTTGATCTAGGCCAGTGATGGCCAACCTTGACACCATAAATTGCTTCTGGACTACATTTCCCAAGATGCTCAGCTAGCTTTTAGACTCTAAAAGCTAGCTAAGCTTAATGGGAAATGTAGTCCAGGAACAATTTATGGTGTCAAGGTTGGCCATCACTGGCCTAGATCAACACTTCTCATGACGTCAGCCAAGGAGTCAAGGTTAGCCATCACTGATCTAGGCCAAGCAGGCGGAGGGGGGAGAGAGTTCAGCATCTCCATGTAAAGAGTGGAGACACTGAATGTCAGTGCTGCACACTTAAAAGGACACTACAGTTACCAATACAACTTTAGCTTATTGAAGCTGTTTTCGTGTATAGATCATTTCCCTGCAGTGTCAGTGCTCAATTCTTTGCCATTTAGGAGTTAAAACACTTTATTTATGCACCCTAGTCACACTTCCCTGCATGTGACTTGCGCAGCCTTCCTAAACACTTCCTGTAAAGAGTCAGCTAATGTTTATACTTCCTTCATTGCAAATTATATTTAATTTAAAATGTATTATCCCCTGCACTGTTGATAGCTTGCTAGACCCCACAGAAGCATTCTGTGTATGATTAAAAGTCACTTTAGAGTGCAGGCAATAAGAACTTTAAATTTTTTGATTTTGCTTCTGTTTAATAGAAATGTGTCTGCACGTAAAGGGATTCTATAGAGCCAGGAAAACAAGCTGTTTTCCTGGCACTATAGACTTCTGCAGTTCCCATCTCCCTCGCGCCCCCCCCCCTCCTTCCCCCTCCTGCGGCGCTGAAGAGGTTAAAACCCTTTCAGTCACCTGAATCCAGTGCTGATTAGCCTTGGCGCTGGGTCAGGCTCCGCCCACGCTCCTCCCCTCCCAACGTCAGCGAGTGGGGGAGACCTAATTTGCATGCGGGTCAATGGCCCCACTCGCATTAGGATTTCCCCCATACGAAAGCATTAGTCAATGCTTTCCTATGGGGAAAAAATCTGACACTGGAAGTCTTAATGCAGAGTGTGAGGACGTCCAGCGTCAGATGTCGGACCAAAAGTCAATTTTAATTCAGATAGTCCCTCTAGTGGCTGTCTGGTAGAGTTTGAGCTACATAGAAACATAGAATGTAACGGCAGATAAGAACCATTCGGCCCATCTAGTCTGCCCAATTTTCTAAATACTTTCATTAGTCCCTGGCCTTATCTTATAGTTAGGGTTATAGTTTTTATCATATCCCCCCTGTCTCATCTTTCCTCCAAGCTATACATGTTAAGATCCTTTAACCTTTCCTGGTAAGTTTTATCCCGCAATCCATGAACCAGTTTAGTAGCCCTTCTCTGAAACCTCTCTAAGGTATCAATATCCTTCTGAAGATACGGTCTCCAGTATTGTGTACAATACTCCAAGTGAGGTCTCACAAGTGTTCTGTACAATGGCATAAGCACTTCCCTCTTTCTACTGCTAATACCTCTCCCTATACAACCAAGCATTCTGCTAGCATTTCCTGCTGCTCTATTACATTGTCTGCCTACCTTTAAGTCATCAGAAATAATCACCCCTAAATCCCTTTCCTCATATGTTGAGGTTAGGACTCTATCAAATATTCTGTACTCTGCCCTTGGGTTTTTACGTCCAAGATGCATTATCTTGCACTTATCCACATTAAATGTCAGTTGCCACAATTCTGACCATTTTTCTAGTTTACCTAAATCATTTGCCATTTGGCTTATCTCTCCTGGAACATCAACCCTGTTACATATCTTAGTATCATCAGCAAAAAGACATACCTTACCATCAAGACCTCTGCAATATCACTAATAAAAATATTACAGAGAATGGGTCCAAGTACAGATCCCTGAGGTACCCCACTGGTGACAAGTCCAAGCTTCGAATATATTCCATTAATTACAACCCTCTGTTGCCTGTCACTCAGCCACTGCCTTACCCATTCAACAATATTGGAATCCAAACTTAAAGATTTCAGTTTATTGATAAGCCTTCTATGTGCAACAGTGTCAAAAGCCTTACTGAAATCTAGGTAAGCAATGTCTAGGTAAGCTATATGTCTATAGGTAAAGATTTTTTTTTCCAAGTCCTGCATGGCATTTTAACTGTGAATGTCATAATACTGTTAGCCTTTACTCCAATAAAATACAGATATTTGTATGCTGTAAAGTCCCACAAGTACAACAATGCCCCCTCATGTACTGGTTTCATGGTGTTTTGGAAAGTTACAGGGTCAAATGAAGAGCTTGCCCATTTCAGTCTTTACACATTAAGACCGTATCGCAGCCCAGGAATGTGAATTACCCCCATCATGGCATATCATTTGCAAATGTAGACCACCCAGGGTATTCAAAATGGGGTATGTCCAATCTTTGTTAGTAGTCACTTAGTTTTTTTTTGTGTGCATTTTTCACACAAAAACTGCCCTTTTACTGATGATATCATCATTATACATTTTATTATTTTAAAATACTCATATTTGTGTTCAGGGAAGTCTCATATGTACAACAGTAACCACCATGTACATGTTTTATGGTGTTTTTGAAAGTTGTATGGTCAAATATAGGGGTTGCCCATTTTAGTTTTTGCCTGATTGGTTATGTTGCAGTTTGTGGATACCTATCCTGAGTCTTGCTTATCGTTGCTGATGTGGAGACCGCAGCCAGGAGTTGATATGAAAATGAAATGTCCCCCAGACATCTAAAGGGAGAGACACATAAGAGATATACTCATCACACATTCTATGAGTGGATTTCTTTCAGGACAGTTTTTATTATTCTATACTGTTTTACACGATGCTGATCTATCGATGTTGTTCTTTTTGTAGATCCACAGCTGCATCAACTACATATTATGCATTTTAGCTTCTGTCTTCTGTCACATCATCAATAAACAATTGTGGCCTAGTGCCATTGGAAGCAATGCATGCCCATGTGTTTTACAGATGATATGGTATGCTTCGGATCATGAGCCGTTCCAAGCCTTCTCCATACTTTTTTCTTCCCATCATTTTTACACAAGTTGATCTTAGTTTTATCTGACCAAATATTGCTGCTCCAGAACAAGGCTGACTTTTATTTTTTTTAAAAAGATTTTTTGCTTTTCTATTTTTGAGGCTCATGAATGGTTTGCACATTGGCCTCTCTATTTTAATCTGGCCTCTCTATTCTTGAGGCTCATGAATGGTTTCCACATTGTGGTGAACCCTATGTATTTGCTGTCGTGAAGTCTTCTCGTTATGGTAGACTTGGATAATGATATGCCTACATCCTGGAGAGGGTTCGATGTTGTGAAACTTTTTTCCTTTACCATGGAAAGGATCCTACGATCAACCCATCACTGTTGTTGTCTGTGGACATCTAAATCTTTTTGTGTTGCAGAGCTCACAAGTGTGTTATTTTGTTTTGAGAATATATCAAACTGTACATTTGTACACTCCTAATGTTCCTGCTATCCGTCTGATGGATTTATTTATTTTTGCAGCTTAAGGATGTCCTGTTTCACTTGCATTGAGAAATTCTTTGACTGCATATTGTGGGTTCACAGCAACAGCTTCCAAATGTGAATGCCACACCTGGAATCAACGTCAGACCCTTTACCTGCTTAAATGATGAATAAATAACGAAGGAATAGCCAACGCCTGTCCATGAAACAGCTTTTGAGTTAATCGTCAAATTACTTTTGGTCCCTTGAAGAAGAGGGGACATCATTTCTAAACCCTTCCTCCAATATGGATGTCAATACCATCAAATTAAAGCTGAGAAACTGAACTTTAAGCCCGTATTCATTATTTAACTGTAACTTGAATTTATTTTAGTAAACACTCGAAATAACAAAACTTGTCTGTCTCCAAATATGTCTGGATCTAACAGTAAGTCAGTAGACTTATTTGCTGAATGTTTTAAGTGGATGGACTTGTTTTTCTTTTGCCCTCATTGTTAATGTCTGTAATATTAACATTGTGGTTTACTTACTAAATCAGTAATTACAGCAAACTCAAAGAAAGTGTACATTTTAGACTAAAATAACAAAATTGGGCAGATAGCGAACTTCTAGATCAAATAGGACTATTTCGTCCTATCGGTTTTCCATAACACCTAGCTAAGTGAATAAATTTAAGTTTGTTTTAAACATGTTTATTGTTTTGTTTTGGTTTTTCAGTTGTAAAATGGAACAGTTATGTCTCAGTACAGTACATGTGCAAGAGTGGTCATGCATTTCTTCCAAAGTGACGTACACACATTCATTTTTATTTTTTTATTTTTAAATTGCACAACCCATAGCTTAATTTTAGTTAGCTGTCAAGTTGTGCAAAAATCTTAAATGTAATAGTTCTGCTTTTAAAATGTATGATGTCTTTGTAGGCACAACCTTTAGTATGTTTCAAAACTAGGCTGTTGTCATTTAGTATAACGTAGGACCAATGATTTATATGTTTAATTCTTGTTCTATGATCTAAAAGTAGCTCTTTTCCCCCCCCCCTTGTAATCAAATATCTGTTGTTATCTCTCATTAAGAGACGTGCTTGCTGTACTTCCCTTATGGTATCACTCCATGGGGGAGGAAGTTAGTAATTTTAGTCAGAATTAACTGCAAAATGTGAGCTTACTTCTCTCCCGATTGTGAAACACAAACAGCATATACAGGAAAATGTGTAGTATGAGTCAGATTACTTGGAAATTATCATATAAATATGTGTTTTCTCGATATTATGCATCACATTTACGGTAAGGTAAAAATAAAACACAGGTAAAAACAAAACACACAAAACTACATTTTTTTTCTGGTTCTAATAGTAACAATCTTGTGGTAATAGAGCATTTATGATAACCAAGACTATAATTTAAATTGTACTTATTTCTTTTATGCTTCATTTATGGTATCATTCAACAGGGGAAGTTCGTATTTTTTTTTTTAAATATCAGCAGTAAATGCAAAACAAGAACTTATCTCTCAAAACCGCAAAACACAAACTCTGCATCTACAGGAAAATGTTTATTTAGAAATGATCTAATGAATCAGGTTTCTGAATAGTGTTTCCCTTATAGTTACAGTGGAATTATCATGTAGCTATCCTCTTACTAAAAAATAATGATCATATGTGCCAAATAAGGGTAGTAGTATGGACCATTGTACAATCTGCCTTGTAATAGAGAATTTGTGAGAACCAAGATTGTAACACTTATTTATAAAATATCTTACCAGGAAGGATACATTGAGATTTCTCTCATTTTCAAGTATGTCCTGGGTCCACAAAACACTGCATTAGTTACAATAGGGTACAATATTACAAAAAATAAAAGTAAATTTTTTTTATATATATATATATATATATATATATATATATATATATATATATATATATATATATATATATATATACATACATACATACATACACACACACACACACACACACACACAAAACTTTAACAGATAATAGGTAATAAATATAGTCTACCATGACAGGTGCATTCTGTATGGAGTATTGAGGTATATTGCCATAATTATCTTAAAATATTTTTTTAAATTGAATGAAGATTTTACTGTGTCAGTGAAGTTATTCCATAGTTGGGGTGCTCTGTAGGAAAATGAGGATCGAGCAACTATTTTTGTATTGCAGTATGCAAAATATCGTGCTGGTACTGGGTCGGAGATGGGAACAGTTGGGGAGAGCATCCTATTCAGGTATGGTGGGAGCTTCCCAGAGAAGCTCTTATGCACAAGTAAAAGATCAAGAGTGTACTGTGCTTGATTCATCTTACTCACTCTATTCTTTTTTATTTTTTTATTTAAATCATCTGGCACCCCCAATGTTAGTTGTCAAATGATTTTAGAATGCTTTCATTTCTTATCTGGGGTCTGCTAGGCGCTGCTGTCCAACCTCCATGAGAGGAAAAAGGTCCTATGAGGAACTTCCATTAGGTCTCCTAAGCCAAGCCCTGCACCAACAGGTGTAGCTCAGACAGAAAGCTTAAAGCTCTCCAAGACTGAAGAGAGGAGGGGAATGATGCTTAGAGAATGCCAGGTAAGCGTCAAGCTATTCTAAAATGGTTTGATTACTTACACTTGGGAGGTGCCAATGCACTGTAGTAATTATGGTGCCTAAAGTTTTCATTTAATATTGTGGGCCTCTAAGGCATGCACCCATTGTCTGCAGCACTGAGGAAATTTAGTATTTTACGCTAAATTAGGCTCCAAAAAACTGAAGGCATATTACTAGGCCAGAAAAAAATAAAATATCTGTGTAGTGTCCATGCTTTTAATAGAGTCTCTTCTGCAACCTTGGCCAGCAGAACGGTCATGATCCAGATCTTCCTTACAAATTTCATCCCTTTTCTGATGACAGAGGTTTGAGGTATTGATCACTAATCAAAGGAGGCAGTAACAGTTTCCAGTGAGAAATTCAGAACTGTAGTTTTGTTCTACAGATTCCAGGTGGTGAAAGTCATACCGGTGCCGAAAGGGAGAAAAGTGGACTCATCAGACAAAGCCAGGGCCCAGTCTAACGAAATTATTGATTTCAAAATCAAGAACTGGTCTACAGCCAGCAATATTGTAGGACTGAATATTAAATTCTATGCCCTAAGAAGGTAGGTGTTCTACCCAGAAGTGATAAAGCAAAGATTATTCTTCCTCTAACAACATTTCAAATTGATTTGCTACAGGAAATTAAAAATGTGTTCCCTGGAGTAACTTTAAATGTTACTTCAAACTAAAAAATATTGGTTTGGTTTGCATAATCCTTTCTGAGATGGCCCACCCCTCCCAATGTTAAAAAACAAACTCATGCCTCCGTTCCATTGCAGAGTCCACGTTCTCCTCGGCTGATATCATTCCCCTCCCTGGAGGGAGGTCAGACTGAGGGGAAGACAAGAGCAAACCTGCTAGGCTGCCATGCTGCTAGCGCCAGCATGCTCTCTGTGCTGGCATCAGGTGCCTCTTTTGCCCAGAATTGACATTAGCCAGACTGGAACTTGTTCAAGACCAGCTTATGAAGCTACCAGAGGTGGTTACTCCTCTGACATGTAAAGAGTTAACATTTGCATGTGCAGCATTTCAAAGCTGAACATACAGACTTAAGGCACAAACTTGAAATCACAAGTATTTATGGTGCTTGGAGTATGCCTTTAAACACAGAGGGAAATAAATAAACACCTTTGTGGTTTTTAAAACAAAAATAAAAGGTGGGTGTAGTCGCTTTATTATTTAATGACTGCTGTACTTGAGAAACCTTTATATAACAAGCACATGTCCTTACACTTGTAGCAGTGGGTTATAGTAACTACAGGCAATTTCAGGTAAAACGATCCCTATGATGGATGTCTGAGGATTCTGGAAACATATACGTTGGTTAGTTTGTCTCAATGAGCCATGTTTTTACAGCCAATTATTTCCACATGCTGAAAGGAGGCAGCTCAGATAGCAATATGTAGAATTCACATGCTGCCGTAAGAAAACAACCATGGCCGTTGCGGCTTGACCCTAGCTGTGATTAAGTGATTACCTATGGCAGCATTTGAATTCCACATAATACCAAAAAACACTTTATATACAACCCCTCTCAACAGGACATAAAACCCAACACTGTCTTGGATGACAAAATGAAAGTGCAAACTCTCAAGACTTTTATTTCGCTTAAGGGAGGGAAGGAGATTTGGGCAGTTGTGAGCCTGAATTTTAAGCTAGATTATATTTCCCCCCCCACCCCCACAATAACCGAAATATTAAATCCTGTACATTATGCAGGTGCCACAAATACGTGGTACATTAACAATGGAATACAGCTGTATAAATTATCTACCCAATAGTGCACTTATGGAAATGTTGTGCAAGCCTTTTCATCATGTTGAGCTTTAACTTAAAGGGGGAATTCCAGTCACCACCTATTTGGTACTGTGTCCATTATTTTACAAATAGCCGAACACAAGCACTTGCTTTAGTGGTTATGGTGCCTGGTGAGCCCCCTCCCTCACGATTTTAGGGATCGACCGATAAAGATTTTTTAAGAGCAGATACCGATAATCTGTGAACTTTCAGGCCAATAGCCAATAACTTACTGATATTTTGTACATTTACCCTTTTAAAAACAAAACTATTTCTACCCAAATCTGTTAACTGAACAAGTTTATTTTTGTGTAAAATTTTGTTAATTAAAATAAATGCACAAAATATACATGCCAGTCAGAATGTTTTCAAGAATATATATGTGTGTGTGTGTGTGTGTGTGTGTAGTGGATGCAGTGAGAGTATTTGATTAGTGGATGCAGTGGATGTGTTTTTGTAGTGTGTGTATATAATGAATGCAGAGTGTGTTTGTGTATGGTGTATATAATGAATGCAGAGTGTGTGTTTGTGTAGTGTGTGTGTAATGTGTATATAGTAAATGCAGAGTGTGTGTAGTGTATATATAATGAATGCAGAGTGTTTGTGTAGGAATGTAATGTGTCTAAAATGGGGAGGGGCATTTTTATTAACATTTAGTTTTAACCTCCCCTACCTGCATCTTATCTGAGGGGGGGGAATTGGGTAGGGGGGAGGGGAATATGGCATTCCCTGGGGGTCCGCAGCAGTCCTGGGGGGCCCCAGAACACTCCTAGTTACCTTCCCAGCAGCTCCCTTCAGCGTGGTGTGCGGAGTGTTGCCATGGTAACCTGTGGCAGCACTCTGACGGCCGCGGGACTCGTGAGAGTTAGACAGAGGAGCTGAAGGGAAAGTAATTAAGAGTGTGCTGGGCCCCCCAGGACCCTGATGGCAGCCCTTGTCTGCATTATCGGTATCTTTATTGGCTGATACCGATATTGCTAAAAAATACAGGATATCGGCAAGACCGATAATCGGTCGATACCTACCCGATTTTGAAGTTATTGACTTCTTACTTGTTATCTGCTGGGAGCTGCTCACTGCCTTCACTACTGCCGATGGAGAGATGGAGGTTCCTAAGTAGGAGCTTTCATTAGCTCTTCTGAGTAAAGCACTGCACGGCTGGTTTATTGGCCAAGTCAGAGGGTCGCCGTCAGCCAATGAGCTAAGCCCAGCAGCCTACCAGAGATGCATAGATCAATAGTTATATAAGCTGAAAAAAGAAGGAAAAAAAAAAGGAAAAAAACGACACGCATCCATCAAGTTCAGCCATTCTCACATCTGTACTTGCCGTTGATCCAAAAGTAGGCTACTAATGGCAGTCTTAGCAATGAGGCAGTTCAGCCATAGCATTCTATTTTTTCCTAAGCTGTTCGTTACAGAAAAGGGATTCCTGCGCTCAAACTCCTACTACTCTATGGTGGCAGCTATAGTAATCATCAGCCCCAAATACATATAACAAAACCAAACAACCTACTTGAACACTAACCCAAATCACATTTAAAAAGAGATTTTATATTACTGCAATTGGCGACGTGAAGACAAACCACTTAGGTGGTGTACCCGATTAGGGGTTAATTGGTTTGTCTGGGGCACACTAAGCACCATATACACAGGGCAGTGTAGAGGTTATGGTGTATGGATTTATCTATATGGGCAATAAGTTTGTTTTTAATAATACCCATTTATCTCTCAAACATTTTGCCTTTTAGCTAAAAGCAGCAAGGTGATCATGTTAGTGTAGGTGGCAGGTGAGCTTTTATGGCCATTTCAGTGGTATCAAGAAAAATACCTCTATTTAATTTTGCATATATATATTTTGGACAGTGTGCAAGTAACTTTATATATTGTTTTGTCAAAACACACCACACATTAAAAGCTAAATTATAAGAGCAGATAATTATGCAAATATGAGTAAAGGATTCCAAACCAAGATATTTTTAGGAAAGATAGAAGCTCATTACCAATCCTCCTTTCTGTTCATGTTAATTGAAATGAATAAATGAAAGAAAGAAAAAAAAAAGTTCTTAAATAATTTTCCATTTTTTTTTGTTTTAAATGTAGAGATTTATTTACCAAAAAAACAACAACGTTCCTGTACAAGTGTACATCGGCACTAATATTACAAACAAGTTATATCAACTACATAACCCCACCAATGTAAGTAGTAAACTCATTTGCTAAAGGTTTGACAATCAACTTGGAGCTACTTGGACACCAGTCCCTTCCACTATTGAGAGCTGGAATCTCATCCATGAAACTTCTGTTTAGCTCTCCTAAGCTAAACTCTGCAGTGAAGGGCCAGCTCATGATTAAACCACATTGAATTTTCCCCATTTGTCTGTAACCATGGCCTCCTTGTTAGCCAAGACACAGTAGCTTTGATAGACTTGGGAATTTGCAAACTAAACGAATTGTGAACAAAGCAACATGTTTTATTGATATAGAAATGCCTAAACCTTTGTGATTTCCGCATTGAGACAGTACTGACAAAACTCCCAATCTGTCACTATACAAGATCTTCACTAAAGGATTTGAAACAAGGCTACGATTCAGGTCTGAACATGTGAAAAGGTTGGTCTTGTGTTTACTGATCTGGGTCATTGGGGCATGGTGGGTGGAAGCAGCATATAAGGGAGGTTTTGTAAACTTGGTGTGAGTCAGACTTGGCAATACAAGACACTCATTTCCACATATGTGAATTCGCCCTCCATACCATGGGTGGCACTGGGCTTTCCTAAGGTTTATGAACAGATGCAGGTTACCAAACCATGAATTGCACATGTATTGCAGGATAGTCCATGTACTTTTCAGGATAATCATACTGATTAAGTTTGTTCAGGAACGAAATTCTGAGATGTTGCCTGGAGTAGATTTAAGAAATCTTGCTAAAAGTATAGTGGTTTATGGTTCTTAAATTGGGGAAACCAACTGAATGTTCCTGTTGATTCTACTGGTTTCCATAGCAATTGTTGCTATTTTTTCTCTCTCCCAACAATGAACAGCAGCAGAATGGCAATGTTTTCAGCTGCATGGTTAAAACAGAGAGGCACATGGCACCCAGACCACTTCATTGACATGAAGTAGTCTGGATGCCTACAGTGTTCTTTTAAAGATGCATGTTAAACATCATAACCAATACAGCCTGTAGTAGTTATGTCAGGTGTCCCTGGCTGTTTCCCATTACTAAAACGTTTTGTTTTTTTGAATGGTCTGACACTTAGCTATCTACTCAAGGAGTCTGCGGTTTTGTCGCTCTTCACAGATACCTCTAAAGCATTACTCCCCATTTCTGTTTTAGGAAGAACAGTCTGTCCATCTTCAGATAAAATTGATATTGCTAATGTGGAAGTAGAAACGTTCCCTTTGGCAATATTTGTGAAGCACTGTGGAAGCCTGGGTGACACAATAAGTGTCAAATTATTATTATTATTATTTTTTTTTTTTTAATTCTCTGAATTTTACAATAGAATGCCTCCAAGGAACTCCATGCACCATGCCATAGTGATTATGGTGCTTAGAGTGCCCCTTTACATAGTACTGATGCTTGTTTTTCTAAGCAAACCCCGGTAAAATAAAACTCAAGCCAACTACTATAAATTAGTAAAGAATGTCTACTCTTTACATAATACAAAAAAAACAAACAAAAACAAAACACAAAACTCAACAATATCTGCAATATCCTTTCTTCTATCGGACAAATATTAGGAGGGCAGGAACTCTGGAACGAAGACTGACCACTAACATGGCCAGAAGCATTTTCTGCAGCTCCTGCTGATCTGAGCAAAAATCTGAGTAACAATCTACTAAAGCTGGCAAAAACGACTGGGAGCAATTTCCAGACTTACCTCTGCAATGAAGGCCCACACATAGAAGTTCAGCGGCAGCTGGGATGCGTGGATAGCACACCCAGACTTTTCGCCTACTGAAGCTTACGGATTGCTGGCTGGAGGAGCAGGCTGGTCTCCTGGCTAGTGCCACAGAGCCTGAAGTGACCAGTTTTCAACCCCGCTACAGCCCCCTCTGGACCAGTGGGTGTTATCCCGGTCTCCATTGAGAAGATTACCTCTCTGCCACTGTTATGTTCCTCACGAATCCAGTCCTGTGAAGCATTTAAGATGGCCGCCGAGCCGCAGATTCTCATGTGCCAGGTGAGCCCAGAGACTAATGCATGGGTGGAGGGCTGTGAGGCCAGGTTCGACAAAGTTTGCCAGAAGTTTTGGCTCCGTTTAAGCTGCAGACCTGAGCCCATCGTGCAAGCAACTCCGGAGCAGACTTCTGCTCTCTGTTCCTCCCCTGGGCTAAGGGCCCACGTGGAGCAGACGCCACCACGACGTCCAGACACTCTAGCTGTTCTCCATGATCTGAAGTTCCCACGCACCTATCATCCCTCCAAAACGAAACTGGAGATCGGTGGATATGAGGCATTAACCCAAAGCACAATCTGGGCCAGAGCCGGTGGGAGACCCAGGAAAAGACTCACTTACAACTATCTGGAGCCTAACCATCCTGACCCCTTACAGACAGGGATGCTTTGCTGTTGCCCGTGTGCTGCATTGGTTGAAGGCATCGGGTGGAGGTTCACAAAATTTCAAACACAGCAGTAGTGTTACGCAAAGTCTTATATATTTTCTTCTATGCTATTAAGCTCAGTGGATTTTCAGCAATGTAAATCTGTTTTTTTTTGTAAAAAAAAGAAAAGAAGTGTAGCATACTATGATTACCTATTTCTATAACTTGTTATTTTGTTTCATGCTTATGTATCTTCAATAAAATGTGTCTTTTACCCTGCACTCAAAAATAAAGGAAGGCAGGAACTCTTCAGGTAAAGTGCAAATAAAGCTCCCATTAGGTATTAAATGACCTAAATAATAGCTTTCAAAATCCCAAAAGCATTCTGACCAAATAACATTAGTATATTAAAAAGTATTACGAGAGCTTGTACAAAACTATTTTGTTATCTTAGCATCAATTACCAATATGGCTATTCTTACCTAAAGCACAATTAGAAGAGAGGGAAGGAGAAAAACTAGCCTTTAAAATAAAAAAATAAAAAGATTTGCGTTTTTTTATTATTTCTTTTAAATATACAGCAATACAACACTATTAAAAAATAAAAAATATATTACACAGTTGAAATTAAGACTTCTGTGAATCACAGTCCACAAATGGAAACGTAACTTGCTTTTTTGAAATACACTCCCTCACTTTGTCTTCTGTCAAAGAAAGTCTCTGCTCCAAAATAGCTACAGTCTGAAAGGAAAAAAAACAAAGCACAATTTTTTTTTTTCTTTTTCAAAACCAAACCACAAAGCATTAATTAACTTTAGCAAGGAAACCAGTGGTTTAGAACCATAACATATAGTTCTGTTTAATACATGAAAAGCTAGATTAAGAATCAGTATTTAGATTTATACAGCTGCTAATATGTGGAATATATATAAAAAAAAATAAAAAATTTCAGTCTCCAAACTTTAAAACAACCAACTTCAATAACGGACAAACTCTCGTACTATACTGCTGTGAGTGAAGCTCAATATGTTATAGCACAAATGTCAAGCTAATGATAGGGTAGCAGCTTATACACATAGGTTTGAGCAGTATATAATGATAGCAGCTAAATCCCTATTAAAAGATAAATGTATAATTTTTACAATTTGAACTTTAGCATGTAACTTTGGCAAAGCGTTCAACCACAAACTGCATGACTGGGCATGTGCATTAATGCTCTCCCATAATTCTTAGGGTGCGGTCATATGCTAGGCATTGTGGGATGCAGTGTTTGGAAATTATGGGTGTACACTCAACCCACATAAAAGACTCAAAATTAAAAACTTTAAAAGAAGTATGATATTTAATTCAAAGCACTTTAGAATTTTGTTCACTAAACACCAAAAATTGTAGTGAACTAAAAACCTATTTGCAAAAAATGAGTCATTATCAGACTGGAGCAATTTAAATGGAGTCCAAGAGAAATTGGATTATTTAAAAGTTGCACTATTGAAGGCAACATAAAATTGCATTAGGCTGGTCAGTAAAAGCAAAAAATTCAAGAAACCACTGTGGTACTCTGCAGATTTGGCCAAAATAGTTAAAAACAAAAAGTTAGCATTTAGGAATTATAAAAAAATCCCAGAGTGAGGAAGACAAAATGATATGTGAGATTAGGCAGAAAGGGGCTAAGCAAGTTATAAGAGCTTCCAAATCTCACACAGAAGAGAAAATAGTCAGTAATAAAGGGGGACAAAACATTTTTTAGATCCATAAATGAGAAAAGAAAAGTAAAACAAGGATTAGTTAGATTAAAAACAAAAGGAAGGTAGGTATGTAGAAGAGGATAAAGGTCTAGCTGACTGCCTCAATTAATATTTTTGTTCTGTATTTACAGATGAAAATGAAGGCAAGGGACCTCAGTTGAGAAAAAGGATAAATGAGTCATTTATTACACGTGAGTTTACAGAGGAAGAGATTCTATTTCAACTTTCAAAAGCAAAGACAAATAAGTCAAGTCAATGGGACCTGATGGAATACACCCAAAGCTATTAAAAACAAGCTTAGTGGTGTACTAGCAAAACCATTGACAGATTTAGTTAACCAATCATTGTTAACAGGAGTAGTCCCAGAAGATTGGAAGTTAGCGAATGTTGTGCCCATTTACAAGAAAGGTAATAGGGAGGAGTCGGGCAACTATAGGCCAGTAAGCATTACTTCAGTAGTGGGGAAAGTAATGGAAACCATGTTAAAGGATAGGATTGTTGAACATCTAAAAACACATGGATTTCAAGATCAGAGACAACATGGGTTTACTTCAGGGAGATCATGCCAAACTAATCTTATTGATTTTTTTGATTGGGTAACTAAAATTATAGATCAGGGTGGTGCAGTAGACTTTGCTTACCTAGATTTCAGTAAGGCTTTTGACACTGTTGCACATAGAAGGCTTATCAATAAACTGCAATCTTTTGCAATAAACTGCAAAGTTTGGATTCCAATATTGTTGAATAGTGATGTCCCGAACGGTTCGCTGCGGACTCATCATTGAGTAAACTTTGACCCTGTACCTCACAGTCAGCAGACACATTCCAGCCAATCAGCAGCAGACCCTCCCTCCTTCTGGACAGCATCCATTTTGAAGCTGCATTGTTAGTGAGCTGTCCAGGAGGCGGGAGGGTCTGGAAGGGAGGGTCTGCTGCTGATTGGCTGGAATGTGTCTGCTGACTGAGGTACAGGGTCAAAGTTTACTCAATGATGAGTCCGCGGCGAACCGTTCGGGACATCACTATTGTTGAATGGGTAAGGCAGTGGCTGAGTGACAGGCAACAGAGGGTTGTAGTTAATGGAATATATTCGAAGCTTGGACTTGTCACCAGTGGGGTACCTCAGGGATCTGTACTTGGACCCATTCTCTTTAATATTTTTTATTAGTGATATTACAGAAGGTCTTGATGGTAAGGTATGTCTTTTTGCTGATGATACTAAGATATGTAACAGGGTTGATGTTCCAGGAGGGATAAGCCAAATGACAAATGATTTAGGTAAACTAGAAAAATGGTCAGAATTGTGACAACTGACATTTAATGTGGATAAGTGCAAGATAATGCATCTTGGACGTAAAAACCCAAGGGCAGAGTACAGAATATTTGAGAGTCCTAACCTCAACATATGAGGAAAGGGATTTAGGGGTGATTATTTCTGATGACTTAAAGGCAGGCAGACAATGTAATAGAGCAGCAGGAAATGCTAGCAGAATGCTTGGTTGTATAGGGAGAGGTATTAGCAGTAGAAAGAGGGAAGTGCTAATGCCATTGTACAGAACACTGGTGAGACCTCACTTGGAGTATTGTACACAGTACTGGAGACCGTATCTTTAGAAGGATATTGATAACTTAGAGAGGGTTCAGAGAAGGGCCACTAAACTGGTTCATGGATTGCGGGATAAAACTTACCAGGAAAGGTTAAAGGATCTTAACATGTATAGCTTGGAGGAAAGACGAGACAGGGGATATATGATAGAAACATTTAAATACATTAAGTGAATCAACACATTAAAGGAGGAGACTATATTTAAAAGAAGAAAAACTACCACAACAAGAGGACATAGTCTTAAATTAGAGGGGCAAAGGTTTAAAAATAATATCAGGAAGTATTACTTTACTGAGAGGGTAGTGGATGCATGGAAAAGCCTTCCAGCTGAAGTGGTAGAGGTTAACACAGTAAAGGAGTTTAAGTATGCGTGGGATAGGCATAAGGCTATCCTAACTATAAGATAAGACTAGGGACTAATGAAAGTATTTAGTAAAATGGGCAGACTAGATGGGCCGAATGGTTCTTATCTGCCGTCACATTCTATGTTTCTATAAAATAGACAAGCTGTATTAGTGAATTCTTTCCAAATAAGTTATTTTTGTGAGGTGGTTTTCCATTTGTCATCATTTGGTGAACAAACATCTACATTTTGTGATTTCTTGATGCAGACAGTCATCTACATGTTTGCAGGTGACAGGTCCATATTAATATAAGATCTCTCTAAAATCTGCCCACGACAGGCCCACAATGGCTACAGATGTCCTACCTAATCATTAATACTTAACAAGATCAAGCTGATGTATCTTTACAAGCAGCATGGAAACGAAGCAATCAATCATGTTGGTATGATTAGCACATTACATCAGCTATTTTTCAAAATAGTGCTAGACATTAATAACAGGACAAACCATATACAAGAATATATAAATTTGATTTAAAAAAAAAATTTCACATAATTTTCAACGATCACAAGCAAAATTGCTACAAACACACATTACAGTTGGCTTATGTTATTGCCATCTGATTCCTTGAAAAATCCCAGCCAGCTCATAGTTTAAATGAGAATCAGAGAAGGCAGACAAGATTTTTGTGGAATCCAGTATCAGGTTCATAAAAAGGCATGCATGTTATTTTTTACAGCATTAGATTAATAAAACACATATGGTATGCCCATCCTAGAGGGTTCAATTAATTGCAGCAGCCATTTAAATTTTAAGTGAGATCTCACAAAAAGTTGTTTTTTTTGTTTGTTTAGAACATTTCATGCAAACTAGATGTAAGTCAATTATTGAGGCCACTTTGTTTCACACTGTTACATTTTTACAAATAACATTATCTTAAAAAAAAAAAAAATAATAAAATAAAATAAAAATATATATCACTTGTTTTAACAGATTGGCAACAACTAACCGAATAATCAAAATTATTAAGCATATTGTGTTACTATAAACACTGCAACTATACAGATTAAAAACTCCAATTATTTCATCAGAGGTTATTATAAGTTTCAGCACTTTATGTGATTCTCACCTGAGTAAGGACATCCAGCTGCCCTACTATATGCTCCAGTGTGTTTGCCACATTGTGTAGATTGGCTGCATTTTCTGGGGATTCCTGCTGCTCAGTGGGATACAGCTTTAATGTAGGATTCATTTGTTTGACGTGGACAGGTGTACTGACAGGATCCATTTCTGCAGGCTGATGGGTACACATTCATTGTAATTTCAGTAAAACATGATTTAATACAAAATTTTAGAGATGTTTGTTTTCTAAACTATTTTAAAAATCAGCTTTTTTTTTTTTTTTTTTAAAGGACTATACATGCTGGCTGGAAACTTGAAGTTTAATGATGACTGAGACATGCTTTAAAGGGACAATGTACCGGACTCATCTCATTGAAGTGGTTATAGTGTCTGCTGTGCCCAAATCGTCTATTTAGTGTTAAAAAGCTTTGAATGGCTCAACATTAACAAGAGTCCCCAGCAGCCCACCCAATGTGTTGTGCTTGGGATTACGAGGAAAAATGAATATGTAGTAGCAAATGGTGACTGGCTGAGAGTGCCAGCTGACCGCTTTCAGCCTATCACAGCCACCCATTTTTGGTATGAATATTAAGGATGAATGTAATCTCTGTCTTCGCCATGCCTCCATAGGTGTCAGACTGAGTGGCCACAGACCCTCATCCATGTTCCAACTGCTCAAACACTGTTTAACAATGAATGGAGGGACAGTACCAGGTGACTCCATTGACTAAATACAATTCAAAGATAAGAAATGGTTGTAGTGCCAAATCTACCCATGAAGTTGACTGAGCATAATAAGTTATAATTAATATCTTCATAAATATTATGTCATATTAGAATTCTCTAACGCTCATATATTGTATTTTTATCTGTAAATCAGCACAAAAAAAAAGCTGAAGGTACAGTTATATACGGACAAGACTATTTTCATGGGAAATACAGTAAAGTTGGGATAATAAATGTACAGGGAAATACTGAATAAATTGGAAAACAAACATACACACACACACACACACCAACCATGTCCATTAATTTGTTTAAATATATCTTTTTTTTTTTTAACTCATTATTTTGTTTTCTTTATACACAGTACTGAATAGTACTGATCTCCTAAAATTTTATTACTGAGGCCAAAGTTGTGATTCCATCATGGTGTATACACTATGAAACTCAAGAAGGACCCCACCCCAGTGTTAAGGAATTAACACCACCAGGTTGCTTGAAAAGTATAAACTGATTGTGTAGTTCAGGGGTTCTCAAACTACGGCCCGCCAGGCCTTATATCTTCAGGGGCCCGGTCAGCGCTTTGTACGTGCAATAGCGCGACCAGACCCCTTTAAAAAAAAAAAAATTCTGCCTCGATGTAGTGCTGGGAGGAAGTGACGGCCGGTGGCCACTTCCTCCCAGTTCCCTTCGCCCGGAAGGGAAGAGAGCCAGGCCGACTCCCATCATCCCCAGCCACCTTCATAAAAAAAAAAAAAAAAAAAAGTTAAGCAAAATTAGCTATGTGTATCTATGTATGTGTCTGTCCGTATATAGGTATGCATGTGTATGTCTGTGTCAGTTTATGCATGCATGCATGCATGCGCAACGTGCATAAGATTTTTTTATAGTCCAGCCCCCAACAGTGTCTGAGGGACCGTGAACTGGCCCCCTGTTTAAAAAGTTTGAGGACCCCTGGTGTAATTCTACAACTGCTGGTGGTGTCTTTTTTTTTTTTATAAGCTTGCATTGGAATGGCCAGTTTAGGGGCTAGTGCTAAATTACTGCAAGGCAAAAAGTGTATCAGATACTACATGGCATGATGTTAAAGAACATAAGGGAGAATTCAGCATAATTATCCTATCCACATGGGTTACTAGATTATCCTACACATGACAAGTGGTACAGTGGATTCATTCTAACCGCAGTATACCCACCTGTTGAATATGGATTATATTGAATATACAGCTCACTGTACATCTGTACATATATCCCCTCACATATCGGAAAATATAATATATTCTACTAAATGAGATGCAATTTAATAAATTAGTACAATTATAAAAACTACACAATTGGCACACGGAAACCATTTTAATTTATCAAACATATATCAAAGCATCAAAACCAGTAAATATAGAATAGAGAATACAACCTCATCAATTTGTTCATTTGCAACGGATTGATGGAAGTCTTTTAGTTGGCCAGATGGTTTGAAATGTGTCTCGTTAGCAAACGTCCGTTGTTTATGTGCAATCACATCAGTGTAACTGGCAGAGTCAAAATTTGTTTTCCAAACCATTACCTATGTATAACAAAGCAAACACCACATTATACAGGATATACAATTATGCACAAATATCCTATAACTAGATATTTTGTTGGCTTTAATGTTAAAACATCCTTATAAAAGCAAATAAAAGCAAAAGAATATATTAAAAAAAAAAATTCTAACATTGTCGACTGACACGTGAGTCAATCTTCATGAAACCACAACGGTCTTTAGATTTAAATACAAGAAAAAAGTCCTGCGCTCACTCCCATCACTCCTGGGCGGCAGAAACGACCACAGTACACATCAGCTCCAATACATATAGTAAAAACCAAAGGGAAAAAATACATTAAAAAAAAAAGTTACCTTTTATCTGCACAATTAGCAGTTATAGATTTGTAAAGCAAGATTACCTGTTCATCCACATGTTTTGTGGACAAGTCACTCATATAGAAAAGAAGACATTTTTACAAAAAAGCATAAAAAGAAGTTTGAATATAAAACCAGGAAGTGGCTTAGCATTCTCAGAAAAAAACTCAGCAAGCATTTTCCAGTAAGTAATATATGCTTGAGCTTGTTAGAAAGTGTGTAGTTGTATGTAGCATATTGACAATAGCACATACATTTAAGACGGTAAGTCTGAGATGTTCTACAGCACTAGGCCCAAGGACAACAGTACTAAACTTTCAACCAGATACCACTCTCCTTAACAATGATTGATATTAACCAACCACAAAATGTCCCATAACTATCTAATCTCTAAAACACAAGACACAACACCAATGTACTTGAAGAATAAAGAGATTTGTTCATTCCTTGCAAAGTTCATTAGAAGTATATTAAAACCTGGCACATGTAATAGATATACAAGAAAATAAATAAAGTTGTGATTGTATGATGGGAGAACTAAGGATGTGGAAAGTGACCCCGATGAGAACTTTCCACTGTACTCTAACCTATTGCAGTCCATAAAAATGTATTTTAGAAATCCCCTCTGGCTAATGTTTTTTCAAAGCAACATTGCAAGGTATATAAACCACCAAAGTGTGCTGGAGTGGTTATGACACCAAGTGTGGCCTAACTTCCTCAATATAAGTAGTCAAACCATTTTAATAGGGTTTGACCCTTTACCTAGAATCTGCCAGGCGTCCCCGCCTCAACTACAGCCTTGAGAGAGCCAGAAGCTCTTCGATCTTCTGTTGGTTCTCCTGGCTTATGCCCTGCAGTGGGGATTCTAGAGGAGCATACTTTTTGTCAAACTACTCAAAAACTGTTTTACGAAACTAGAGGAAAGGCATCTAACATCTTATTGCTAAATGACCACTATAATAATATGTTGTGGATATAATGCACAGAGTGTCTCCTTTGACAAGTGTATGGAATTCAGCAAGGGTGTTTATAAATGTACAGCAAATTGGTTTCCTGGGATTTGTTCACACAGACACAGAAAGAAAGTCAAACTGTATGCGACTTAAATCGCAGTACAGCTCACGACAACTGAGTGAATAGCATGATGGATGAAGAAGTGGTAGCTATTCCATATAAACCCAGGTATAATTAGTCACTCAAATCAAGGTCATCTAGACACTCTTCACCCAAGAAATCCAAAACAACGGGCTCAACCTTGAGGTTTATTTTTCTTCTTTTCTTTATACATCCTTTTGCTTGAACATCACTACCCAAGTTCTTAGCATGTCGTCCACATAATGACAAAGCAGTAACTTCGATAACAACTGATCTTTACAGATAGCTCAGCAATGTGATAACTGAACTCACTTGTTCATCAGATCCCCCAGACGCAAAGAAGTCTCCTTCTGTCGAAAATCTGGCACAGGTAACTGCACCCTATAAAAGAAAACAAACAAATAAAACACAGAATAAGAACTATAATTGCCCACCAAACCTCGTTACAATAATATACAACACTGTTATATTCCGCAAAATGAGCACTCCCACGACTACATCATAAATAAATATCACCAGGCACTTCCTCTTCTCTGTACAGGGAACTCTGGGAGCTGATCGGCTTTACTGGGAGTAACTGGTGAGGTGCTAGCATTTTTGGAGAATTCCTGCTGTTCAGTTGGGTACAGAGGTGCACACCTCTACCCATTGTGTATTTATTTTACCAGGGTTATTTTCTAAAGTGTGAACTGTCATGAATTCAAGGTAAATTTTAAATCAAAGTCAAAACCACCAAAATAGTGAAAACATACCAACCGTTGGCACATTTTTAAATCCAATTTAGATTTATATGACTATTCACACTATATTTTTTATTCTTCTACACGTTTCAAAATTTTGATGCGGTTACCAAGATGAAATCTAGTTACATCTTCAAGAGATTAAAATACAGCTCAATATTTTTACTTAACCAAGTTATAATAATCTGCTTGAAAAAAAACGTTAATTTGAGGGTACAGTAAAATTAGAGTAAGAAAAGCTAGTTTCAAAATAAATAAAAATATTTCAAATAAAGTCATAGTTCAGAGTCATACAGACCTATTCACTAAACTCTGAAAAAGCAGCAAATTAAAATGCAAAAAAATAAATAAATAATTATATATATATATATTTATTTATTTATTTTGCATTTATATATATCCCACTATAGTCACAGCTTGGCTAATGTAGCCTGCATTTTGCAGCCTTTTTTGTAATATGGATTTTTAATTCGCAGTGTACATGGTACACTGTACATATCTCCATATGTTTTTCATAGTGTCTCACTTCCCTGCAATATGCTTTCACCATCTGTAGTGTACAATGTGTGGGCGTAATTACACAAAAATGGATCCGTGGAGAGGAAGGCTGTGTTCTAGAAATCTCTGAGAACAGAAAAGCGTTCTACAGAGTGTAAACTGATATGCATGCACACATATATAGAGAGGATACACAACAGTAAACTGCATATGATGGGAAAAAGAATACAATCAAAATAAAAGGTTCAGAAGACATAACCATAGTATCCTAGTATATAGATAGATCTATATATCTATCTAAACACACACACACACACACACACACACACACACACCATTAAAACCACTGACATGTGAAGTAAATAACATTGATTATACACTGACACCTGTCAATGAGGTAGGATATATTCAGCAACAAGTGAACAGTCAGTTCTTGAATGTCATATGTTGAAAGCAAGGAAATGGGCAGGAGAAAAGATCCAAGTGACTTTGACAAGGGCAAAATAGTGATGGCTAGAAGATTGGTTAAGAGCATCTATAAAAAACACAAGTCGTGTGGTGTTTTCCCTGGTATGCAGTGGTTAGTGCCTACCAAAAGAGGTATAAGGAAGGACAACCGGTGATCCGGCATTGGGATCCCAAGGCTCATTGATGCTCATGGGGAGCGAAGGCTTGCATGTGTAGCCCAATCACACAGAAGAGCTACTGTAGCTCAAATTGCTGAAATACTCAATGCTGGCAGAAAGGTGTCAGAACACGCAGTATATCACAGTTTGGGACTTTGTAGCTGCAGATTGGTCCAACCTACACGATATTAGCCAGGTGGTTTTAATGTTGTGGCTGATCAGTGTACGTTACCCTTTTTTATAATTTCTGCATTTTTAGCGTCAACAGTAAGCTCACACCAAATCAGGTAGTAACTCAGGTAAACAAATAGGACACTTAATAGCATAAACATATACATAGTATTCACAGCAGGGATTTCAGTGAGTAAAGGTCAGTATTCTCCTGTAGAAAGCAACAAGATGCTAATTAGCATCTTGGATTTTATTAACCCCGCTCAGAAGACCAGTACAAACAAAACATGTAGGAAGGAGCAACATTACTTACACTCAATGCTCAAGACACCATAACTACGCGAACTAGCATGACTCTGGTGCCGTCCCACGCTTCTATGTGAAAAAATCTGACCGATTTGACACTTGGGCTCTAAGCATAATATGCCATTTAAATATGATTGGAATGGATATTTAACTTTAGCAAAAGCAACATGCAAGGCAAAGAGCTGGGTCACAGGTGTTCAGGGGACCCATAGTGAATGTTAAGCAACTAAAACAGTTTGACAGAACTAAGAGGCAGTACCAAGAGTATGCGGTCGCCATAACCATCACAGCGGATTTTTCCAAACCTTTTGCAAAGAAAGGGTTAAGATGAAAGAAATGATGGAATCCCGGAACAGGTAAGAAATAAAGTAAGAACTTAATATGCAACCACTTATACAACCAAAATTAGTTCTATGCCTACTATCATGGTTATTCAGTAAACTGGGAATTGTTAGCAATTGACCAGGACGGGACAGAAGAGGAAATAAAAGTACAGTTTGTGAATTTTTCCATGTAGGCTATACTGTACTATGATGTGAAATTCCTTGGTCAGTTTCCCATGTTTCCAGACTTCGAGAAAAATTCTGTAACTGGTTACCATTTTTCCATGAAGAAAAGAAACAAAAGCATTCTAATGCAAATTATTCCTCACCTGATGGCCATGAAGAGTATACAGTAACCGACCTTCCAGTAAATCAAGAATCTTTAGTGTTGAATCATTTGATGATGTGAGGAGATAATTCCCAGACGGATGAAAAGAAAGTGCATTTACCACGCCGCTATGCACTGCAAAATAAATACATTAAAAAAATTACATACATTATCTGTACTGCTGTTCTTGGCTGGCATAAGGCCTCTCTTTGAGGCTGCCGTTACACCCCTGGCATCAAAGGAGTTAAAATTGGTATGTGTCGCGTTTCCCAGTGAACTGCTGCATACGCAGACTCCAGGCACATCACATCACTGAAGTGGTAAGGTAACAATGCCTGAAGTAGCCCTTTAATTATTTTACCTCACAAAAGCTTATGCCATCTATTGCCTTTTGTGACAATGATTTTTCACTCACTTCTGCAGAACTTAAACCTATGTTTCCCCTTACACTCTTTATGAAGCTTCCTGGATCTACTAGCCTTCATCAAACAGCTAGCAGCATAAACGGAAATGGCTATGCATAGAACACAAAATGGTTACCATTTACCGTTATCAATCAGGTAAACATTTTCAGAAATTTGTAGAGAAACGTCCAGTTAATCCTACAAGTAAGATTCAAAGGGGTACATTTTAAGTCAACCTTACTGAAGAGAACTTACCTTGGTAGTGCTGGATCAGCTTGTTCATACGGATATCCCACACTTTCACAGTATTGTCTGTTGCTGCAGCAGCTATGCAAGTGCCACTCGGATGAAAGTCGGCATAATTAACAAACCTAAAAAACACAAGCGCCAAGATAGAATATAACTTATATAAATATATCACAGTGTCAATATATCCAGCAGTTCTATCCAACCTACATTTATTAAACGAGACAAGAGACCATGCAGAGGCACAATCTGCACATAATTAAAACACTGACTCCAAACGAGCAGGAGATCCCTTTCCAAAAGAATTTTACAATCTAAAATGATGATACTCACTGTGCACAGAAATATTCACAAACAGATAAAAGGGCATTGTAACCGGTGTCAAGACATGTATTAGAAATAATTTAGTTTTAATAGATATTTGATAGCTCTGGAAGCTTAAGGAATATGACTGGTGATATAAAAATATAGTGATATCTGTACATTTGAGGTGCAAAAAAAAAATATAAAAGTAGTCATCAGAAAGGAAGTGGGGAGGCATAAAAAGGCCCAACTCCAAGACCCTACTAAACATTGCACTGCAGGGAACCTCAGGAGAATACATTTCCGAAGTAATCATAAGAACATGCACTAAATTATTAGAGTAGGTTTTGCAAAAAATAGGGTACAGTGTATAATCATACACTAACTAAATCCCCATTATGTTTTCCTGGCAAAACCCATTTATATTTTGTGGGCTTTGAAGGTATTGCAATGTTTAGTAATTGTGTTTTAATCTGTATAGAATGTGAGAATGTGTGTGTATTTTTTACATTTGTTTAAATTGTACACTACAAATGTTTTTTTCCCTTTGGATGAATAACCCTTTTATCTCATCGTAAGAAGAAAAAAAATATCCATTCCACCAAATAAAACAAAAATAAATAAATCTTTACTTACCCACCGTGCTCACAGAATGAATGTATGCATTCTCTGCTTGTTTTGTCCCACAGTTTGATTGTCTTGTCATCACTAGCAGACACTATAAGCCTTCCATCAGGTGAAAACCTATCCACAAAAACAATGGTCAATATATATTATTTAAAGTATAAACATAAAAACAAAATAATATCGCCAAAAATGATGCAAACTTAACACACCCTCCTAGGTTTTATTGTACGATAAAATTATACTCACGGATGCAAACTAACGGTTTGACTTCATGTAAAGTTATGACCGACTGAATATTAGCACCATAATAGAGCTTTTGTCAGAATGTGCTATTTCAACTTGAATGATCCAAAAGGTATTTTATGACTTAATTGACAGGTAATTTATGCTATTTTATATTAAGATAATTCATCAAAACAGAATAAGAAACACGGCTGTACTTGTTACTGCAATGACGACAGAAGTTGGTAGCGATTGTGTTAGAATAAAGGTGACACAGGTTAAAGGTGCAGTCATAACACTGTGCTCTACTCTAACAGGGCCAAATTCAATGTCGTTCACATGACGCATAATATTTAAAAACTTGCCATTTCACATGTTCAGACAATGACCTTTTTTTTTTTTTTTTACACTTTTGCAAATTGTACAAGTTGTGTTTTTAATTTCAACCAAACAAAATGCTAAATTAATTGTAGAGTCTCAAAAATTCCTACACTGTTAATTCCTATCTTTTCAACAGCTGCACTTACAAGTGTAGCTTTCAGGAACCATGTCTTTGGAAGGATATAATTAGGGCTGAAAAGCATCTGCTAAAAACAAAATATTCAGCTGTAATTATTTAGGAAATACGCAGAAATGAGTGCACCAGTAATTATCACCTTTCATCCTGCGGAGGTCGATAAAAGGAGAACCAATATTGTAGCAGAAACAACTACATAACAGTACAGTTGGAATCTCAATACATCCTTTGTGGTAAAACGCTTTTTGAAGGTTTTCACTAAAAGGAAATGGCAAATTTGGGATCAAAATAGTTGGAAACATAACTGAATTGTGTAAAGGCAGCATTTCCATTGAAAAGCATAGCAGGGACAGACTGTAGACACCGGAACAAATTCATTAAGCTGTAGTTGTTCTGGTGACTAAAGTGTCCCTTTAGAAGGACAATGAGCACCACAACCACTACATATCATTATAGTGATTAAGGTGCAAAGAGTCTGTTGACATCATTCCTCAAATACAAAGAAACTAGTCCTGCGCTCAAACTCCTGGGCGGCAGCAATGACACATCAGCCAAAAAAATAAAAAATCGTAAAAAATAAATAAATAAAAAGTTACCTGCGCTCTTTCCACATCCTTATGTATTTTTAAACAAATTGAGGTTTTTAGTTACCTCCAATGGCCATGAGAGGGTAACTAAAAACCTCCATTTGTTTAAAAATACATAGAGATGTGGAAAGAGTGCAGGTAACTTTTTTTTTTTTGGTTTTTACTATATGTATTTTGGCTGATGTGTACTATGGTCGTTGCTGCCGCCCAGGAGTAATGGGAGTTTGAGTGCAGGACTAGTTTCTTTGTATTTGTATTCACTTTTGTATCACACAGCTATGTTGCAATGCTGCTGCCCATCCCATGTGTTCCCTATTAAGGGTTAATAAGCATGTAGGGATGTATATAAAAAAATACCCCTTTCTGTCTCAGAGATATTTTTGTCAGAAGCTCAAGGAAGCAAGGCAAATGGTTAGCGTTAGGACCCACCTAAGAGGTCTGCCTTGATGTGGCAGGTGGGCATACCCTCTCATGGCCATTGGAGGTAACTAAAAACCTCCATTTGTTTAAAAATACATAGGGATGTGGAAAGAGCGCAGGTAACTTTCTTTGTTCAGTCCTCAAATGTCTATCCAACTGTGTGAGTGCTTTCACAGAAACCAGTGCATTTTCACTAGCAGCACAAGCTCTTAATGAACACAAAAGTGAATCACATTATCCCATCCAACTTTGTGGAGAAAAGCTGGGATCAGAAAGGGTGAGCTGGTCCAGCACCCTCAGTCATTCACTCGTGTGCAGAGATGGACAGACAAAATGCAATACTACCTCCTTGCTAGCAAGGGGGCAAGCACCTAGAAAGCAATGCTTTTTTTTAAATATGGTTTTCAAATTGCACACAAATTGTGGGCTCACAAATACTTGCTGCTTAAAATGAATTGGCACTCAGACATTACTCACATTGTGTGATTCTTAATCATTGCTTTACTAGCTTTTCATATTAAAGAGGAACTGTCATTTCTTCACTTTCAGCACAATAAAATTGGGAGAAAAAAAAAAAAAAAGAAAGAAATAGATATTGTGTGTACTAAAAGTTTTTTTTTTTTTTAAATTACCAAGGCCAGGCAAAGCATGTAAATAATTAGGTCTTGCAGTGCTGTACGTATAAGGAATGCAAAAGTACAACACAGTAAGAGAGTATTCAGAGTGCTTATGTGCATGCTATAGCATCATGTGTAGCAGAGCGCAGTTTTTTTTGGTTTAAGCTTACCTCTGCTACTCTATTCACACCAGTAAACACAGTAATGGTGATTACTAAAATGAAGTAACAAGGAATTGTCACTTCTCTTCATACAAGTGCCGAACCACATATGCTATAAACTTTATTTATTTTTATTTTTTTAAACCAGGTTTTCTCTACAGTGCATTAGAAAGAAAAAGTAGTAAGGGGGGAGGTTAAAGCAATCCAGCCAGGATCTCTTTTTTAACAATTCAACAAACTTGTTTTGAAGACATTTACTCAATAATGAAACAATTTCGATTCAAACCTATTTGAGGTCAGACCGTAAACAAATAACCACACATACCTTGCACAGCGCACCCAGTTTATGTGCTGATTCAGTGAGAATAAGAATTTTTGTCTGTGGACTGTCCACACCTTCACAGTTTTGTCATCAGAAGCAGTGACCAAAGATTGTCCATCCCCTGAGAAACTAACACTGCGAACAGTTCCTGTGTGAGCTTTGAATGTAGTGGATTCTCCTTTTCTAGATAGATAGAGGAAAAGTGTAAAAAAATTAAAATAAATTAAAAACATATATAGAAAATATAATCACATAAATTGTTGGTGATATTTAGTAGAAGTCTGATTTAATATGCATTAGATATTCTGCAATACCTTGACATTTTTATGAGAGAAAAGGTTTCCCTTAACGTGAACATGAAGAAAAACTTCAGGAAAATATAATTTATACATTATGCTATCAACATAACTAGAAAGTGCATAGATTAAATGAACTAAATACTTGAAGTTTAACTTCTTTCTCCACAAATATGTATGCCATAGTGCATGAAGACACTACAACTTGTTCCCATGATGGTTCCCTATTATGTGGCCATAAACTAACCAAAGTATCACTTAATATTCACTTCCATTACAGAAGATCTTTAAATAGGCCCTTAAAATTCCCAAGTCCTTTTAAGGGTATGAACAGAAAACAAACAACTGGCTATTGTTGAATTTGCTTAATTTAAATATTTTACTTACACACTAGGTACCCATAAACGAACAGTTTTATCTCTGGAAGCAGATGCAATGAGGTGCCCTGAAGGCGAAAACTCAACTGACAAAATGGCGTCTTTATGCCCTACAAAGCGGTATGCTCGCATTTGCGGTTTCATATTCCAGATCATCAAACAGGAGTCCATTGAACCACTTGCTGTAAAAGAAGAAAATAAAAAAAATAAAATGTATCTGAACTGTAAATCAGGACAAACAATTGTTTTAAGTAGTCAAAAAGGAACCTCTATTGCCCAAACTAAAAAAAAAAAAAACCCCAAAAACCCCTCTTTAGTAAATATGCCCCCAATGAAACCAATGCATGCAATTATGCATTTTCATTAGAAGTTAATCTAAAAACTGCTTACAAAAGCTGCAGATCTCTTGTATTAAGCTTTTGCAAATCCTCCCCTTCTAAACCAGCCCAGAATTTCTGTGGCTGGCCAATCACAGACTTTGCAATGCAGCTCAATGAGAAGTCTTTACAAGGCAGGTACTCTGCACAATTAAGCTAAACAAACCAGGAAGTAGAAGAATTGGTTGCCAGACTGACAGCCGGTGGTTGTAACAACGTTTATTTATAAAAGTGACACGTTGTAGTGAAGTCTGCACATTTGTAAAGTTAAAAATAGGACACACTATTCACACAGACCACTTCTGCAAACAATTGTTTTAGTGCTCTGGAGTGTCACTTTAAAGTTAACCAGTCATCCATAACAATTTGTCACAGTTCCTGCAGCTGTAGATTAGCCCCTGGATCAGTGACATCACAGGAGACATTTTACTTCCTCCTTCACCAAAGATCTATGTAATGTTTGTGTGCAGAGTGTGCACGCTGGGCATATGAACAAAGCTACCTCACCAGATAAGTGGCTGAGAGATCACGGGTTGAGAATATTGCTGCTAAAAATAAGTTTAAAGGATGAAAAAAAAACTAAATACACCACAATAAGATGCTTCTTACAGGTCTGGGATGGATCTGTGTTTCCACTTGCACGGTGTTAACAAAAGCATCATTAACATTTTAAATTATTTTCATAATATTTATAAGAAAATAAAGAGAGCACTCCCAGGTCTTGTTTTTCCAAGTGTGCTGCTTTATTCAAAGTGAGATTTACGTTTCACCCCAAATTAGACTTTTATCAAGATCTTTTCTATAATTTTATTTCTAATTAGATGTGTTGCATAGCCTTAATAAAATACAGGGCATTTTTTTTTTAGATCACTAAAAAGAAAATTCCATGTGAAAACCAATCTAAGTTAGGGTCTGGCTATCAAGGAAGTTACTTATGTAAGCCATCTTGCAGAAGCACTGATTATCCTCGAGTAAGTATATAATTTATTATTTTGCTGGTGGCTTTCCCAATACGTGGATTATGAGTACAACTCCTGAAACAGACTCTGCCGTTCACATATTTAGTCGATTACAGAGTAACAATGACATCAGGACTGCTAGAGGGACATTCCAAACATATAATGCACTTCATCTTGCTGTACATGGAGTCAGTCATAGTTCTGACAGTTTATAAAAGTGCTGATTTCACTAACCATCAGCACTTTTATAATTGGGGGCAGAAACACCTCTTTGGTCATCACTCAGATAATCAGGGAGACTTTCTTCCCCTTCTTTTAGCTTAACAGAGCTAACGTAAACGACAGCCGCACTGTGTTAGTATGCACCTTCCTCTCCCCCTTTTCATTAAAGTGGCACTGTCATGCCGAACTCACCTTTCACCAATCACTTCCTCTTCTCTCTCTCTCAGGATCTGTTCTTTTCTTCCTAACTAATCTAGTTTTCTTTAAAACATAAGACAAAGTAGGGACTACTTTGCTAATTCCTACTTTTCTGATGTATTTTTCCTTCGCTTGACCAGCTCAAGTGAGTCAGAGAAATTCCCCCCCAATATTCATCCTTTCCGCCGTGATCTTGTGATGTCTCCTTTCACTATTCCCGAACAACCTGTCATTTAGACAGGATGCCGGCTAAACTACCGAATTTCGTCTTAACACAATAAGAACAGTTTCTCCATTCGTGTTAGAATGCAATTCGGTAACTTCTGTTCGGAACAAAATTTCATTTGAATGAATAAAATGCCGATCCTATTCATGCCGCGAGTAGATAGCTCCCTGATACCGTGGGAATTAGGGAGCTATCTACTAAAAGACCTAAATTGGTCTTTCTGCCAAACTTACTAATACTAAGTAAAGATTACTTAGTATTAGCAAAAAGTTGCTTTACAATCTCCCTTCTGCCCCTACTCACTGTTATAAAGATTTAAAAAAAAAATTTAAAAAAAAGAAGAAGAACCTAACTCCTATGAGCGGCAGGTTGGAGCCAAAAGGAACAATGGGGGGAGACACCCATTGTCCCATGAGGGGCGGGTGGGGGGGACCGGACCTATTGTCTCCCCACCATGAGCGGCGGGTGGGGGCCCCAAGTAACAAAAGGGGGTACCTATTGTCTTCCCTCTGCCTCTACCCGTGAGTAGCGGTCCTAAGTAACAAAATGAGGGGGGACCTATTGTCCCCTCCGGCAACGTGTGGGGGCTAAATGTAAATAAATCACCCCCCCACAGGTGACTAGAGGTCCCAAAGCCCCTAGTCACCCCCACCCCAATAAAATTAAACCCTACTTACCCACTCACCCTAAAAATAGTTGGGGGGAGGGGACGGCAAAAAAAAAAATATTCATACTTAAACCTTTTTTTACAGCCCCAAAAAAGGCCAAATAAAAATCCATTATTCCATCGCATCCTGACGCTTCTAGTTTAACATATTACAAGGAGGGAGCTATGAGCCAGTAGCTCCCTCCTTGTAATAAACTAAACGAACAAACAAAGAGGTGTTTGTTCATCCGTTTGAACTTTCTATTCATTCATATTTCTGACGAATGAATGAATGGACAAAATTCCCGTCCAAATGCCCCAGTGTTTAACTGGGCATGCGCCGGAATTTCATAGTGCCTTCATCTGCCCATACAAAGATGGCGGTGCCCAGGACCTAGGTCCGGGCATAAAATAAAGTTATAAAAAAAAGTTAACATCGGGGGTATTTGGGGGTAACAATGTGCACAATACAGTGTATTGCAGTCAGAAGTGGGGTTTTAAAAAAATAAAAATAAATTGATTTGGCCATGACAGTGCCGCTTTAAAGCTCATTGAGAAGCATAAGAAAGCTACGAGCGCATGAGACTCCAGGACAGAGGCTGCTATATGTGAAGCCTATGATTGTTGATTGATTTTTTTTCATATACACCCAAAGAAAACATTTATTTTTTGAAATGAAGAAGTGGCTTACCAACTTGTTTCATGTTGGGATTAAAATCCACACTGGTGATGGTGTCTCTGTGTCCTTTAAAATGCCTTTCCAGAGAAGGATCATCCTGTAATAAAATAAATAATTCCAAATGTTATAGAACTGTGCTAGATAGGCATCTCATTGCTAGTGCAGTAACTTCTGGGGTGTATCACAGGTAACTTGTCAAACTACCCTGGGAAAGTGCTAGGGAACTCCTATCTACAGTGAGTTGTAGTGGTTATGGTACACTTTTAACACTGCACCAAATTTTATAATGAGAACAAGACAACTTCCAATGTAAAAACAAAACAACAAAAAAAAAAAAAACAGATTAGTTGCTGTGAGCATGTCAATACTCAACAATTCAAGATTTTGCTAAACCTAAAAATGTATTCAAAAAAGGTGTTCACAGAGGAAATAAAAATTCGAAATTGCAAAGAGATTTTATATATATATATATATATATATACACATATACATACATACATACATACACACACACTTTTTTTTTTTTTTTAAGTTTATGTAAACACACTACACATAAACCCCAACTCGTCCCTCTAGTCCACATTTCCCACAAAGCTTGGCCAGCCATTAGCTACAATGCTAGCACTGAGATTACACTGGTATAAAGTGCAACACTACATGGGATGGCAGGACTGGCAGAACCATCATGCCATCGTGCCATTGTGCAGTACAGGTAAAGTGCTGCCCTCCACCAAGTAGCATTCACATACTGCATGTTGGTGAAGCAGACAGCTATTGCAATGGCTCGCTGTGTACATTGCCTTCCCTCCTGCCTATATGAACTCTACCTCCTGCAGGCAGCACTTTTCATGCTCTGCCAGGCTGCCTTATAGCAGTCACAGGGTCCCAAATGGTGCAGCAGGTATAGCTGTAGAGGGGACACTGGGGGTACTTACCGGCTGCCCCATCATCCTGCAATGTCAGTGAATGGATTTGTACTCCGCTTCGGATGCTGTTGGCGCTCTGTATAAGATAAAGCGTTTTATAACTCGGCCCGCGAGCAGACTGTCTGCCTCTGGGCTCAGGGTCAGTCACCGCCTGAATGATGGCTTCCCTAGCGACCAGCTCGCAAACTCCATCCAAATCTGCCGCCGTTGGGCGGTGTTAACCCTTAGCAAGGCTGGCATGGGGAGGCTGGCCCTTCTAACTGACTCATATTATCGCTGCCCCGGGCACGAAAGGGTTACAGACGTCAGCGCGCCGATCGCGGCGCCTTCAGTAACCGCTGTAACAAGCCGTGGGCGGGGCCAGGGGTGGGGCTGTGGGCGGGGCTAGGACTAGAACACGAGCTGGACTGGAAAGGGAGGGAGAGTGAGGGAGTGGGCGGGCTCAAGTACTTTAAAGTTATTGAAAAACAAAAAAGGAAATAACACAATATGCTAATATATATATATAAATAAATAAAACAACAAATAACACAATTACTGGCACTCTACCTTACATGACTCAGTGTTTCCAATGCTATATATAAACTTTTTTTTAAATCAAAAAATGATATTCTGCTTTAATTTGCTTACAAGTGGTGATTATTAAAATTTATGGACGACGTTTCACCCCCCCTCCCCCTTCTTGGGCCTTTCTCAAGATGTATATATATATATATACACACAGTACAGTATCTCACAAAAGTGAGTACACCCCTCACATTTTTTGTAAATATTTTATTATATCTTTTCATGTGACAACACTGAAGAAATGACACTCTGCTACAATCAGGGCCGGCGCGTCAATAAGGCAGCACAATGGCCTCCTTAGGGCGCACTGGCACGGGGTGCGCTAGGATGGAGTGACCAGCAGGAGGTGGGCGCACAGAGCTCCCTCCTGCCAGGTACTCTGTGTAGCGTGGCCGAGTGGAGCAGTGCGCGCCACGGTACAGGAACTTACGTTTCCTGTACCCGACCGGACTGAAAGGAAGTGCTTACTGACAGGGTCGGACTGGGTATTCCAAAGCAGCCCTGGAAAAAAAATCTATGCCAGCCGCATAAGTCATTGCGCCATATATTGTCGCATGTAATATGTAAGGCTATGTCTTGCCACCCTAGATGATTGAGATATATATATATATATATATATATATATTGCTTTTTCCAATATAAAATATTGGTCCTTTCAGAGTAAAATTTAATTATACAGTAAGCATACTCACATGCAGACACAATCTCACTGACACAAGCTGATACACAGCCTCATAGACAAACAATCTCACTGATATACATAAGGTCATTGACATAAAAACACAAGCTCACTCAGTAGCAGGCACACACACACGCACGCACACACACACACACACACACACACGCAAGCCCACTCACTAGCAGGCGCGCACACACACACACAGCTTAATGTAGTGGCTCTGGTGTCTATAGCCTGTCCATGCAGGCTTTTCAATGTAAACACTGACTTTTTAGAGAAAAGGCAGTGTTTACATTGCTTCCTAGTGACAGACACTCAGACGGTCACTAGAGGTGCTTCCTGTGTCAGTGCGGATTGGCTGAGATCATCAAGCTTGATGATCTCAGCTGTAGAGGCAGGGCCAGTCGAGGGGAGACCAGCACGACGTGGGGGGGGGAAAGGAACTGAGTAAAAACACACATACACACACACATACCATGACAGACACACACCATGACACAGACAGACCGTGACACAGACAGAAACACACACACACACCGTGACACAGACAGAAACACAGACACACCATGACACAGACAGACACACATACCATGACACACACACACACACACCATAACACAGACAGACTGTGACACAGACACACACACACACACCGTGACACAGACACACATTACATGACACACACACCATGACACACAGACACACACACACCACGACACAGAGAGACCGTGACACAGACACACACACACCGTGACACATACAGACACACACACACGACATACAGACACACACACCATGACAGACAGAGACACACACACACAACATGACACACACAAATGACAGACACACACACATGCACTCACACTGACACACATAATTGCAACCTGTGTGCTGGCATGGGGAGCTCTGATGGCGGCCGCATGGGGGCGCTGGCTCTTCTGGCGGCTGCAGAGGGAGCTCTTTTGGCGGCCGCAGAGGGAGCTGGCTGTTCTGTCTCTGCTCCCCCTCCCCAGCACGCCACTTAATGAGACCGGGGCCAGAATATGATGTCATATTCCGGCCCCGGTCTCATTAAGCGGCGTGCTGGGGAGGTGGAGCAGAGACAGAACAGCCAGCTCCCCCTGCGGCCGCCAGAACAGCCAGCTCCCCCTGCGGCCGCCTAAAGAGCTCCCTCTGCGGCCGCAGGTGAGCCAGCTGCCTACCCGGCCCCAGGTGCCGACGGCCCACCGGGAAATTTCCCGGTATAGCGGTGGGCCAGTCCAGCCCTGCTTACTGAGGTAGGAGACACACCAGGGACAAAGGGGGGAGAGAGATGGGCTTTAAGGGGGGAGGAGCACTATGGAGGAGGAGGGGGGAGAAACACTATGTGGGGGAGAAGGGAAAATATGGAAGGGTGAAAAAACACTATGGAGAGGTGAAGGAAAACTATAGTGGGAGGATAAGAAAACATAGGAGGGAAAGTAGGAACACAGGGACAAAGGGGAGAGATAGGCTTTAGGGGGGAGAGCACTATGGAGGAGGAGGGGGAGAAACATATGGGGAGAAGAAAACAATGGGAGGTGAAAGAACACTATGGGGAGGTGAAGGAAAACTATGGTGGGGAGAAGGACAACTATGGGAGGGAGAAGGAAAACTATGGGAGGAGAGCGCTATAAGGGTGAAGGAAAACTATGGGGGAAGGAGCACTATGGAGGGGAAGAACACTATGGTGGGAAAAGGGAGCTATGGGGGGAGAAGGAACACTATAGGGAGGGGAATAGAAAACTATGGGGGAAGGAACGCTATGGGACAGGGGAGGGGAGGAGAATGCTATGGGACAGGGGAGGAGAGGGAAAGAACACTAAAAAAGAGGGAGGGTAGAGGAACAGTAGGGGGAGAGAGAGGAACATGAAGGGGGGTACAGGGGAGGGAAGGGAAATGAACACTGGGGTAGTGAGGGGGCCACTAAAAGAGAAGGGAGAGGAACACTAAGATGGGGGGTGGGAGGAACATTATAGGGAATGGGGGGCACTAAGAGACAGGTAAGGGGGAGGGAAGAGGAACACTAAGGGACAGGGAGAGGAGAGGAACACTAAGGGACAGGAAAGGGAGGGGAGAGAAACACTAAGGGACAGGGGAGGGAGGGAAAAGGAACACTAAGGGACATGAAGGGGAGAGGACCACTAATGGACATGGAGGGGAGGAGAGAGGAACACTAAGGGATATGGAGGGGGGAGTGGCACACAGGTGGGCCTGAGTGGAGAGAAAGTCACACAGAGGGACATGAGGGGGGAGAAAGACACACAGATGGGCCTGGGGGTGAGAAAGTCCACAGAGGGCCTGTGAGTGGAAATACAAAGGGGCGGGGGTGAAAGAGACAGAGACGGGTTGGAGAAGAGGAAAAAGAGAAACAGAGGGGCTGGGGTGAAAGAGAAATACACAAAGGAGCTGGTAAGAGTAAAAGACACAAAGGGGCTGGGAGAGAAGGAGACACACAAAGAGGCTGGGGGGAGTAAGAAACACAAAAAGGGTTAGTAACAGATACACAAGGGAGGTGTAAGACACAATGGGGAATAAATAGGACACTAAAGGGGGAAAGACAGTTAATAAAGGGGTTGAGAAACAAAAGGCAGGTTAAGAGGCACACAGGCAAAGATGCTTTTGAGGGGAGTGGGGGCTCCAAAATCATCTTCGCTTGTGTACCCCAAAATCCTTGCACCGGCTCTGGCTACAATGTAAAGTAGTAAGTGTACAACCTGTATAACAATGTAAATTTGCTGTCCCCTCAAAATAACTCAACACACAGCCATTAATGTCTAAACCATTGGCAACAAAAGTGAGTACACCCCTAAGTGGAAATGTTTGTGGTTGTTTCTGCCTTAGGTTTTGTCTTCAACAAGTGAAATGCATGCTTGATAGAGTTGAGATCAGGTGATTGATTTGTTTATTGCAGAACTTTGCTGAGTTTGGCTGAATCTGAGCATACAATATATCCATATATATTTAGAATTCATCCAGCTGCTTCTGTCTTCTGTCACATCACCAATAAACACTAGTGACACAGTGCCATTGGAAGCCATGCATGCCCATTTCATCACACTGCCTCCACCGTGTTTTACAGAATATGTGGTATTCTTCAGATCATGAGCTGTTCCAAGCCTTCTCCATAATTTTTTTCTTGCCATCATTCTGGTACAGGTTGATCTTAGTTTTATCTGTCCAAAGATCGCTGTTCCAGAACTGAGCTGGCTTTTTAAGATGCTTTTTGACAAAGTCTAATCTGTCCTTTTTTATTTTTGAGTCCTACAATTGGTTTTGCACCTTTTGGTGAACTCTCTGTATTTGCTCTTGTGAAGTCTTTTTATGGTAGACTTTAATGATGATATGCCTTTACCATGGAAAGGATCCTACGATCATCCACCACTGTGGTTTTCAGTGGACATTGTTTTTTGCAGCCTAGGAATGGCTTGTGTCACTCTCATTGAGAGATCCTTTGACCGCATGTTGTGGGTTCAGAGCAACAGCTTCCAAATGCTACACCTAGAATAACTACAGACATTTTACCTGCTTAATTGATGAAGAAATAACAAAGGAATAGCCTCCAGCTGCCCATGAAACAGCTTTTGATCCAACTGTCCAATTACTTTTGATCCCTTGAAAAAAGGGGGCTATATATTAAAGAGATATAATTACTAAACCATTCCTCCAATTTGGATGTGAATACCCTCAAATGCCAAAATACCTTTGATGCATGGAGGCATGGACTCCATAAGATCTCTGAACATGTTCTGTGGCATCT